GTCATCACAAAATAAAATAAATTTCAGCCAACGATGCTGCTGTAATTGTAATGTATTATTGACCCCCCCAGGTCTGGGCAGCTACACTCATCTCCCAAGAAAAACACGTGCGTTTCACCATCATCTTGTGTTAAAAAAATACATTTATAAGCTTGTTTTTTTTACTTTAATATTATGAAAGCCCTTTGTTACTGTGATTCACTTTTCGAACAAGTCACCCAACGGTACGTCAACTTTCAGGTGAAAGTGCAAGGTAAAATACATCATGTCGTATGTGTCTGTATGTGCATATATACACAGAGGTATATGTATACATCGACACATTTATATATATACAGTATATACGTAGGCCTATACAGTCTATATAGATATTTGTTTTCTTGTCATTCGCATAGCACACACATCGCAACGTTAATCCCATCAACAGTCAATGCAGTGTAAGCTGTATCAGCACCCAGTGCTGCTGCTGCTGCTGCAAACAAAATATAATTAGCCAAAAAATTAGTCACACGCTGCAGCAATATGAACAAATGGGTAATGCACAATTGCTCCGAAGCAGACAAAGATGTGCACAAATCAATAAACACGAGCACTGCCCCGCCGCATTGGCGTGGGACACACGGACGGGGTGGAGGGTGGGTGGATTGGGGGGGGGGTGACGTCGGCACGACGCACGAACCCGGCTCAATGCCCACCCGCGCGCCAGCCAGCCAGCAAAACTTTTTTTTTAAAAATATATATAGCATGATTTTTTTCATTTTGCGATCAGACCTCATGCCTAATGGATGGAAAGTTGGTAGAAATTTTAGGCTGTGGGTATGGCACACTAGCGCAGTTAAGGATGTTTGCAGTGTGTCTTTGTTCTGGATTAATTTTCTAAACAAACAAAAAATCACACACAAAAAAACTAACACAAAAAATCCGAGCCATCTATTGTCAGCAGAAATGCTCGAAATTAACTTTTCTCAAAACTCCAATTTGTGTGGCTAGTCACTTTCCATTCGCCCCGGTCCAGACGTCATATCAAATCAACATTTTCATTCAATTTCGATGTAAAGCTTTCGTGACTGCAGGGATTCATCTTATTGGTTACACAGCCCCGCCTTCCCACTATGAGCAGCCATTCACCCAGTTACATTGATTGGCCAACCACGTTACCTTGAATGAAAATCTTCTTGGTTCTTTCGGTAAAGTCACGTAGAAGGGAAATAATAAAATAATAATAAAACATAATAAAAATTTAATGAAATAATAAAAATAAAACATAATAAAACATTTATTATGTTTTATTTTTATTATTTTATAATTTCCCTTCTACGTGACTTCACCGAAAGAACCAAGAAGATTTTCATTCAAGGTAACGTGGTTGGCCAATCACTGCAACTGGGTGAATGGCTGCTCATAGTGGGAAGGCGGGGCTGTGTAACTGGAGTTTTAGGGGGAAAGCCACCGTAAGGATATCCCCTCCGCGTCTGTCACTGTTGCAATGAAGAACACAAATAAAAAAAACGAATGACCTGAAATCACCATACCTATCACCTGTGCAGGTGGCGTCTTGAGCACAGATTCAACAAACACGGGTGTAATACAGAGTATTTCAAATGCACGTGCGCGTAGTGGTGTATAGCGATGCAAACACAAAAGTAACCCCCTCTTTTGCATACGGCCAGACACGCCTTTCACGACTCGCCAAACTTCCAAAAAACATTTACGTGAATAACCACTAGGGGGTGGGGGCAAACCTCATTCACAGACCCCATCGAGTTAGGACTGAAATCTCGTGCCATGTCCCATCAAGAGAAAGTAATTTGTAAGAACTATGCATTGGGTGCGGTGGGGAGGAGGGGGGGGGGGAAATACATTCTGCCAAATATAAATATAGTTTGTTTTGGTGAACCTTTCCACCTAATGCAAGTTTTGAAAGTGTCTGTCGGAGTACTTTACTCACCTTAAAAATTCACATTGCATTTCAGAATGACCCAGGCGACGGCTTTCTCGATTGCAAGCAGAGGAGAAATTGAATGGCAATCACCCTCGGGAGCCCAATGCGTCAATACTTGATTTCAGTTGTTTCTCTGCATTTTATTGTTGCTGTAGAATGACGCAGTGGCCTACGCAAACCTTTGCTACAAAATCGAAATGAACAACACTTGCGCGTGTCGAGCTTGTCAGTAAGATTCATGCCCATGAACGGTACCCTAAACCTGCCAGCTGATCTCTCACCCCCCCTCCCCCTCAGTAAACATGTTCTTTGGTAATACTCTTAGTTCTTTCGGTAAAGTCACGTAGGTAAAAAATGAAATAAAAATTAATAAAAATAAAACAATAAAAATCACGACGTTTAAATGTTTTACCTACGTGACTTTACCGAAAGAACTGAGTATGAATCCTTGCAGTCACGAAAGCTTCAAATCTAGAATGTTCTTTGGTAAGCCAATGAGAACATCAGTGATGAACACGTTGGGTCGACATTACCGCCTTAACATTTTTCAACAGAGAGTGACTAAAAAAAAAACCACAAACGGCAACGGAAACCGGCTAACGCGCACCGACGTACAACAGAAACGGAACAAGGGAATGCCGCTAGAGAACGGTGCGCGAACAAAAAACGTTCTCTCCGCTCCGTTCAAGTTAAGGGGTAGATTGAATGAAACGTTGCTGCCCGTGAAATGCGCGCAATCGAAGCGGGGGGTCATACAACGAGCTCTCGTACTGGGCAGACGAAGACATCGGAATCCCACGACAATGCGTCGGGCAACAACTCTTAGACGGGCCAAATTGAGGACAGCGTTTACCGGCAACGCAGCCGCGAAACGAAGTAACATCGAGGGCTCCCGCTGGCGATCGACGTGATTCGCCGTGCCTTGCGAGTATTGTGCTAGCGGATGTTTTGTATGCTGGCACCATAGGCTAAATTGTTATTAGAAACAACGCTTAGCAAACTCATAGATTCCCCGAAACGATGGCACTACGCTAGACTGCGTACGTGAAACACTTCTCTGACGAGCGTTTATATATAAATTGTGTTTCTGATTTGAACGCGCGTGTGCAACCCATACGGCGCACGTCTATAGCTCAAAAGTATATCGATGTTTTACATTTTGTACAAATTTTAAGATTGATAGATATTTTTTTTATAAAAACGACAACACATGGCCTGCAGCAATAATCTATAAAGCTTGTACGTACATGTTGCTCAAGGGCAACGGCAAAGCAACTTAATACATTCGAAACAAACCTAACGTTAGGTGGCCTTGAGTTTGTGCGCGCGTGCGTGTGTGTGCGTCTTCATTTGTGTTGTGCGGTGTGACTGCAGCGGTGATTCTCATGCCGTGTTAACAGAGCTGGCCCAGCCACTAAGCGACCCTTGCAATTGCAAAGGGCCCCGTGGCCAGCAGAGGGCCCCCTAGAGTCACTGCTAGCTTGTGGGTGAAAAAAAATCATACATCAAAGGGGCCTCCAACCAAATTTTGCTTAGGGCCCCCAAAGGTCTAGGGCCGGCTCTGCGTGTTAACGTCCAAGCGACCTGGAATCAATTCATCATCATTCACACTGGCGCCGATTGCTATACGAACCTTCCCTTGTCCATCCTAAAAGTAAGCGTCTGCTGCAGTGCAGCTGAGACCGAGCTGGTATCATCAACAAGGCCCACATGCTCGCTAACAGTGCCTGCCAAGAGCTGAGCCAGGTTTAACGAATGACCACGAGGTGCGTAAAACGTGTGCGCGTTTGCCTGAGCGTTTGTGTAAATATGATACGAGACTTAACCCGTTCGTTTCTTCCAGAAGAAAGTAAAATATGTTTAGCTGCCCAATAGCCCACAAGTCCTTCACGCGAATATTACTCAATGGCATTTGTTTCAAAACTCCGAATAACAATCGCTGAGAGATAACGCTCAGTTATGGAGGGCCCATGGGCTGGTGGGTTCAGCGCATAATGAGTTGTGTTGTTGTTGTTGTATGTCAATATCAGTAGGTTTGCAGCATCTTAGTTAATAAAAGTTACGTAGAAGGGAAATAATAAAAAGAAAACATAATAAAATAAAAATTATCACGACGTTTCGGCCACAACACAAGCAGCCATCCTCAGGTGAAGAAACAGAGCTGACGGAAAGACAGCGTCCCAATGAACACCGCCAAGCTTGGCTGCTTGTGTTGTGGCCGAAACGTCGTGAGAATTTTTTTTTTATTATGTTTCATTTTTATTATTTTATTATTTCCCTTCTACGCGACTTTACCGAAAGAACCAAGAAGATGAATCCCTGCAGTCACAAAAACTTTAAATCGAAATTTAATAAAAGTGTTGACGCAATATTGAAACGGCTATCCTCGGTGACTCTCCCCGCGGCGGATAAGAATCGCGTATCCCTGAGTAGGCAACCACGCTACCTCTGCAGGACCTGGCACGTCAAACCCAACCGATCGTTCGACCACAGTGGACGCCTCAAAACCACAACTAACACGGAGCTCACACTGTTGCGAGGGGTAGGCTGACATTCTAGAGCAGCATTGAGGCACCGTTCTCTCACTGAGGGCCTCATGATACCTTCAATTTCCTTTGGCGGGCCACGCGTTAACACCAGCGGCAGTCTATTCTGCCACTGCAAGAGGCCCTTGCAGTGGCAGGAGTGACCGAGCACGCGAAAACTAGAAACACAGTGTTGCCGGGTTGAAAATATTCCCCTCTATTATGCAATTAGTCTGGTTAAGATACTTGCAGTGATGGATATAGATATTTAACACGTAGGCTTTCGCGACCAATATTATTCATAATATAGGTTTTTAGGTCAGATGGCGTTATTTATAAATGTGTCGTAACCCTCCACCACCCGACACGGCCAAACAGTAAAAAATGTGTCACGTTTTTTAAAGGAAGTGAATTATTTTGTCCTTTGAAAAACGTGACACATTTTTTACTGTTTGGCCGTGTCGGGTGGTGGTAGGTTACAACACATTTATAAATAATGCGATCTGACCCAAAAACCTATATTATGGATATAGATATTGTTAGTTGGGCCCGTGCAGTGACAAGAGGTGAGTGAGCGTGTTAATATGGGAAACGCAAGTGTTGCCGGATCGAACATACTCTTCTCTTGCACGTGACTGGTGAGGCTTAGATGCTTGCGGTGATAAATATTGTTTGTGGGCCGTCTTTAAGTGGTAGGCCTCACGTGGCTGAGTGCCCAATGAAATGAAGTTGCAGGCTGTGTACGGCACCCGCGCGCCAGCCAGCCAGCAAAACTTTTATTTTTTTATATATACAGGCATTGACACAGATGGATCGGTCTCTCAGCTGCGTCCACTCGCCTTCGCGTTCACATGATTAACCAGGAGGGGTGTGGCGTTTATGTGGACTCAGCTCGGGGCTGTACCAAACTACCAGGTGTTGAATCCATGCGAAACCGTGCCACTTTCACAGACTGCATTCACTACCAAGATGAGACATTCAAAATATGATCGCTGCATGTGAAGACACATTGAGTGTACGCATCTCACGTGTGGGTTAAGCTTTCCACGGAATACAATGTGCAAAGATCATTTAAAAGTGTTAAAAATGTCATTCTGTTTGACTAAACTGCTTGATTTTCTGATATATATATATTTTTCCCCATTTTTTATGAAATACTAAACAAATGTTTTATTAGAAATTCCCACGTGTTGTAAAACAACTTTAAATCTCTTATCTTCAGTACCCTGAAGAGCTATGCTTTAAAAATAATTAGATCAAGTTTTCATTCAAGTACTTACAGCAATAGGTATGTATATTATATCTCTATATAAATAAACTTTAGCTGATTTGTGCTGTCTATGCCGATTTATAAAACAGGCTCATGGTAACGATATGGTCTGAAATGAATGATGATTGTGTCTGCATTAGATACTAAACAGAGCTGTAGGATGCACGCCTTAAAATGTATGTGCCATGCATGCCCAGTGAAGTATAAATAATATTAATACTTTTGCGTAATTCAATGTCTTAAGCAAAATTGTATAAAATCACACTTGTGGGCAAGTGGTATACATGTGTATGGCGGACATGCAAATATCTGCTGTGCAGAATGATGTGTCGAAAAGTGTCTGAGCCGCACTACGTCCTTCGAATGTGTCTCTATAAACACTGATGATTCCTGCTGTGGTCTTGCCAAACAGGGCGACATTCGTGGTCGCTTCTTATGAGCTTATTCTTTCACAGAAGATCCATCCTCCTGCCTCTGTGTTCCATTTTAACGATAAAAACAACGCTCAATGACGAGCCAAGGAATAAAGTAGCGGCGCAATGAGTCCTGGTCGTCCTGCACGTGACTCTTGCACTCCTCCAATACTTCAGGGGTATATATCCTCCGCTACCGCACGGTAGACGAAGGGGCCACAGCCGCCACTCCGATCAACAGGTGCCAACGCGGCACTGCCCGTGGCTCTGGCTCGAGCGAAAAATGGTCCCAGCGATTCTGTCCAATTGGCATCGTTTTACTACGAAAGCAGCTCAGAGAGCAGTGCTCGAGGGAAGGATGCGTGGAGTGGGGTTGGTCTGGAGGTGAGTGGGGGGGGGGGGGCAGGGAGGCGTCGAAGGAAATTCTCGGCGACTGGAAGACAGCCCCAATTAAGTGGCCACCCCGCCATTCGCATCGCTCTCAACGGCACATGTCGAGTCACAACGGGGGTGCTCTTCCAGCTGTGTTCCTCCACACCTCCCACGCGTCCCCTTCGCTTGTCCGGCTTTTGGTTGCAGACAGGCAGGGAAGCGGGCGGGCGGGCGGGCGGACGAGCGATCGCGACGTTCGCCGCACGTCGGCGGGGCGGGGGGGGCCTACGCTACAAAGTGGTGACGCAGATCATCTCGTCCGACAGGTCCTCGTCGTACTTGACGTGCACCGGCTCGTCGTCGCTGGCGCCCGAGCCGAAGTCCTGGGGGTCGTAGTCGCGGCGCGGGGTCACCGGCGCCGAGCGGGCGTGCAGGCCGCCCCCGCCGCCCGCGGTGGGGCTGCCGTTGAGGAGGTGGCTGGCGGCGCTCTCCATCTCGTCCATCGTCATCTCGCAGGCGTCGGCCAGCTCGTGCTTGGTGACCGCCACGAAGCGTGGGTCACGGGCGAAGCGGCCCAGCCCCTCCGAGATCAGCACCTAGGCGCAAGCGCAATGGCAGCACGACGTCCGCTGTGCCGCTCGTTCCCAATGCTGCCCGTTGTGTGAAACTCACCGCCCCGTCTCCCCCCCCTGCAAAATCATTCGAGCTAGCGGCTCCCTGCACCTTGTTGTTTGTCTAAGCCGGTGACTGACTGCCTCTAATCCTATTGGAGTGCATTCTCAGTCAACGTTGTATTTTGTTGAATTTGTCGTCCTTCCCCGCAACTCCAATTAGCATGGTTGGCTATGTACGGTGTGAAACAAGTTCAACCTACATACATGCGTATTAAACACTGCCTGTGTGTCTTTTGCCCCTGTGTCTTGGGATACAGAGGCTGCAAGAAGCACATGTTTTACTCTACCACAAGTGGAAGTGACTCCTTTGGTACCATTCCATTTGTGGCACATTAGAAATGTATCACTCTTTTAATTATATCATTGTGCAGCAAGGGAGCAAAGTGTGGTTCTGTGAAAGTCCTGATGTGCTGTGCAGTGCATCAATGCATGTGTGTACAGCAGCCTGCGATGACTGAGTTGGGCCTGTAGGTGGCTGGCAAGGTTATTGAATAACCGCACTTGGACACCAGCCACATGGTTAATGGCGACTCGGAAGAATTGTTGTGTGTGACACACGTGCTGTTGCATTTTACAGAGTGACGGTGCTGTTCTTCACAAGATTGCCATTAACCACAAGAAATGTGTTTGCCCTCGATTTGGAGCACCGGCCCACGTCCTTCATTTCGAGTGTGCAGCACGTTATCTTGGGCAGTGTCCACTGTTGTCCGTTTACCGCAACGGATGGATGATGAATGCCATGCAATGTCCACAACTCTCTCACTTTGCCTTATCCAAACACACTCTTTTGTATACTCTCTGATATGCAATCAACATGCGTTGCTCTTCAATTCGCAGATGGCAGTGGGGTGCAGGCGATGACCCGCCCCGACTGGACATCTGTGAAAAAGAGCTTCATAGCTCATCGGATTCCTCCAGTATAAATAGATATTGAGATTTTGACGAAACTGTTCTCTCCAAGAAATAGCTTTGCCTAATCACCAGGTATGGTCAAACCCTTTCAAAACAACAAATTAGCTTTTTAGAAAATGCAATCGTGCATTGCTTATCCTTGTGCTACTTTCGGTTCTCAAATGATCACCTTTCATTACATCGGTCGTCGTGTGATAACCACATTCTCTGTGTGCTGCTCAGTGTGATGTTTATTGATCAATGCATTATGGATTTTGATGTTTGACCGTATCATAGCTTGAGAGAGACCGTTTGTGATTGAGGCAGTGTCTGTGGCACCGGCTACATGTGTACAGGAGAGGGCGCTAGTGTTATACCGCAACTGGCTAAATCTTAGAAGAGTGTCTTCTTCAAAATACACAGCAGGGGAACACAGATGGGAAGTAGTCAGGCTTTCCCTTGATTCATCAACAAGTATTGATTCTTGCACTCAGAATTTCTGCGTAACATTATGCATTTAAGAATACATTGTTTTAGGTGTGCATGTGTTACGTGTGTTATTTATTGATGGAAGCACCCTCGCCAATAGCGGGTGCAACATTCACAATGGTACAAAAAGATAACAACCATCAATTTGTTTTATTCCATTGAATCACGAAAGTGTCCCGAATCGTTACGGGGTTGAATTGTTGCACGCCTAAGTGCATATTAGGATGAATTCATGCAATACCCGGGCCCGTTAATGTCAACATTTATTTCTAGACAAAGGGTCAGAGCCAAGTTTGCAGCTGGCAGAAAGTCCAGGGGGAGGCCCCACCAATCCCATTAAACATGAGTTTATTCCCCCTTTACACTGAACACGCGAATTTTCACACAGCCCAGGGTCAAATTTTTTGTAACCTTCCCCTGCTCGAGTACAATGTGCACCTTGGCTCCAGCTCGTCTGGCCATGGATTGAGGTTGTGGGCTTCTGTACAAAGAGATTTAATTTTCATTAAAAAAATGGCTTTCTATTTAAAGCTTTCGTGACTGCAGGGATTCATCTTCTTGGTTTCTGTCGGTAAAGTCACGTAGAAAGAAGCAAGTAGCTACTTGCGTTGTGGCTGAAATGTCGTGAGAATTATTTTATGTTTTATTTTTATTATTTTATTAATTTCTTTCTACGTGACTTTACCAAAAGAACCAAGAAGAATATAACCCGTAAAAACAAAGTTTTTCACTATAAATGCTTTATATGCGTGGCGGCTAGCGTCCTCTCGTCCTATGGCTTGAGATGGCTGCCACCTATGGGTCAGATGATTGCATGGCAGCATTAAGCAATTGGTATTTAAATATAATATTTTCGTCCTAAAAAGTATAAAATTTTGGAAAAAATTTTTCACAAACATTGTCACGCACAACGAGTCTGTGTGGAAAATGTCAGCTCGATTGGATCACGGGAAGTGGGTTAAAAAACGACCGAAAGATTTGCACGGTCCTAAGCAAGCAAGCAAGTGAACTTAATATAAAGGATTTAAAAATGGCTTTCATCGCAGCATAGCTGCTCCCAGGTGTGGGTGGGTGGGTGGGTGAGGAGGGGATTTCTGCACCCTCAGCCCAGCCTCACTTCCTACGCCACGCGCAGCCCTGCGTCCCGAAGTAGCGTCTGCTCGAAATGTTGCCGATGCGCTCGAGACATCCGGTGGGATATATCCCAAATTCTAGCGTCATCACCACGGATCTTTGTCGGTCCGCCAACTACCGGATGAAGGCCTCCTCTCCCCAACGCCATGGCAGCCGTGCAGGTTGTGCTTGGGTCGCACGGCTCTCGGGAGTGATGCCAACGGATATAACAGGAATAGCATGCGGGCAAATAATATGAAACATAATGTAAACTAGTTGGCAAAATCATGCACACGCTATAAAATGCTTTCCAAAATGCATTTATCTTTGGAAGAATATCCGTCACTCGACTGCATGTTTGCAAATAGTGATTTTTGGCTATGATTTGTGTCCCCAAGTTCTGGGCAAAGCTTGTATCGATTTGGTTAGTTTTCAAAAAGGGTAAGTTCTTTAAAGGAGCATTACTTTATACTAATGCTTAATTAACATTGGACGACCTTTACAAGAGTTAAAGCATGCATTTGAACGTGAAGGTAATTGGACGCAGCTGAGAGACCGGTCAATATGGGGTACAGACTGTGTCAACGCTCTTTAAAACTGAGGTGGCGGGCACCTATAGGTCTAGATTTGAACCTCACTTGATACAGTAAATCTAGCTGTGACGGTCCCACCTGATGACGGAGACTTGTGCTGCCTCCGAAACGTCGTGATTTATTATTTTATTTCTATTATTATTTCTATTATTTTTTATTTTTTACCTACGTGACTTTACCAAAAAACCTAAGAGTATGGGCACCTATAGCCCATGGGCCGTACGCAGCCTGCGACTTAATTCCATATGGCACTCAGCCACGTGAGGCCTACCACTTCAAAATGGCCCACAAACAAGAAGGCGCCAGTGTATGAGACGAGCACTCGACGACTCACGGCTTCCACGAGGCTGTCGGCGCTGCCACGCGTCTCGGCGTATCGGTCCCGCAGTCGGGCAGACGGCACGGCGAGCCCTCCCGGCACGAAGCTGCGGTACGGCGCGTCGGGCCCGTCCGTGTACCACGAGCTGCGGTCCACCGATGGCAGGCTGCCGTTGAGCTTGCCGCCGTGGTGATGCTGCTGCTGGTGGTGGTGGTGGTGGTGGAGGAGGGCGGAGGTCGCGGATGCCCGCGAATCGGCGCGCTCGATGAGGATGGCGGGCGTGTAGTAGGGCGGCCGCGGCAGCGAGGACACGGGGGACGGCAACGACGGTGGCGCCGGCGCAGGCGGCATTGGCGGCATCGTGCGGCTGTTGTGGTACGAGGAGCCGCGTCCCGGCGTGGAGGATGGCGTGGCGGGTGGCGTGGCCCACGACGTGGTCGCATGCGCCGATGAGTGGCGCCGGTGTTCAGCGGCGAAGCCATCCAGGCCGGCCACGGCGAGGACCTGCGGTTGTTCGCACGTGGGAGGACACAGGGAGAGTTCGTCGGCTTCACTCGTCAGGAAGCGAAATACAACTCGATTCCTCAACCTTGCTGCAAAGCGGAGTGGGGAGGTGGAGTTTCTTGAACATTCTTTGCAAGCCCCTCCATTCGAATAAGTAATGAGAATAATAATGAGCATGTCGCTTTATAGACAATAGGTCTCCCTTCAGTAAGATACCACGCTGAAGAATGGTTACCCAGGATGTCGTGTGTCAGCAACTTTTCATCGTTTCACTCAATACAAATGAGTTCACGTTTAAAATTTCAAGGGCTACTAAGTATCTACTGATGGGTAACTCTTCATATTAAAATGTAACACTGTCCATCTAGAAACATTATTAAAAAAAACAATCACCATGGCGTACAGTTGAAGGTTTCCAACTGCCCTGATATTAACTCAAATCTCTCTGCCCTCTCTATCTCTCTGCTACGAAGCTTGGACCCTGGAATGGAACGAGGCCCCCTGCACAATGCCCTCTGTCTTCGTAGTGTGGGACAATGACTTCCAGTGCAGTTGCACTGCCTGTGCACTCGATAGCCACGTCGCTGCCACAGAACACTGGATCCACCCCCTGGGAAGGAATGGACTGCAGAAATGTTTGGGATGTTGCATCCGTGCAACAAGAGGTGTTCTGCTTGAGAGGCTCAATATATATATTTTTAAAAACCTGTAATTACGTTCAATACAAAGTGAAAACAACTGCTTCATCGCTGGGACATTTATTCATATTGATATTTATCAATTGATATAATAAAACACAACCCTTTAACTCGGTGAATCCAAGTCATATTGAGATGTAAAATACACAGCAAGTATGATATTATTTTTATAAATGTGCCATGGATAAAAAATAGCTGTGAAGTCATTGCAAGCACGTGTCAGTGGAGAGCGGTAACTTTTGGTCTTAAGTAATTGTTAATATAAAGTGATACATTGCTCAATAATGCATCCTTCCAAATGTGCATATGATTTTACACAAGTCAATGCACGTCCAAATGAGAAACTGATTGATTTATTGAGAACACGATTTTGTTATTACTGGCCTACTGAGCACAAAACCTACTGGCCACAGGTCTGCAATAAATTAATGCTGCATTCCATCAAACCCAGCGAGAGAGAGAGCGAAAGGAATGATACCAAGAATTTTCATTTCAATTCAAATGCAATTTGACATTATTACCAATCGCATTCCTAATGCAGGCTGGCTGAGCAGCTTCAGCTAATTGGGCACTTATCTCCCCAACCCTCGGCCTAACAATGCCCCTGATGAATGCGATAACTGTCAGTCACATGTAAATCACCATCAGTCTTTTTTTGAGCCGCTCGAGTCATTTCCACCCACATTGTCACCATTTCATCGCAGAGGTAAAGCAAGGTTGTTGTATGAGCGTGGGACAAAAACTAAATCATAAACACGTGGCAATTTTGGGGGGGGGGGAATTCGTCGCATTTTTTTCGGATTGCCCGTGAAAAACAAGAGATATTAAAGTTAAAAAAGCGTACTCTGTAGGTGAATTAATGAAAAAAATTAATAGATCCAATGCCAACAGGAAAATACTTGAAATTGCGCGCGTTCAAACTAAATGAACTTTTCTCTTTAAAGACAAAGCCTTACAGACTCTGTTGACAACCACCTGTGAAGGTATGCAGTACATATGAGAATGTGGTTAGCACTATTCCTGCTAACCTTTGTTTCCCCGTCACAGCATAAGGAACTCAATTAAAGCTCAGTACATTTAGAGACCCACACACTCATATACTAATTGTTACTCATATTATACGTGGCTAAATATCAAATTAAAACCTCTTGGATTCTAGCGCAGTGGACAAACCACTACTCAACCACTCTTCACACAGAAAAGAGCCAGACGAAGCTAAATTAAGTAAAGCATTACATTTGTTATGATGGTGTTTTGTGTCACCCTTAATCACAGGTGGTTGCCAGAATTTGAATCCGGCATGTCAATAGTGCAAGCTCAGTGACACAAGCTCCAAGCTGAAGGGCCACCATACTCTACTTGAGAACCTCGCTTGTTCACAGGTGGCTGAAAAACCCAGATCCAAACCCAAGATCTCAGAGCGGCACTCTTACACAAGTCACGTCTTTTGTCTGATGCAAGTGAAAGCGCACAATGTCTCCCATCACAGGCAATGGGTAAAATCACCAAAGCCCCTTATCTTCTTGGTTCTTTCGGTAAAGTCACGTAGAAGGGAAATAATAAAAAATAAGGCACGTAGAAGAGAAATAATAAAATAATAAAAATAAACAAGGGAAATAATAAAAAAAATAAGCCCTTTTATTATTTTTATTATTTTATTATTTCCCTTCTACGTGACTTTACCGAAAGAACCAAGAAGATGAATCCCTGCAGTCACGAATGCTTTAAATCGAAAAAAAAGCCCCTTATGTTGAGATGTGAATCTGGCCCGCAACAGCCGCTCGGCGCGATGCCCTCACCTGTTGTTGGGCGAGCCGCAGAGGAAGGGACGAATTGGGCGCGTAGTTCAAGGACATGGGTAGGTCCGACTCGAGACTCGACTGTCTCCGCAGGCAGTCGATGTTAAACGAGGGTCTCCTCCCTGCGCTCACACGCACACAAAGATCCCCACGTATCGCCTTAACAGACTGGAGGAGCAAGTGCTGTTAGCGAGCACCTATAAAGGCCGGCACGGCACACGATGGGGTGGGTGGCCAACACCACGCCCGGCCGCCTTTGTCTCCCAAGTGGCGATGATTACACATCGAACCAGGTACTCATTTGAGGCTGAGTCGACCTAGGGGAGGTTCAGGACCGGTTCAGATAATCGTCACTGGTTTTGGGTTTTGGCCGTGAGCGGGAATCGAACTCGGGTCGCCAGGTTCGTAGCGCAGCACGCTAATCGCTACACTACCGCTCCCCACGCACACACACACACGTGCACACACACACACATTCACACAGGAGACAAAGCACCCCCCTCGTATAGCCTTAACAGACTTGTGGGGCAAGTGCTGTTAGTGAGCACCTATGAAGGCACACAATGGGGTGGGTGACCAGCACCACATCTGGCCATTTTTGTCTCCCTAGGACAGGCACAGGACCGGTTCAGGATAATCATCACTGGTGTTGGCCAAGAGCGGGAATTTAACTCGGGTCGCCGGGATCAAAGGCACCAATGCTAACCACTACACTACCGCTCCACTGCACACGCACAACACAAACAGCTGCCATCTGCCATTGAAATGGCGGTGATGTCACAATGGCCCTTCTGCCAAGTCAGGTGCACTCAGAGGCCACACATTGCACAAAGACAAAGGTCATCCGTATAGCCTGAACAGACTGTTGGGGCAAGTGCTGGCAGCGAGCACCTTTAAAGGCCGTTACAGCACACGAGGGGATGGGTGGCCAACATTAGGCCCGGTCGCCTTTGTCTCCCCAGTGGTGATGTTTACACACCATACCAGGTACTCATTTAAGGCTGAGTCCACCTAGGGGAGGCCCAGGAACGGTTCAGATAATCGTTACTGGTGTTGGCCGTGAGCGGGAATTGAATCTCGGTCGCCAGGTTCGTAGCGCAGCCCGGTAACCGCTGCACTACCGCTCCCCACGGTGCACACACGCACACACACACACATGCACCGCGCACACACACATGCACCGCGCACACACAAATATGCACTTGAACAGCAAGGAGTGCCGGTGTCAGAGAATATATTATGCCCCCCCCCCCCCAAATATTTGTCCCCTGAGGAAATAATATGCGTTGGCTCGAGAAACCAATATTTTGAAATATTGGATCCCCTTCTGAATATTTGTATGCCCTTATTTTTTTAATAAGAAAAGTCACAATTGTTTTGGCATATGGTTATGGACATGAATTTTCAACAAAAGCCTTAATTTTTTTTTATTACTTTCCAAACTTATTTGTGAAATTATTTCTCAGTTTATTTTATGGACACTTTTACCTTTCCATACCATCTGTTTGGTCCAAACCTTGCACGAACCAAATGTCGTGCCTAACCCTAACCCGAGGCTACAAACAAGTTCCCTGGGGAGAACACATGTTCACCGGTGAGTACACATTTTCGATCCACTGGAGGCCAAATTACACCGGCGTGTCTTGTGCCATGTTATTGCAGGTGCCACCTTTATCACACTGCCCGGCACAATGCCTGGGCCTAATGGCACCCCCTGTGAGACTGCAACTGCTTCTTATCTCAAGAAACCTGGTGTTATTTTGCATAAATAATCAAAATGAAATAAAATAGAATTTGTCTATGAATTAAATAATTGCTGAATTTAAATATTCTTCTACAGACAGCGACTGCTGGGTTGAGCCAGAAGGGGCTACACTCGAGGGAGCTAGTGGGAACTCCTCGCGAGGGGAATTTGGCATGGCCAGGTGTCTTGGACGAGGTAGGAGTACCCAGACTTTAACCGACTCACTGCTGGGTGGACAGATCGTGGGCCGGGTGGGGGATGGGATTTTGTAAACTTGCCCATTGTTACATCTTTGGGACCTTTTTTCAGTATCAGGTGGGGGGTGGGAGGGGTGGGGCTGGGTGGAGAGGGGCTGGTCACCCCGTGGTGCCCTTTTAAAACTCAACGTTTAACCTACTCACGCCGGCTTGTGCCCGCCCTCACAGTCGGGCATATTTGCGGAATACACCACGCCGCTGTTGACCCTGGCCATTGACCGAGCAACCCAACGTTCCTACCAGCTCCCTCCGCAGGAATGTGTTTTCGCGGGGGTGGTGGGTGACCGCCAACCCACTCACCTGGCGGAGTTGGGGGCAGCAGTCTCCTGCGCTGGGGATTCCTGCTCAGCTCCTTGTCGTAGGAGCGGCAGGAGGACGTGTGGGTCAGCGGCTCATCGTACTGCCGGTCAGCTCCCCGGTAGCGCCCGCTCGACTCCTTGTAGTATTGCCTGCCGGGGGCACAGCATTGTGAAGTGCAGAATCACAACAAAAATGGTCAAAGATCCAGTTTCAAGTTGATTTCGTGAAAGTCGGTGAGAAGGCAAGGGACCCGGATAGGAGTCTCATTTGCGAGAGTGATCTGGGCCACCAATATGACGAAAGCTAAACAAATAAAACATAGTACAGCAATGAAACGACTGGAGATCACATGTAAAAAAACTGCATCACATGATGAAATCGAAAATATTGCACAAACATAAATCGGTGTTAATACGATCACTGTAGTGTAAGACTCACTTCGGGAAGATAATTTTTTGACTAATAATAGTACAAATATTGATTTAAAGCTTTCGTGACTGCAGGGATTCATATTCTTGGTTAAAGTCCCTTCTACGTGACTTTACCGAAAGAACCAAGAATAATAGTACAATTAAATTTAAGTTACGCAGATATCGTGTGACTCATTGTACTTAAATGTGCGCAGGTCGAATTGTCTAAAATTCAAAGCAGCCACCAATACAGAGAGAGCGAGCTGATGAGAACAGAGCAGATAAGAACTTACACGTGTCTTGAGCTGAGAAAAAAATCGAAACCAGGGAACAGAGATGATAGGGTAGAGGGAGAATAACGAAGGTGGAAAAGAAAAGTTCTATCCTTCAATACCGTCGATTGAACACGGCATAAAATTGAGAGGAAACATTCAGTCTGGTAAAAACTTGTTATTTGGTATTGAAGTGAAGTTTACGGGAACAATGGCTGTAGTCGGCCCTACGTTGAAATATAGAGGGCGCGGAAATAGTATGGGGTTAGAAGACACTCGCCAATTAAATAATAGCAATGTCTATAACCATAACCAACGACTAGCACTCCCACTGACTCTAATCCTACCTCTAACCCCACCTTATGCACTTAGAAGTGCTCTCAGAGGTAGCTCTGTGCTATCTTCTTCCATGCTCCGTTCTCTAATGCGATGTGCTCTGCAAGAGATCCGATTGGATCTTTCGCCATTCTGCCTATAGCACCCATGGTGATAAAACTGATATATATATATGTGTTTATATATGTGTTTAACCCGTCTTGTCACTCAGCAATAGGGCAAATCTAGTGATTTCACACCAGTGGAATGCATGTGCTTATTAACACATCTATATCAATATATCTATACGGGAGGTCTGGACCGCCCTACTCAATATGCTGCCGCCGCGACCTTCGCCAGGACAAGCGGATTGAGTCACGAACGAATATCAATAGACACATGAATATGAACGTGAATATATCTATATGGATATGCAGCAATGGCACTAGAGCATGCCCATTGCAGTGATGTGAAAGCACGTTTTTCCTCACGAGAAAAACTGTCAAATGTTCGGACAGCCCACGACGTACATCCGTGACATAAGAGTTCCATTTAAAAAGAGTAAAGATGGCTTTTGAGTCCCAACAGCCATTTTCTATGGCAGTCCCTGCTTTGTAACGCGTGGACAAATGATCTTTTCTACTTCTGTCATCCAAGCTTTTATCGGAGCTTCCTCTCCCAAACGGCGACATTGGAGGACAAATCGAGGAGAGAACGAGTAGTGTAGGGTAGTTTCAGTTTCATATATTTGGTACAGCCCTGTGAGCCATTCGGCTCTTGGTTGGCATGGTGACTGGGCCCCTCCGGCCTGTGGACACAGGTGCTGTTTCACCGCATTCACACCCAATATTCAATACACTGGCGAGCGCCCACCGTGCATTAACACCGCACTCCGATTGTAAGTCCATCAGACGGACACTTACTCTGAGACCGGAAAAGGTGAGGTGCAGTCCTTCCATATTAAAACCGCTGCTATTGGAACCACACAATGGAGACACTAATTATTATAAATGGCTTCCGTTTACCTCGGACAGTTCTCACTAGGCCTGAAGACTCGTTTTAAGGAGGGTCCTGCATCTGGGTGTTTTGGCCATTTCTGTAAATGAATGCTTGAAGTACTGTAGGTATGTCACGACTCACCGCCATGAAATTCTGTGAAATGTCATAACTTTATTTAGGAATTCTTTCACCGTCTCGTTTTGACCATCTCAGATGTACTGCTCCTTTTTTATATTCTTGGTTCTTTCGGTAAAGTCACGCAAGAAACGTAAACATTTTCTTGCTGTGGATGTCACACCTGATGATGATTGCTTGTGTTGCAGTCGAAACGTCGTGATAATTTTTATCGTTTAATATTTATATTATTTTATTATTTCCCTTCTACGTGACTTTAGCGAAAGAACCAAGAATATGAATCCCTGCAGTCACGAAAGCTTTAAATCAAAATGCTCCTTTTTTGTTCCGTTTCACGTGTGCACCTTTGTTCCATCCCATCAACACGGGCAATCTATTTGCATATACATTACATAAATCGTCACAAATCTATTCTCACACACATTATTTGATGCACATATCCTGTCTGTAAGAATCAAACTTAATTGAAGAATCGTTGGACCTCTACAATGAAGCACATGGACTCCTGCCTGAGGATAATTTTTCCCCTATGTTGCTTCCCCAAGTCATCCGTGCTCTTGATTTCCTGCCTCCGTTCAAGTCCATGCTCAAGGCCTCCCTGTTTTCTTCTTGCTGTCTCTTGCCTGCCTGTCTTTTTCTCAATACGATCTATATTCCCACTCCTTTTGTACGGCATCATAAGATTCAATTGAATTCATATGCTACCTAAACACAAAGTGTACCGCATCAAACACTGCCCTGTATCCGTACACAGATCCTGCTTTAATTGCCTGGTGTGCTTCACACAGCGACTGCAAGCAGCACATATTTAGTGGGCCATGAGCAGGACACATCGCTTAAGAGGAATGAAGGTCGAGACTAACAACAGAGTGGCAGCTAAAGGAGGGTTTAACGCCCGAAAGAGTATGTACGATCACGCGTATGGAACGGTGAGATTAACTGATGTGCGGGTAGGCGCGAGATGGATTGCTGCATCCCAGGAACGTGAGATGTGGCAATGGCCTGGGGAAGCCTTCATCCAGGACTGTGTTGATCACGCCTGATGATGAAGACGACGACGGATGGAGAGGTGATACTGAGTCAGCGGTTCCGCGTGTCCGGCAGCCACACAAATACGGGGCAATGAGCGTTGACGACGATGTTCCGGTGGGCATGGGGTTGAGCACCTGTCCCTGGTGAGCGGGCTGCCCTCCTCGTCGTCGCTGTAGAAGCTGGGCTCCGCCGCGTAGCCGTCCTCGTCGTCGACGGCCGCCTCCCTCTGGATGACGGGGACGCGTCCATCCCCGGTGGACGAGCTGCGGGACAGAGCGCGGGGACACGGTCCATCCCTCCGCACGTGGACGCACCCGCACGCCCGCGTTCTCGTTTTGCTAACGAAATGAGCGAGGTTGAAAAAAAAGGTAAGTGCCAAACCTAGTGGAATTTTTTTTTCGTTCTTTTTCATTTTAGCCAATGGTGAAAATCACCAAGCGTGATGACGACTTGTGACTGTGCACCGACTATCTAAGCGCGACCATGACGTCACAACGTGACCGGAAAAATTAGTGACGTTATTAGAGACTGCAGTGCGCCGGGGAAGACCAAAGGTGGTAATTTGCTCACATATCCTGTCATAGAAATATTACACAATGGTGGACTTTGCGGCACTGCCCTCTGTTGTCCACCGCTAAGCCTCGCAAGCCTACGGCAGCCTATTTGTGCAGGGTACTTATCCATCTTATGCGATATCCAGGCCCAAATTCCTGCTTCGATTTTGACATCTGAGGAGACCGGTTGATTTGGTCACAGGCAATTCACAAATTGAAGGTGAAAAATGTAAATGTCCAATTGGGGGCTTGACTGCCCATCAATCGCCCCTTTAACGTGATCCTCCAACTGTTTCCTCCAAAGCTTTGGATCAAAGTTGTGCACCGCCTTGCCTATAGCTTGATTCAGCAGCAGTCACTGGTGAATTATGGACAAGTAGAGCGAGTTCCCTCATCGCATTGCAGGTCCAGGTTTTTCAGTCAATGTACGCAAGATCGGTTCGTCATTTCAAAATAATGTTTCACTCATGACGATCATTGTCCCCGCCACACGAACGTGTAGTTTGTACGCGAACACTCAGGGGCTCCCAATGGCGATGAGAACTGCCCAATGTTCATTTGAGCAGAGACAAAACTTTGAATTTCTATCATGTGAGTATCAAGGGCCCAGTGAATGTAATTAGGGTGAACATAATTAGCTTTGAAGATTCCACCTGATTTTAGTGCGGGTGAGAAATTATTGTGAAAATGCAATTGGTGAATGATTCATTTGCACGAGCAACAATCGCTGCTTTCAATGACATCAAAGAGGGAGGAGAAGTGAAGGTCTATGTGGAATTGGCATAAGCCTGAAAGGATAATTTGGCTTAATGAACAAGTTGTGCTCATTAAACGTTAATTATATCACGGTATAACTCCTAACTCTTACCACCAGACTCTCACTCGATATCCGTATTGATTATAAGTCCACTACGCTCACCATTACACCATGGTACCACCCCCCGTGACTGGGCATTTATTGAAAGCAAATGACTAATTACAACTGTTTTAAGAGATAATTGATGTGTAGCTGTTTACACATTATTTACATGACAATTTGGAAATATGAATCGAATTAACGTATTGCCCTCTGTCATTCGACTGTTGGATGCAGACCTTCCTATGTCTGTTGATCATAGCTGTTTTATTGTTTACGTATAGTTTTTATATTATTATAATGCTTGTTTTACCCAGGAAGACCTCACTGAGTCTCAAGACTCCTTTTCAGGACGGTCCTGCCAAGTTTCCGCAGGAGAAAGTGATGTTTGCTGCGTGTAATCTCAATTGCGAAATAAAAAATCTTTGGTTTAGCTTTGAACCCCAGGTTATTCTTACTGCGAGGCACAAGCATACGCTGGAGTCAGAAGATGTGATCTAAACTCGACTCTTGGCAGTATTTATAATATTATAATTAAAAAAAATATGCCCAGTGTCTGCTGCGGCTGTCTCCTGTACAGCGCTTTGAGATCCTTGATGGAAAGCACTATAGAAATTGAATTATTATTATCAGTAATGAGTAATGTTTGAACAAATCATGGTGGCCCACTTCGCCAAACCTGCGCTGACTAGCAAGGTGAAGTATGGTCAAACAGCCTCGATGACTGACACAGTTTGGGGTAGGCCTTCATCCAGCAGTGGTTTGAAGACGGGTTGTAACGTATTATTATTTTATGTTTAACATTGATATCTTAGGACTGTTGTCGTCCACTGCTTCTTAAAAAATTAAGAATACATTTCGGAAATGTGGATACGAGACATGACACGGTATTATGGGTAAGATGAGCGACAACGAGAGATGAGACACGACGCGAGTTACGACAAACGCAGGTGGCGCACATTGACGAAAAGCGCACACTGAAAGGGCCGCCGTGGCAAACACATCTGCCAGCGTGGTCCATTCCATACGGGAGGAAGCTCCAGTCCGGGTTTCACCGTAGCGTGCCAACGCCGAGCTGTTGTTAGCGGGAGCATCTATAATGATACTACGCATGCTACTGGTTCACCTTTTCCCTGCTTGATAATTGTTTTTTTACCCTTATATCTGGCAATAAAACTGACACCTTTTTTTACAAGGAGTCATGGTTGCATAGACCACAATACCTGCAGCCATAATGCAAATAAAAAACATAACTCTGATAATATATGCACTGTCCTTGAAGTTGATTGGTCCACACCCGAGACAGCTTTCCTTAGAGCCTAGTCTCAAATGGGTTGGACCAGATGACGCCAAAAGGCGCACAACTCAAAGACAATGCACCATCAGAGTATGAGAGCTCGGGGTAAGCATTTACACCATTGGAAGCTCATTTTCCATTAAAAAATATGATAATTGTTTTTGTACCCTGCTTCTTCTCGGTAGAAGGGTCTGGTTATGCTATTTATTCACGTATTTCTATTGCGTCCCTCGCTTGCATTCACGTCCACTGTCGACTTAGCTCGTTTCACCGCTCACCTCCCATCTCGCCCTCCGTCTGCCCCCCTACTCCGTCTGTTTACGCACCGGTGGCGTCTCCACAGCCCTCATAGCTGCATCTTCTTTGTCTCTGCTCGATACGTGTCAAAACCACCTCAGGCTAGAATATTAGTACCTGCGAGGCGAATCGATGAGTTGTGGAAAATTGTGGTTGTGTTTATATAAAAAAAAAAAATCGAGCCTTTTCATCTACTTTGTTTCAACCTCATTTGCATCGTTGATCTCCTATGTTACGTATTGTTTGACCTGTCTCATTCGTTAAATTAACATTTGCAGGAGATCTTCATTCAAGTAGCATCGATCGTGAAGACGCATTCCTTACAATGCACAATCAGATTGCGTGCATCATGAATATATGCAAAAATTATCTTACTTGAAAAATGATTAAATGCTTCAAAATTTACAACTATCCTTCCATAGCCTCGCTAATGATGATGGATTCACGATCGTTGACAAGAGGAAAAGCCCGAGTAGGAGCTACCTCCCCGATGGAATTGGAGCCACATTTTGAGTCAGACACACACACACATGTAATGTATGACACATTAAATCCAACCTTATTACAGTTTGGAGACATTTTAAGTATTTATGACTGTCGGTCATGATACAAACACACTTGAAATAAGTCATGCATTATACAGCTTCGCAGGCTTTAAGAGAAGACATAACATGCACACGTTGACCTGAAGTCTGGTACATACCGTACATACGTCTCATAGTAGCGATTTCGGCTTTAAAAAATACATATAATCACATCCGTATGTTGGCAGAATAGGAAAAAATATATATTGGTTAGCGGAAAACATTTCAACATGGTGCAATTTACCCTACAAAACAAACAGCGCCTTATGAATGAATAAAAACCACTTTCGATTTGGTGTTTGTAAAAAATAAAATATTTCCATCGAAAACGGAAGGACAGAAAATGACAATGAATTAGAGGTCGAGACAAAGGTTCCCCTATATAGCCATACAGACTGGTGGGGCAAGTCCTGTTCGCAGGCGCCTACGAAGGTCAGTGCGGTGCACAGGACAGAGTTGTGACCAGCAACACGCCCGGCCACGTGCGTCTGCCCAGTGCCGATGTTTACACACCGCATAAGGTACTCATTTGAGGCTGAGTCGATCTAGGCGGAGGCCCAAAGACCCGTTCAGATAGTAGCCACTTAATGCCGGCCGCGAGCGGGACATTCTCAGGTCGCCGGGTTCGTCGCGCAGTGAGCTAACCGCTGCGCCATCGCTCCACACCGACTGGTAAAACCATAAATAAATATGTCCCACAGAACACTGCACACTCACATCCACCCACAATCCTCAATCAATATGTTTGTCAGCATTCGATCTGGAGGCTTCAACCGATAACACAACAAATATGAAATGGGCCATATAATTTATTCTGGGCAGAATATTAATTTACAACGTGCAATTTTATTATTATTTCTATTGTTATTTGATAATGCCATTCGGTAATACGATCAGTACTGATGTTACATGGCTTATGTGTCCTCCATAGAATGTATATTTCTGTGCACAAAGGTCTCTTGTATGGTCTTACCGACTGTCAGTGAGCACCTATTTGGGCTGGTACTGCGCATGAGGTGTGGTGCAAACAGTAGCACACATTCCTCCTTTGTCACACAACATCTGCCATTAATCACAGCACCACACCATAAAAGCAATTGATGGTATTACACAAACACACACACACCACACCGCTCAGTTTAGGCCGAGTCAAATTAGGGGACGTGCAGATTAAGTAACCAGTTGCCACCACTGGCGTGGTGTAGTATCGTAACCAGGAATGAAACCATGGATTTCTCTATACTCTTAGTTCTTTCGGTAAAGTCACGTAGGTAAAAAATGAAATTAAAATTAAAATAAAACAATAAAAAATCACGACGTTTCGGAGGCAACACAAGTCTCCGTCATCAGGTGGGACCGTCACAGCCAGATTAGCTGCTGATGACGGAGACTTGTGTTGCCTCCGAAACGTCGTGATTTTTTATTGTTTAATTTTAATTTAATTTTTTACCTACGTGACTTTACCGAAAGAACTAAGAGTATGAATCCTTGCAGTCACGAAAGCTTCAAATCTAGAATGGATTTATCCGATTGTTGAATCGATGTTTTTTTTTTATTTGTACATGTTGCACGTGATAGGTTTGCTTGACCTCCTCTAGCCACTCGAGGCCACGGCATTCACCACAATGTTAAATAAGTATAACCCGTAAAAACAAAGTTTTTCACTATAAATCCTTTATATGCGTGGCAGCGAACTTAATATAAAGGATTTAAAAAATATATTCGCCTGTGGAGGACGCGGGGATCGATCCCACGACATTTGGCATGGGAAGCGAGGGCGCTACCAACTGCGCTACTCCGCCACGGCCTTTGGAAGGGTTACGCTCTGGGCTCTTACACTCTGACGTTCAGCCAAAGCCATGAATGCGTTTTATTTGAATATATGTAAAATACATTTTTTTGCCTAAAAAGTGTAAAATTTTGGGAATTTTTTTTCACGAACAATAATTGTCTGGCACAACGAGTCTGTGTGGAAAATGTCAGCTCGATTGGATCACGGGAAGTGGGTTAAAAAACGACCGAAAGATTTGCACGGTCCTAAGCAAGCACGCAAGCAAGCAAGCAAGCACGCGAACTTAATATAAAGGATTTAAAAATAAAAATAGGATCAAATCAGCAACACCACGTCCAGAATGCATTCAACCACACAGGCAGGGACTTTTTTTAAAATCCTTCATATTAAGTTCGCGTGCTTGCTTAGGACCGTGCAAATCTTTCGGTCGTTTTTTAACCCACTTCCCGTGATCCAATCGAGCTGACATTTTCCACACAGACTCGTTGTGCGTGACAATTAATGTTCGTGAACATTTTTTTTCCAAAATTTTACACTGTTTAGGGAAACTCTTTTTTTAATTACCAATTGTTTAATGCTGCCAGACAATAATCTGACCCATAGGTGGCAGCCATCTCAAGCCAGAGGACGAGAGGACTCTAGCCACCCCGATGCCACGCATATAAAGGATTTATAGTGAAAAACTTTGTTTTTACGGGTTAATTTTTTGCACACTTGAATTGAACTTCCCCTGTTATCTGTTTATATTCTTTCAAATCTTTGGCGCTTAATATATTCGGATCAACGAAGCCCAACGAGCTGAAATATTATATACAGACTCGTCTCACGTGAAAAGTCAAGATTTCATTATAAAAATCGGTCCAGGTCCCGCCGATCCTGGGTCTATTCGTGTTTTTTTACTTCATTTTAACAATTGATACCCACACATTCCGCCCCACCATGCCCTTTCGAAATGTTTAATTTGCCTTATGCAAGCCACTCACTTTTATTCAGCACATCAACTTTTATTAATTCTGGGGTCAGACATTTATTTTCTAATTTAGAGTGCAAATAAATGTGTGTGCAATGAAAAACTTGTTTTTCACTTATTATTTTTTAATGATCCCTGCCCAAAGACAAGCACATACAGAGACAAAGCTCACTGATTTCGCCATATAAACGTGTTGGGGTTAACTACCGTTAGCATCAACAATAACAGCGACTTCCATTCGCCACTAAGTGGCAGTCAAGCCATCACGGCCCTTGTGCCAGGCGAGATGCACTTGAGGCCACGTGCAATATTGAACGCTCGCTGGCAGGAGGTCACGGGACAGACCCAGGTGTAATGGGGTTACTGATTGAAACGACTGACAGATGCACCACCTGTGCTCCCCACTGTACCGACTTGCTGTGTGTTAGCCACCCTGTGCTCGTTTCATTGTTGTTTTACTTGCTCCACACTGTTTGCGAGCACACGTGCCCACAAAGACAAAGATCCCCCATATAGCCTTAACATACTACTGGGGCAAGTGCTGATACCGAGCACCTATGAATGCCGGAACGGAACATCAGGGGGTGGGGTGGCCAGCACCACGCCCGGCCGCCTTTGTCTCCCTAGTGGCAATGTTTTATACATCGCATTAGGTACTCATTTTAGGCTGAGTCGACCTAGAGGAGTCCCAGGACCGAGTCAAATAATCGTCACTGGTCTTGGTCGTGAGCGGGAATCGGAAATTGGGTCGCTAGGTTCATAGCGCAACGCGCTAACCGCAAGACCTCCGCTCCCCACCACACATGCACACGCAACACATACACACAAAGACATACACACCAACACACACACACACACGATACCTTTTAGCCGAGGCCCTCCTGACTGTGCCGTTGGGGTGGTGCAGGGACACGTGCTGCCCCGTGTCAGACGGGAATAAGCCCCCCTTGCAGTTGCCTGCCGCGGGCAGGTGGCTGTTGTTGCCATTGTTGATGTTGGAGTTGGGCGGAGACCCCGGAACCTTGGCTCCGTTCTGGCCAGGCTGCACGTGGTTGCCGAGCAGGTGGCTCTCCGGTCCTTCCTCCGCATCTTGGCCACAGCTGCCCTGGTGGCGGTCGTCCTCCGTGTTCTTGGTCAGCTGCAGCGGCCGCTGAGTGGCCTGGCTCTGCGGGAGGGTGTCCTTCCTTTCGGACGATGGCTGCGGCCCCACGGAGTCACCGAAGAGACCCCCGGATCTCTGCGTGGTGTCGTCGGGTGTGAGGATCAGAGAAATCGGCGTTTCTGAATCGTGAATATTTTACCAGTAAGATTGATAACACTCGCTGCGTAAGTTTTGCGCAGTTGTGCTACGTGGCTCTCGAATGGTATTTCGAGTTATACCATGATGTCCGACGTTTTGGCACGTGGAGCGAAATGTCAGACAGTGTGCTGAATAATACGCGATATAACTAAAAAACATATTGGAGGGCAATTGCAAAAAGTGGGCACGTATCAATGCATCTCCTCCCACCAGCAATTCTATAAATTGTCACAAATCAGGGGTGCAATAAAATAAGAGAATATTTTATTGATGAATTTAAAGAAACAATTAATTGCTGTGTCATTACATGTCTAACAAAAATGGCAACACACAAATGCTTGCAACCATGAGCTTGATTACAGCATCATTTTAATGTATTGTGCACCACATCGTGTGACAAATGGAAGGAAAAATGTAATGAACGTATTATGATTCGTGACACTGGCTGACATGCTCGCAGCCATACTGGGCAGCAGTCTGCTGCAGCCGTTTTTTAATCACATCCTGGCAATGGGGTTCCCTGTGGGTTTTTTCTGGCACTCAGCCCGGATTTGATCCCACTGAGAGCCAGGGTTAGAATCGGGCAGCCACATCTGATTGAACTGAATTCTGAAGTGTTCGTGGTCTTAGCTGGGTCATCAATAATTGCACGCGATAAAAAAAATCCATCACATGAAATTTGCTTCTGGACTTAACGTGGCTAAATTTCACATCTGCCAATTAAAATTCCAGTCTGTCATGTGATGAACATTACTCCCATGGACGGGAAAAGTTCTGCTCCCTGCTGTGTGGACCAGAGGTCACTTGAAGGAATCTCAGAGGGAGCTCTGCGACATACACTTCCGTGGGTTGTACTCTTACACACGCTGCTCTGCGATCGTTCCAAATAGATACGTCGCCTCGTGACAAAATGCCTGTATCACAATCAATATCAAACTGAAAGTACAATGAAAACAATTTTGAAAAGAAAATAGCAATGGGGAGGCCCTAGACCATGGTAATGGATCACGTGACACATTGTCCCCAGTGAAATTGGCTAAGAGTGCACATCTGGTGTCAGTCACTCACCCGGAAGATGGCTTCGTCTTCTTCCTGCGAGTGCACCGACGTCGCGTCCTCCTCCTGCAGGTCACCCGAGATGGCTCTGCGGATCTCTGGACCGATATCATGCAGCGTCCGCAAGCCCGCCTGTCGAGTAAACGGAACAATGCAACAACGCGGGGGACAGGGGGGGGACGCACACGAGCAGGGGAGTCACGACTCGCCTTGCTATAGCAGAGACAACACCATGACGAGGGGTAAGGGAGGTTGCTCGAGGGGTACACAGAGGGGGAGCCGCATCTGGCTCCCGCGCACCACCAGTGTACCGCCAATATGTTCATTCGTATCTGTTGCCAGCCCTCTAAGGGAATAATTAATTGCATCATTCATTCGGACTGAAATCACAGAGCTTTGTTGTCCCTTGACTCTTTGAAGGCCTTTGGCATTATCGTTGCTTCTAGATCTCACTGGAATTTAAAAGGAGAGACAGTAAAGCTGAATTTGTGTGTTGTCCATCATCGCCACTGATATATGCCATCATCACAAGTTTACTGTTTTTATACGGCATAACTTGGATAATATTTGAGATAATGCACCTTTCAGTTGCAATCACGTTTTCCAACTGCCTTTGTACATTTCCGAAGTTGCGTTCTGAAATAAATTACTGCATTCACTCAACTAAAGTGGAAAATAGCATTATTAGATGTTCTACTTTTTGAGCTGATAAAACAGAATTTTAATTCCCGAGTGTGAAAAGAGCTTTCATTATAATGCAGAAATCTGCCCATGACCACATCACTCGGATTGTGCCCGATCTCGGAAGCGAAGCAGGGCTGATCCTTTCCTGTGAAGTGCTTGCAAAGGCAACCACTTTATTTTGGTGATTTTCGCTAAGTTTTTTGATTTGGCCATGTTTGTTTATTGTAGTACAGAGTTAGACTAATGGCCTTAATCTAAGTTGTCTTGTGGTTGTTGTTTGACTTGCATCCCACTGGGATTTTTGCACACAGTGTTGGTGTACGGTGCTTTTTCTGCAATATTTTGCTGTCTTTTTCTTGGATTTTCTGTTTGCACTTAGTCACTTTAAGATGTTTTCTTGTTCATGTTTTTGTTTTCTGTTTGTTGCAGTTGCACCCGATTCAAGAGCCGAATGGCTCACAGGGCTATACACAATAAATGAACTTGAACTTGAACATGACGCACACGTCATCCACCGCTGTCGGGCGCCATCGTGACCAGCGGAGGGGATGGTACAGCCAAATCCATTGTCGTACTGCATTTCTACGCTTCCACATCTAATACGTCCCCCCCCCCCCCTTCATCGATCCCCACTGATCAGCGTGGTGAACTATGGTAAGATCACCTCCACAACCAGCATGGAGTGGGTGGGAGGCCCTCATCTAGCTGTGGGTTGACAAAAGCACTCCACCGTATTCTGTATCGGATTGTAAGACGTTCCGAAAAAATATAAAACATCACCCAAAACTTGTCCCCCCGGTGTCAATAAAATTGTACAAATCCTGTCACACGCAAACGCACGCGCGCAACCCGCCAGATTGTAACACCACTCAACACTTTTGCTTTCAAATACATCGGGGGAAAGGAGAACGTGGCACATGTACACGAATATAATGCAGAAGCAGCAAGTGCTCAGTCCTGTTTTCCGGCCTATCCACCAACACCCTCCGCTCACATGCTCGCAATTTTGCAAATTATAACGATACTTTTTTTTACGTGGGTGACTACGATGAGGCTGAGACTAAATAACGGTGCCGTTGTCAAGGTCGGCGCTGCCGGAGGGCACCGCGAGACGAACCCACGGCCTGGCACCGCACCAGCGGCAGCTCTCGTCTGTCCAAGTGGCAGACAAGCTTGCACGCTAATCCATCTCTACGGGCGATTACTGCAGCCCCGGCATCACGGCTCCCCAGCGCCGGGCAGACACTCGAGCCTCCGAACAACACCCACCGCCTGTATCGCAGTCGGCGGTCGCATGGGAACACCTGCGCGTGTGCGCCGAGAGCGGCTAATGTCGAACGCGCGAATGATAACGCCGCGCCGTCGTCCTTGACAAAATTGCCGCGTGCTTTCTCGAAGGCTCTCTAGCCAGGATGTTAATACTGTGGGGAGAAGTTTTGTGAATTTATTCGGGCGTTTGTGTGTGTCTTTGTGTGGGGATCGGTGGCGCGGCGGTACAAATCCGACAAACCGAGTTCGATTCCCGCTCACGGCCAACACCTGGTGACGATTATTTGAACCGGTTCTGGGCATCCCCTAGGTCGACTCAGCCTCAAATGAATACCTGGTGTGGTGTGTAAACATCGCCACTAGGGAGATAAAGGCGACCGGGCGTGGTGCTGGCCAACCACCCTCTCCTGTACCGTGCCGGCCTTCATAGGTGCTCGCTAACAGCACTTGCCCCAAAAGTCTGTCAAGGCTATACAGGGGGATCTTTGTCTTCGTGTGTATTTTTAAGGGCATATTTTTTTTAATTAATATATACATATATTTTAATTCAGCATGTAACAATCCTTTCAGTGGATTCATCATCGCTGACTATGGTGACGATGACGATGATGAATCGAAGACTTGCCACGATATCGAGGGTTCTGATTCTTTTCATGAATCAATTCTATATTTTTTTAAATAAAATTTTCACGTTTAATTCATCTTGTTTCTAATTTATTTGTCTCGTCTAAATGTATTGTTACATTATTGTCCGCATACCGATTTAATAAATTGTGAACAATTGATTCTCAAACGCATGATTCGATGCACGTATCATCACTGTAAGAATTATATTTGAAGCGATGTAAATGTTGTGGCTTGGCTCTCCAACACACCGGTGTGCTGTACTAGTGATGAATTGGCATGTTCTGTTTACGTGACAACCCTTACTAGTTGGCTGTGTCGGGTGGTGGCGGGTATTTTAACGGCACATTTATATATTACCGCGATCTAAACCAAAAGCCTCTATTATAGATCTAGCCCAAGTTTAGTGATCAGAAAATCCACTACATAAAATCCTCCTTATACTATGCAAGAAGCGAAGGCAATGGCTTTCGTAAATATACCAATATATATTTGGTAAAAAAATAGACACCTGATTGAAAATTGAAAATAACGTTTACGATTGCTCCTTCAAAAACATAAATATATATGAATCTCCTCCAAGCGGACAACTAAACACTTTTTTTAAAATACATATTTGCCTCTTCCACACATTAGGTCATTGGTAGTGACCTCTGTCCCACGGGAGTTGCACCGGGTGGCCCATTTCCCCATCCCGGCCAAAGTCACGTTGAGGGCTCCGGTGCGTCGGTGACAGTGAGCGCCGGCCCCGCGCTACGAGCATCGCCTCCGATCATTGCGACGCCGACGACCTCACTCCCTGAGCTGACACGGCAGAGCCTTCTGGGCAGACTTGGCAGCCGCCCCAGGCAAGCGGGCAGCTGGACTTTACAACGAGGTCTGCCTTCTTCGTAAGCTCGGGGTTTAAGCCCCGGCGAAAATTAATTCTTCCACCGTGACGGTCGGCACACGTGGACGAAAGTCCGTCTCGCTGCGGTGCGCGTGAGCTCACATTGAACATTGAGGGCGGGTGATTTGCATGCACTGGCATACACGCGGAGACTAAAACCACGCGTCCTATTGCCGTGCGCAGACTGTTGTTGGGGAGCAAGTGCCGATAGCGAGCATCTGTTAAAGGCGGCAAGGGTAACGCCTGTGCCTCAAAAGAAGAAGCTCCTGGGTTGGATTCCTGACCGACAGCTTTCTGTGTGGGGTTTGTATGTTTCCCCCCCTGTTCTGTATGGGTTTTCTCCAGGTTCTCTGGTTTTCTCCCATAGTTAAACAAAAAAACACATATAATCTAACTGGCATTGGCCAAACATCCCAATGCTCAGAAATGATCTGAAATTTCCTCATTTGGGACTAGAGATAAAACATCCAGCCCCCTACAGCAAATCTCTGGCAGGACCCTCGTTAAAAAGAGTCTTAAGCCTCCGTGAGGCTTTTCTGGTAAAAAGGTGTAGTAATAATACAATAATAAGACTGGTATGGCACACAAGTGGGTGGTGTGGACAGTACCATTCTCGACCGCCTTTGTCTCTCCAGTTCTGATGTGCACACACCACAACAATTACTCATTTTGAGGCCGAGTTGACCGAGGGGAGGCCCGGGACCGGTTAACACGTTCACCACTAATGTTGGCCGTGGTCAAAAATCCAAACTCCGGTCGCTGCGTTTCGTCGCGCAGTCCGCAACGCCGCGACGCCCACCCCTTCACTCAAATGCCACGCCGTAAAGGTTGAACCATTGAGAGCCAGAGACCTCTGGATTGCAAATTCCAGTGTTACTAATCATGGACACCACGGCAACATCCCATCCGAACACAATGGGGGGGGGGGGGAGTGTTGCATGCGTAGCGGTGGGTCGATGGTCTCTGCAGAAAATGCCACTCAGGTAATGTTGCTGACGTGAGCATTCGGCGCATCTGCTTTTTGACCCAAATTAAATTTGTTGGTAAGGGTCCACAGGAGGTGGGTGGGAAGGAGGGGGGTAGCTGGGTGGGAGAGAGTTGGAGGGAAAGTGGGGGGGGGGGGGGGCACAAAATGCGGGGGGGGGGGGCGGGGGGAGGGAGGCTACAATCACGCACAGAATCCAGCCTCTCACTCGCCACCCATTCCACACAATGCCACGGTCATCGCTCCACATCCTGGCCTACTTTCAGAATTCTTCTGCTGTGTAAGCAAGCCAAGGTGCCACGGGATGCAACCCCCCCCCCCCCATCGTACTCAATAATTATGTACGGAAAAAAACTCCCCTCTAAGGAACACGATCTCTACTTGCTTTGATGCCTTGTTGCGAGTGTTACCGAAGCAAAAGTATGCAAATATTTTCAGACATGCAATTAAAAACAAATCTACCCCTGTTTTCCTTTTGCGTGCATTAAAAACGAAATCCTTAAGGCAAAAATCATTGTCTTTCAGCAAACCAGTGTTAACGCAGAAGCTGCTGCATTATAATGTGTTTTGCAGGCGAAACGATTCTCTAATTACAATTCTTTGAAATAATTCAAGTCTGTGTATATGGAAATGCATTTTTTTTCTCTGCTGCTGTATTACATTCATAATCCATAAGCGTTTTAATGTTAATGAACTCTTGCTAAGAAGCGATGCGAGTAAAAGTAAACCTATAGAGACAAAGACAATGGTGCACCGCGTATAGCCTTTAGAGGCTGTGGAGCAAGTGGAGATAAACACCACCCATGAATACTCTTAGGTTTTTTCGGTAAAGTCACGTAGGTAAAAATAAACAATATAAATATTATGTCTATTTTTTTATAAAAATTCTGCATTATTTATTTCTTTATTTCCCCCTACGTGACTTTACCGAAAAAACCCTAAGAGTATGAATCCTTGCAGTCACGAAAACTTCAAATCTCGAAGCACCCATGAAGACCGGCACGGCTCACGAGGGGGGTGATGGAGCCAGCACCATACCCAGGTGCCTTTGTCTCCCCAGTGTTGTTGTTTACGCACCGGACCAACTCCTCGTTTAAGACTGAGTCGCCATAGGGGAGGCCCAGGATTGAGACTGGTTCATATTTTTTTTGCCACTGATGAAGTCCGTGAGGGAGAATAGAACTGAGGTCACCTGGCTCAAAGCGCAGCAGCAGCGGGCTATGCATTATGTCACCGCTCCCCAAATGCACACACTCTTGAAATTGCGATGATGCTGGTGTGTTGGGAGTTCTCGCCTGGCTAAACAATTAAAAAAGAATCACGACTTGACACACACACAAACAAAATCAACACAATGTAAAGTTTGCACAGTGGGCAATATTCAGCAGAGGTATTTCCCAGGGAGCCTTTGAGCGTGCCAGACCATCAGTAACGACGCACGGCCTCAGCTGCACAAACTCCTTGCTCGCTCTGCCGCACAGCTGGGCAAGCTGCTTGCACAGCCTGTGCCGGCGCCTGAGCGAGAGTGTGGGGGGGCGGCGGGCATGTGGTCAGCTGGTGGCTGGGGAGTGATCGACGGGAATGCCAGAGGGCCGGCTCAAGGGGGAGGCAGGTGGAGAGCAGGAGAGGGCCAGAGTCTGGTGCTGATGCTGCCCATGAGTGAGATGGCATCATGGGAAAGTGATGCCCTCTACTGCGTAGGACAGAGGCCACTTGAAGATATCTCAGAGGTGTATCTCTGTGTTATCCACTTGCACAGGATGTTCTCTAATACGCAGACGAGCATAGAGGAAGATAGGCGAGAGATGGGGAGAGGAGAGCGAGACAGAGGGGACAAGAAGGGAGAGGCGGTGATGGGAAGACGACATGAAGAATAATTCTCAGAAAGGTAAAGGAAAGGAGAGAGAGGATGATAGATTTCGATTTAAAGCTTTCGTGACTGCGGGGATTCATCTTCTTGGTTCTTTCGGTAAAGTCACGTAGAAGGGAAGTAATAAAATAATAAAAATAAAACATAATAAAATACACTTCTCACGACGTTTCGGCCACAACGCAAGCAGCCGTCTTCAGGTGGAGAACAGGTCTGTCAAGTAGACAGAGTCTGAATGTTAGGTAGGGGAGATATGGGACGAGGTGAGGGAGAGAGAGAGAGCAGGAGAGAAGAAGGGAGCAAAGACGGCAGAAATATTTACGTGCAGAATTTGGAGAGAGGAACGTAAAGGAAGACGTGGGAAGTGACGAGAAGACAATCCTCTTGAGATTTATTATTGGTGATTAATTCTTTTATTTCTATTATTAATTTTATTAATTTTAATTTTATTTTTAAATCCTTTATATTAAGTTCACTTGCTTGCTTGTGCGCTTACGACCGTGCAAATCTTTCTGTTGTTTTTTAACCCACTTCCCGTGATCCAATCGAGCTGACATTTTGCACACAGACTCGTTGTGCCTGACAATTTATTTTAGTGAAAATTTTTTCCAAAATTTTACGCTTTTTAGGAAAAAATAAATTATATTTAATTAACAATTGCTTAATGGTGGCAGGCAATCATCTGACCCATAGGTGGCAGCCATCTCAAGCCAGAGGACGAGAGGACTCTAGCCGCCACACATATAAAGGATTTATAGTGAAAAACTTTGTTTTTACGGGTTAATTTTTTTACCTACGTGACTTTACCGAAGAAACCTGAGAGCAATCCTCTTGAGATGTATTATTGGTGATCTATTATTTTATTTCTATTATTAATTTTATTCATTTTTATTTTTTTACCTACGTGACTTTACCGAAGAAACCTGAGAGCAATCCTCTTGAGATGTATTATTGGTGATCTATTATTTTATTTCTATTATTAATTTTATTCATTTTTTTTTTTTACCTACGTGACTTTACCGAAGAAACCTGAGAGCAATCCTCTTGAGATGTATTATTGGTGATCTATTATTTTATTTCTATTATTAATTTTATTCATTTTTATTTTTTTACCTACGTGACTTTACCGAAGAAACCTGAGAGCAATCCTCTTGAGATGTATTATTGGTGATCTATTATTTTATTTCTATTATTAATTTTATTCATTTTTATTTTTTTACCTACGTGACTTTACCGAAGAAACCTGAGAGCAATCCTCTTGAGATGTATTATTGGTGATCTATTATTTTATTTCTATTATTAATTTTATTCATTTTTATTTTTTTACCTACGTGACTTTACCGAAGAAACCTGAGAGCAATCCTCTTGAGATGTATTATTGGTGATCTATTATTTTATTTCTATTATTAATTTTATTCATTTTTATTTTTTTACCTACGTGACTTTACCGAAGAAACCTGAGAGCAATCCTCTTGAGATGTATTATTGGTGATCTATTATTTTATTTCTATTATTAATTTTATTCATTTTTATTTTTTACCTACGTGACTTTACCGAAGAAACCTGAGAGCAATCCTCTTGAGATGTATTATTGGTGATCTATTATTTTATTTCTATTATTAATTTTATTCATTTTTATTTTTTTACCTACGTGACTTTACCGAAAAAACCTGGGAGCAATCCTCTTGAGATGTATTATTGGTGATCTATTATTTTATTTCTATTATTAATTTTATTCATTTTTATTTTTTTACCTACGTGACTTTACCGAAGAAACCTGAGAGCAATCCTCTTGAGATGTATTATTGGTGATCTATTATTTTATTTCTATTATTAATTTTATTCATTTTTATTTTTTTACCTACGTGACTTTACCGAAGAAACCTGAGAGCAATCCTCTTGAGATGTATTATTGGTGATCTATTATTTTATTTCTATTATTAATTTTATTCATTTTTATTTTTTTACCTATGTGACTTTACCGAAGAAACCTGAGAGCAATCCTCTTGAGATGTATTATTGGTGATCTATTATTTTATTTCTATTATTAATTTTATTCATTTTAATTTTTTTACCTACGTGACTTTACCGAAGAAACCTGAGAGCAATCCTCTTGAGATGTATTATTGGTGATCTATTATTTTATTTCTATTATTAATTTTATTCATTTTTATTTTTTTACCTACGTGACTTTACCGAAGAAACCTGAGAGCAATCCTCTTGAGATGTATTATTGGTGATCTATTATTTTATTTCTATTATTAATTTTATTCATTTCTAATTTTTTACCTACGTGACTTTACCGAAGAAACCTGAGAGCAATCCTCTTGAGATGTATTATTGGTGATCTATTATTTTATTTCTATTATTAATTTTATTCATTTCTAATTTTTTTACCTACGTGACTTTACCGAAAAAACCTGGGAGCAATCCTCTTGAGAGACGGAGCGGCTCACCTGGAGTGCCATCGTGGTGCTCCGGGCCGGGTGCCTTCCCAGAACTCCCTGCTCCTTCCTCCTCTTGAACTTGCGGAAGTAGTCCTGGATGAGGAAGGTGGCGTAGAACTTGCCCACCGTCACCTCGTCATCTGTCGCGATTGACGACGAGCACACGTAACGGACCGGCGTTGTGCCAGTGGGTGGGCAGAGTCTCAAACAAGGGGGCAATAGGGTGGGCAGAGAACATCGGTTATAGTGACCTTCACAAAGAACACGCGGCCACTTACCACCTGACGGAGGGATGACCTGGTCCAGCAGCTTCATGCTGGTCCTCTTCCAGATCTTCTTGATCACCGCTCTCAGCTCCTCGTTGGCTTGGTCCAAATTCCCTTGGGTGCAGAATTGACGTATATTGTTGAGACTCGATACAGCAGTTTGTATAGCTACGAGAACATGCACCGATTGTACATTGTTCACAACAGCACCGTTGTTATTATTTTCCTGTTTCTTTCATTCTCTACAATACAGATAATCCACAAACACACTTTGGTGGGGGAACCTTCCACGTGCGGGTTGAATCTGACTTGTGACTTTCCTTTCACATGGCGAAATACCCCACTCACAACATTGATCCGTCGCTGCAGGTTATCTGAGCCGCACCAATCGGGTACCGGATTGGAATATTTGTGACCTGGCAAAGTTGTGTTTTCATTATTTTTCATTTCAGCGCCACACTCAGTCAATGCATACAGTCGTGGCGTCATCAAAGTCTAGCGTCAACTAACGTACGGCTCGCCAAAGGTAATTTTTTAAAGTCCTTATTTGCCCATCATTTAAAGGGGCCTTCGAGGTCACCAAGAACAAAGCAAGGAGCTCACCCTCTGTTTTAATCTTGAGGGACGTTCTAACCAGGGCGAACAGCGTTGCGTTGAACATGACCGTGCCGTCGCTGTTCAGCGGCATGTTCATTGAGACCAGCCTCTGTTAGGAGAGTGAGCACAGACAATCACATGTGTGTATGTTAAACTTATTTTGCACCGTATGTAGCCGACCGTGCTAATCGGAGGTGCACGAGTGGTCTTGTGTAGCAATCTCTGCATTGTAGTAACCATTTCCAGGGGCTATGTATCCAGCGTGGCTTATGAGTGCTGAATAACTGCTAATTAATAATAATTGTCACTACACCCAAATTGAAAAAGATAAATATATCCACGTGCCGTCAACTCACTGCTGGATGAGTGCCTCCCGGTGCCGTGCAGGGCCGTGTGGATGGTTTTGTCAATTGTTCACTATGCATATTCAGATTCCAAAGAACACAGGATGAGATGTTACTATCCTTTGTGCAAGCACTTTCAAGAGTTCATGAACAGTGAGCCTGGTGAAATTTGGGGAGTGCATCGTCAGTAGTGAACCTTTGGTTCCTAGGGTGTTTCGGCCTTTCATACTATACAGGTCAGTATTGTTTAGTGAAGGTGAAGAGCAAAGACGTAAGAGCACATAAGTACAGTACAACAATGAATTGTGCTGCACTGTTGCTAAGCACTTCAGCCTCACAGCCTTTAACAACTTGTTCTGAATTGCTGGTCACTCAACCAAGCACTATCCCAGGCTACACCGGGTGCATTCTGGGTTGGTTGGTGACAAGCAAAATAAAAATATACGATCAGAATTTGTCCAGAAAGTTTTCTACAAAGTATCTGAAGACTCATCCAGGATGGTCCCCCCAAGTGGGATGTTTGGCCAAATTGATTTTAAATATTGTTTTTATTTGTTTGCATGTGGAAGGTAACCGCAGTCAAAACTGCTATGGAAATTGAATTCTTTTGGCAACATTCTGTTTGCCAAAAACAGTAAACGTAGTCCTTTAGTAAAAGTAAAGGTGCAGCCCTGCAACGTCTTACTTATGGCACAGCCGGTGGAAGGGCCTTCATTAGTTGGAGCTCTAGAAAGCCCTTTAGCAACTAGAAATATTTAGGAGTAATGAGAAGTCAGCATTATTGCCAACGCGGGGAAAAGAAGCTTCCGTGTTTTAAGAGCAATTACATCAACGAAACTTTTTGGAGCAGTCACTACAAATTGACAAAGGAAACGATGTACAGCGGAGTGTGCGTGTAGAGACGATACCTTGCAGGCGACGCGATGCGGACACAGTTTACCGAACCCCAGGGGAGGCTGGATCCTTCTCAGGAGTGTGACAACATCCAGATGTTTTATCCGTCCCCTAGATACGACGGTGAGTAAACAAGCACACACACACATACATGCACACATGAGAAAAGAGTCTTGCATTGGGATGTTTGGCCAGTTGGCCGATTCAATTAATGAGTTTATTTGGCATCTGGGAGGAAACAAGAGGACCCGGAGAAACCCCACTCATGCATTAGGAAATCCACAGTGCATCGCGGATTTTTCGAAACTGATTTAAAGGCCTCATTATACCTGTGCAGTAACACCATCATCATCATTCATCATCACATTCATCGAACTGCACAGGTCTGTCATCGTCGTCATCGTCATCGTCATTGTCATCGTCGTCGTCGTCATTACTGGAGTCAAGTCTCAAGATACTACTGTCATTGGTGAGTGTAGAACACCATAATACGTATCGTATGAGAGAGAGAATGGATAATATTAAGGTTTTATAATTAAATAGATTTAAGTAAAATATATATATAAAGTATAAATATACATATTTTAAACATTCTGGTACCCACACACACATATTCCTAGGGGGCCAATTCTACTTCGCGGATTTTAACCTATCGCGAGGGGTTCCGGTCCCATTAACCGCGATAAGCGAGGGATCACTGTACTCGTATTCACGGGAGTCTTCCCATCCAAATACGAGCCATACTCAAGCCTACTTAGCTTCTGAGATCTGACGAGACTGTGGCCACATTCAGGGGTGATTTGGTCACAAAATCAGGGGGTAGGGGCTCACTTGGCTTCTGGGTCGTACTCAGACCAGATCCTCTTGAACTCGTCGAGGTGGTGAGGCCCCAGGATGGACCAGTCTCGCGTCAGGTAGTCAAAGTTGTCCATGATGACGGCCACGAACAAGTTGATGATCTGAGAGACAGAGAATGCGGGGAAATTCCCCGACGAGGATGACAACAAAAAAATAACGTACATTTTGGATCATCGCAAAGCTGTGGAACAATGGTGAGCCTTGAGCCATGCCTCGTTTCATGTCATTTAACCTCCCCAGAAATGTCCCTGTCGATGTAAAAATTTGGTTTAGATTAATTGTTTCAAAGAGGGGGGCACTTAGAGTGAAAAGTCATGCATTCCGAGAATGTTTGTGTCAAACTATAATTACTTTTATCTTAAAACGTTCGGCAAATGAGACAACGTGGCTGTGACGGCCTCATTCAATGAATTGCTGGATTAATCCTAACACCACAGACAAGATTCAGAAATGACATACCACCGACATTAGCTGTGGCCGGGAATTAAACAAAATTCGCCGGGTTTCATTCTGCAGTGCGAAAACCATTGCGTGCGCCACGTAATTTTCATCACTCGTGGGAATCACGAAATCTACTTAGAAAGTTTCATGAATCTGTGGATCGTTCCGAGCGTCGCGGCGAGCGAGACGCACCAGGAAGGCGCACAGCATGTAGAAGCTGATGAAGTAGATGATGGCGAAGTTGCTGCCGCAGGTGAACTCTTCCCCGACGTTGTAGTCCGACTCGGGGTCGCAGCGCCGGCCGGACATGCACCCGAGCAAGATCTCCTGCCACGCCTCGCCCGTCGCACAACTGCCACAGCAGAAGCCACCCCCGCGGGAGGAGGGGGAGGGAGATAATTAGCATCGCCGGTAGTTGCCACCTCCAAGGTGCAAAAAGCACCGGGAAATATCGCGGGGAAGAACGAGATATCGAAATTTCAGAGAAGAAGAGAGAACTCAGTGTGTGGTATATGCGCTGTCTTGACTGGTGTAGTATTGGGCAAATGACAGGTTTGTTTGTTTATCGTGTGCTCATCTTGCCGAGCCAGGCGGAAGCCGCTTCAGTAGCGGAGGGAGGGCCCTGAGACCACTGACAAGGCAAGCCAAGGATTGTTCGTCTAGAAACAAGTATAACCCGTAAAAACAAAGTTTTTCACTATAAATCCTTTATATACGTGGCGGCTAGAGTCCTCTCGTCCTCTGGCTTGATGATTGCATGGCACCATTAAGCAATTGGTAATTAAATATAATATTTTTGTCCTAAAAAGTGTAAAATTTTGGGAAAAAAATTTCACGAACATTAATTGTCATGCACAACGAGTCTGTGTGCAAAATGTCAGCTCGATTGGATCACGGGAAGTGGGTTATAAAACGACCGAAAGATTTGCACGGTCGTAAGCAAGCAAGCAAGCGCGCAAGTGAACTTAATATAAAGGCTTTAAAAAAGAAAACTCAACTGACAGAAAAGGGGGACTTTTTGTGTGTCCCGGGAAGACTTACAAATTTACCGGGACAGCTACTCAACTGATAGAAAAGGAGACTATTTAAATCCTGGGAAGACTTAGACATTTAGCAGGACAGCGACCGAAACAAGAAGACGATGCTAGGAAAACCAGAATATGTGACACCCGCTAGATTCACCGCCAGCAGCGGTGAAAGGAGAAATTGATCTTCTTGGTTCTTTCGGTAAAGTCACGTAGAAAGGAAGTAATAAAGTAATAAAAATTAAACATAATAAAATAATTCTCACGACGTTTCGGCGACAACGCAAGCAGCCGTCCTCAAGTGAAACCAGGTCTGTCGAGGCGAAAGCGTCTGAATGACTCTGTCTACTTGACAGACCTGTTCTCCACCTGAAGACGGCTGCTTGCGTTGTGGCCGAAACGTCGTGAGAATTATTTTATTATGTGTAATTTTTATTATTTTATTACTTCCCTTCTACGTGACTTTACCGAAAGAACCAAGAAGATGAATCCCTGCAGTCACGAAAGCTTTAAATCGGAGAAATTGAGTTTCACGCAGGAATAACGTGGGTGGATATAATGTGCCTGGCGTATAAAAGGGTTTATTTTGGTAGAGGAAGACGGGGGGGGGTGGGGGGGGGGGTTGGAAGGAATTCACAAAAGTTAAAAGAAATTGGAAAAAATGAAAATCTAACCCCCGAAGCTCAAATACTGAGAAACGAGCAAATAAATACTGTGGCTCTTTTCTGAGGAAACATGCAAAATATAGGGTGACGTTGACACCACTGGTTATGAGTGACTCCTGTTAAATTTGGAAAAACAAAACATTAATAAGGCTTCTTGGAAATCTCTTCCTAGTGACTAATTTGTGGACAGACGCGAGTATGTTGAGTGTGCTTCCAATTCTGGGTCTTTCATCTTCTCTGCAAAATTGTTTTCATACAATAGAAAATCTGCATCTGGATTCCAGGATGTTTTCCCAGACCAATTGGGGCAGATGTTGTGGAAATCCCTGTACATTATTTCATCTTTGGATTTGCCCTTCCTCCCTGTTATTATTCACGCCACGAAATGAAGAAACGTCCAATAATAAAGTCCCAGTGGATTTTGGAAACCCAATCCCCGCAGAACAGTCCCCGTTTCCTAGCCCCGGGAAAGCAACCACCCCACCTGGTGTTTGGTAAATTTGACAAGAAGCATCCCACAATGATGCTGACTATCTGCATTAAATACACGCCGGTGAGCTGCTCTCTGTCGCAGTTAATTCGTGCTATCATTATGCACAATCGACAGTCCGGAGGTTTTTGATTATTGGATAGAATCCCTAAACGAGACCGTTTTCAAGTAAATACATTCTGAATGAAAACCTGTTTATGTGCACAGCACAGGGCAGTTATTTCTGGGTAAAGGAGCGGCCGTTGCTTTACTCCGAGGGCGCGAGAGGGTTTACATGGAGCTGTGTGCAGGAGCCAGCCGTCAGGGCGTTGCGTGCAGGATTTACCCAGGAGGTGAAATTGCTCCCAGGAAGGAGGGGGGTGTCTATGATGTCAGATTTTTCAACTGGTTCATAACTCTGGTCGCAGACGCTTAGAGTGAAAGAGGCTAACGTTTTTGTTTTATTTTCTGAAAAATAAATTTACATCCTTGTTACCCATAGAATCTTGTTGCCCATTGAATATCATCTTCTGCTTCTTCTTGTTTCGTCTCGTATGGCTGATGTTGATTTACAGCAGCAGCAGCAGCAGCTTTAATTTCATATCGAGGTGGTTGAGCCCAGATAATCGCGTCAGGAGTAGCGGGGAGGCTGTGCTTAATCCTTTGGAACAGCAGAGACAACAAGGCTGAAGAGGTCTGCGCTTGAAGCAGCGAGGCTCGGCAGATGGTGCAATGCTCAAAAGCGGCCACCTGCTTTGTGAGCTCAGCCGCAGCCGACGGGAAGTAACGAGCGCGCTCAATTGCTTACCGGAAAAGCAGGAAGCACAGCCTGAGGGAATGTTTGAAAGTTGTTGTTGCGGTTGATTTGCATTCCATCTTGCATCGCGATTTTTCCAAATATCTGACAAAGAAGAGAAAATCGTTTACTGCTGATACAAATCAAACGAATATAGGTTTTTTTTGTTTACGTAATAATTAACAGATACAAGAATCCATCTCTCCACAAGAAATAAGTTGTCACCTCTACGATGTATTTTTGGGTTTTACCACCTGTCATTCGGGTGTGCTGTGAATCTTGACACGTGGAATGAAACGTCGGACATCGTGCAGAACAATACGTGGTACAACCCGACAACACATGAGACAGCTATTGGAAGAAACTGTGGAAATCTACTCAGTAAATAATGTTTTAGCTTGGAAAGAAAGCCCGTGGGCTTATGGACTGAAGTATTATTTCATGCAGAGCCATGACCTATAGTCAATTTAATTCCAAAATTATGTTCGATAGCAGCATTTGCTTAAGCAGGAAAACTCTGGAGAGGCTTTAGCCATCATTAGACCTCCTTTGCCAGTACCAAAATATAATAGTAGAGTTTTCCCCCTTTTTCTGGCAACAAAACTGAAACCTTTTAACAAGGAATCATGTGTGCATTAACCACAATACTTGTGGACAAAATGCAAACAAAAAACACACTGATAATATCTGCATTGTCCTTGAAACTGATTGATCCACCCCAGAGACGGCTTTCTTTTAAGCCTAGTCTCAATTGGTGCTAGACCAGAGGACGCCAAAAGGCGTACAGCTCAAAGACAATGCACGATCAAAGTAATGAGGGCTCTGGGTAAGCATCTACATCATTAGACCTCCTTTGCCAGTACCGACATATAATAATAGGCTTTCGCCAGTCAATTCTACATCATGGGACCTCCTTTGCCAGTGCCAAAATACGAGAAGAGGTTTTTCCTCTTTTTTCAGGCAATGCCTTTTGGTGTCCTCTGGTCTAACACCGCTTGAGACGAAGAAAGCTGTCTCTGGTGTGGACCAATCAGTTTCAAAGACAATGCATATATTATGAGAGTATGTTTTTTGTTTGCATTTTGACCACACGTATTGTGGTTAATGCAGACATGATACCTTGTAAAAAGGTTTCAGTTTGGTGTTTTAACAACTTAACACCTGTTTTGTTGTCAGATAAAAGGGGAAAAACCTATTCTCCATTCAATTCTCATCATCGGGAGTCACCTACACAAGCAAAACTAGAACAGAACAAAAACTACACTGATCACATTTGAATTTCCAGATATGCCATCCAAGCTCGGCATTGTTTGCGGCACTTCGTGCTCTGACTGAGTGATCCACATCGATGCGTAGGAATCACCTGCATTCCGATCACGGCGTAGATGAAAAACATCATCACGATAAGCAGGGCGACATATGGCAGGGCCTGTGGAGAGAAGCAAGGGAAATAAGCGCGATAACATCATGGCATACTCCGGTACTCGACATGGCTTTTGGCCTTATACGAAGGAAAGAATCCTCATTGCCGCGATACATTCAAGTTTATCGGTTCGGTTGCAACATACATTTTAAAGAAAGTTTTGCTAAATAACGATAGTCGCTTTTACTCCTTTGCTAATCGACTACTGGTTGGTCAGCATGGCGTTTCGGAGGCAACACAAGCTTCCGTCTTCAGGTGGAACCGTCATAGCACGATAGCTGTATCAAGTGAGAGAAATTATTTTTTTATTTTACTCTTATTATTTTTTATTTTTGACCTACGTGACTTTACCGAAAAAACCTAAGAATATGAATCCTTGCAGTCACGAAAGCTTCAAATCTAGAATTAATGGTCAGCATGGGTCTGTGAAGGATGGGTCCCCAGCTCAGATCCCCATTTAATTCGCCACTGATGTTAGCCGTGGCTGTGAATCGAACTCGGATCTAGATTTGTGGATATGAGATTTGTAGCATAGTGCGCTAACCACTGTGCCCACCGCTCCTTCCCCAAAGCATTATCGACTTATATTTCCGCCGCTATTCACGCGTAACTTATTATTTCATTGTTCACGTATTTGATTCTGTAATTACCCGCTGTGCCGATAAGCTTTGACAAGAACTGATGGAACGAATCTCAATTTCACGATACGCTCAAGTTTATTGGTTTGCATGTAACAACGCTTTGGAAATTGAAACTAAAGTTTAAATAGAAACTGTCAAGAAGTAGTATGCCTTGCAGTGGTTCAGTGTTCCCTATTTAACAGACTTTGAAACACAAGTTAATTTTTTGAAATCGATTTTTGCTCTGTGTAGACTTGTGCCTCAAATGTCCCCTCGTGTTTTCTCACAAATGTCTCGTTATAAATCGAGTTTGTCTCATACAATGACGTGTAGTTTTCCATGCAAGATATAAATGCACGCAATCATACATTAAGGGATTAGTGTATGTATGCGTATTTATTCTCCAATTCCGTAACCATGATATGTATGGATCGTGATTTTGTATGTTAAAATCAATAAATAACCTTGGTGTGTGTATATATGCATGCATGTTAGAGCAGTTAACACTCTTTGCCCTGAAGCTAGTGACTTGAGTTTGATTCTAGACCACGGCTGACATTAGTGACAAATAATATTGGAACTGGTTCTACCATTCCACCCCTTCCCCCCCCCCCCGCCACCTGAGGACGGCTGCTTGCGTTGTGGCCGAAACGTCGTGAGAATTATTTTATTATGTTTTATTTTTATTATTTTATTACTTCCCTTCTACGTGACTTTACCGAAAGAACCAAGAAGATGAATCCCTGCAGTCACGAAAGCTTTAAATCGAAACTGAACACTGTCATATATATCGAAATAAGAATATTTATTGGGACTGGAAGAATCCGATGAGCTATAAAGCTCTTTTTCACAAACGTCCAGGAGATGCAGGTCAAAACGTAACAACAAGAAACAATATACACACACTTAGACTAACAGAATGAACCAAACGCTATAAAATAGACTAAAACAATAAGAAACTGTACAAAGGGGGCCATAGATAAAGGATAATCAGAGAATAAATGATTCAATCTAAACGTGACCCCAAATTGTGACAAGACATCGGATATCTGTAATTCATTGACAAAACTTGTTGCATGCCTAGCGACTATTGTCATGATCGAATACGTTTGCGGTCACGTGTGTTTGGGTGTTCACCTTCAGTTGACGCTTAAATACCCCGGATAAGCAAACAACAAGGTAGACGACCTCTGTTTATAACCAGGTGAGAACCCATTAAGGTGAAAGTCTATTTTGTCAAAGACAACTGGGAAGCAAAATTGGCACTTCTACGGAACTTCAGATTTACCGGAGGAGGAGTGTGCAGACCTTTGCACTGTGCAAATTGAATTTCTCGCTGCAAGAGGGGGTCATCGGGACTTGATGAAGGTCTATCCCGGACCTGACGCAGCGCTCACCTGGAATGATTTTATGAAGGTCCACAGGAGGGTGCGAATGCCCTCCCCTTGCTTAGGAGCTTGACGAGTCTCATCACACGGAAGAGACGGAAGAATGTGATGGAGATGCGGGAGCTGTCCTCGGAACTCTGACGGATAAAATCGACGAGCAATCCGGACGTTAGCGTCGAGCTCCGTGCGCCGTCCGCACGCCCATTCAGGGTCCTCGTCCGCATATAGCGCATCATCACAAAACAGCAAATAAAAACAAAACGACAACGAAAAAACACCATGCGCTAAGGTTGTTGTTGGGTTTTTTTTTTTTGGTCGCGTGAACGTCTCAAACGCAAAAATGCAGTTTTGGACAGCCATGCTGAATACGCAGCAATTGGCGCAAACGAAAAAAAAAAGGCAATGCAATGCCACCCAGCTTGCATCCCAAAACGTAAACATCACTGCAAAAAAATCACTGCGATGGCTGGAGGAGAGGGAGGAGTTGTGGGGGCGGAGTGTGACCATGCCAGGGCGTGCATTGGTTGTCACGGCACAAGGTGCTGGGGGAAGGGACGAGAGGGCACCTTTGTCTGGCCCATCTTACCATCGTGGGCAGATCAAAATTAGTATCAGCGGCAGGAACATCATCATCATCATCATCTAAAGGGCAAGTTCCAGTTGGCTTCGAAGAGGGGAACACAGACAGGATGAAGTGAAGTGTCTCACAATCGACAAAATACACGGTGGTGTCGACTGCGTAACGTGGACGCGCGATGGCATGCTGGTGATTTTTAGAAGGCTCGGAAATTCACACAATCGGGTTAATAATGCAACGGGACAGGCACGGGAGTACGCCAGAATGAGAGCCACACTACGAAACGTCAATGGATGCGATGCAAGTAAAGACGACTATGCACAATCCAGGCACAGGAAACTAGAATCTCTTAAACAGTAAATAAAAGCCAAGTGAATCCGTTCACACAACATAATCGACGGACGTTGGTAAAAAAAAAAACCTGACATTTCTTAACACTGAGCAAACGATGACTGGGCAATAAATATTTTCAGCTTTTATGCTCGTACCGGTAAGCCTTGGGGTGTAGATATCTCTGTTGGAAAAGGGGTTCAGAGCCAGGACCCGCAATTTCCCTCTTAAGTGGCATCGACTTTTGACGGACATAATTTGCAGGAACAAGGAAAGTTTGCGATCTGGCATTTTGAAGGCAAATCTTTTTTTGGACTCTCAAAACTGCTGGATTGCGAGGTGGCCATGGTGTTGGCAATATATATCAAAGGTATTCACGTGCCCATCTGTGTCGACCTTTTGGTGCTGTACAGACGTCTGCACGGGTTTTCTCTGGCTATTGAGGTTTACTGTCGCATCCAAAAGACTCCTTTAAAAAGACAATGGCCGATCAAGACAAAAATAACATTGAGCCTCAATGAGGTTTTTCTCTATTATGTAAAAAAGTTAAAGGAGCGGCCCTGCAAATGCTTGCTTATGCCACCGCAGAAGGGCCTCCACTCGGAGAAGCTGGGGAATTCTCACGACCCGAATTTGAACCATTCTCACAGCTTCTTGATTACCAACTCCACCTTTCCAAAGGCACCATCTTAACACTGGGTAGAGTCAGTGGCCACGGAGCCTCGCTAGTCAAGAGGCGAGAGCCCACGGCAAGCGGACAACGTTCAGGAACGCCCGCGGGCGCCCGTGGCGGCGGCAACTCAGACGGACGGCACGGCGAGGTGGACGGCAAGCGTGATGGTGCATTACCTCTCCCAGGTGGCCTCCGTTCTGATGGATAGAAGCAAGCGGCAAGCGTGGGAAGCGGCCGACGAGGAAAAAAAAAATGGGCACAAAAAAGTAGAATAACAAAATAAATAAAATGACATGAGTGGCTGTGGGGATAATAAAGGGGCGAGCCATTTTGATGGTGGTGGTGGATATGGGGGGGGGGGGGGGGCAGGAAGGGAAGGAGCGATGGTGGTGGTAGCAGTGAGGGTAAGCATGGTGTAGGCAGGGTACGTTGTGCGGTTGGGATGGTTTTGGCGGTAGTGGGTTAGTGGTGATTTGCGCGGGCGGGCGGGTGGCTTTTTGCAGCGAAACGCGCAGTATGGGCAGGGAGAGCACGCATGCAGACACAACAATGACAATGAGCCGGTGAGTTATGCACAAACAATTCCTGCCCACTCCCATCGTCTAGGACTCATCACCCAGTGGTTGTAGCATGCACCCTTGGGTGCAAGGACTTAAATGGAGCCCCGTGTCCAATTCCCCCCCCCCCCCCACCACTCTTCACAGACTGGCACCTGGGCCGCTGCACTGCCTACACACTCAATCGCTCCGCTGTGGTCGCGAGTGAAGCATCCAGTTAACCAGGTTGTTCGGCGTAACCCCTTTCACTCTGCCCAACGGCCGTCCTGGGTTAACACTGCAGGTCCGATGAGCCGTGAAATACTACGGCGCCATCTGCTTCGCTTCACAGTGGACTTTATTGAAAAGTCCAGTATGCCACGGTGTGTGTGTGTGTGTCAGCGTCACAGTCGAGATTTGGCAATTTAGAATTTTTTTTACCAGGATTTACCGTACTTAATTGCGTAAAAAACACATTGCAACATCGCACCCGCTGCTGGTGATCTCATGCCCATTTGCAGGCCAGCGCTGCATACTCCTTGTGCGGTGAAGGGGCAAACTGCAACAAACCTAGCAGGTCCTTCCCAATAAAAATAGTATCTCTCTCTCTCTGTCATCTTTCTGGTGTAAAGAAGGGACATCGCATGAAATATCAGCCTACAGTATATGTCCTATTAAACACAGCGTCAACTACAAATTTAGCGTATTTTCAAATTGAGCCTGAGCACCACTTGCCAAAGCAGTCCCTCGATAGTTTTTTTTGTCCTTTTCAGCACCGTTTAAGCATTCCTGTAAATAAGTGTGGTGGCAGAAGGGCACCTAATCAAATCGATCGTCGCGGAAATGTAAATGAGCGGGGGAGTACTTACGTTCACTTCGGTGATAGCAATATCAACGACGCTACCCACAACAATCAAGGCATCAAACGAGTTCCATGCGTCAAAGAAATAGTGCTGTGCACAGCGAGCGGCAGCGAGAGAAGAGGAGAGACAGAAAACAAAGGAGGGAATGGAAGAAAAAGAACAACAACAACAAAAGAACAAAAGAGAGAAACATTTAAAAACAAGCAGCCACCAATGACGCTGACTCTAAGAGCAAACTCGGGCTTGAGCTGGACGCAAGGATGTCAGTTTTCTGCCACAACCCTGGTGGCCTACCTCTCGGACATTAACCTGCAGGGAGAATAGAGAGAGGGCTTCTAATTCATCCCCTAGACAAAGAAGTGTAGGACTGTTTATGCGTATGCTCACCAGGAGGTATGAAAAATAACAGTCATGCGGTTATTGGTGGCTGCCCCAAGAGCATCAACTCACGGCACTCGAGAGTCCAGTATAGTCACGGTTTGACTGAAACCCAGATTCAAACTCCCTGCGGTTTTGGCTCAATGCTCTCGCAAAGTATTGGTCTCTGAAGCACCCAGCCACCTTCGGAAAGGTGTCTTAAGTTTACGTTTCTTTTGCATAACCTGGTGAGACCTCAAGCGACGGGATGCATCTGGTTTGCAAGAGTGAGCCGGGTCACCGAAATGACGACGGCAAAAATGAATTGAATAAAGGTACAGCGATAAATTCGGCACTGCATTAAAAACCCTCTCCTATATTCGCCGCGGGGTCGTCTACGTTCACCGGGAGGTGTGTAGTCATGTGTGACTTGCCAAACAGAGGCACGGGGTGGAGGAGGAAGAGGGGGAGGAGGATGAACGCAAAGCAGCTGGGCCTGATGTAGGCGAAAGGCGACGGGGGGATAAGCGAGGGGACGAGCGGAGGGAGAGAAGGGACAAGGGTGGCTCACATACTCACGTCGATTTCACTGAGAACGACGTCTATAATGCTGCCAATCACGATGAGGGAGTCAAACACGTTCCAGGGGTCACTAAAATAGCCCTAGACAACACGAGGATCAGGACGCAAGGGTAGACGTGTCAGGGGCAAGGAGGTCAACGGCGACTCGGCATCCCGGGGAACTCTGTGAAAACACTGAAAATGGTTTCAGATAAAAGGGTGGGGGGGGGGGGAACCACTCGAGGTGCAAAAAAACCACAGCGACTTAACATTCCACACGTGACAAACGAAGGGACAGATGTTTGTCTGGCCAACCAAATATCAAACGAAATAGAATGTACGTCCATTAGCCTACGGCCTTGTTGAATCGATCTTTATCGGCAGTAGTTTTCTAAGCGCCAAACCCTGCACCGATTTTGTGATTCTCAGGCTCATCAGCAGTGCGTGACCTGTTTAAGGATTGCTGCTGATGCTGCTGATTTGCCCTGGCGTTATGGGAACGAGCGATCAGCAGACAACACGACGCTCGCCCAGCGTGTTGCAGGCTCTTGTCTGTCACGCCGGGCAACGCGTCGGCATTTGTTGAATAAGCCACGCTGCCGATGAGAGGCAAAATGGGCAAAACTGGTCCAGAATTTGCAGCCGAAACTATTTCTGATGGGAAACATTTGTCCAGAAATCCCACAGGACGATGTTCGTGAGCATCATTCTATTTTTACTCGTGAGAAGCAGACATTCGCACGTTTATTTATATCTTAACAATCTTTTAGCCAAAACCCACCAAGATGGTGCGTAATTTTGTAACGTTAAATTCCATTTATTTTAATAAATTACGGGCCAGATTCACATCTTCATGATATGGATACAAACCTATTATTTTGGCAATACTGTCCACCCCCAAGTAGTTCACCCCCAAGTTGTTCATCGAAGCATTGGCACAACTTCATCAAAATATGTTTTTTCAAGATAATGGGGGACACTTTAACAATCACGATGACATCTTTACTGCCGAATATGTACCGTTCATTTTTCAGGAAGAGCGAAACAGCTCCTGTGGATATGGAGCTCGGATTACATCGTGCCGTGTCTGGGGTATGTGAATGTTAAATACTGCCACTGCCGTCTCTCACTGGCACCACTGCCAGGCTGTCTGGCCAGGCAATGAGCCCCCCCCCCCCACCCACGTCACCATCATCTCAGAGAAACATTTGACACATCTACTGTTGTCATTTTACAAAGCGCAAAAATTCACTCTCCTGCGTGCATTGTTCATTAGCAGCCACGTTAGCCGTGTTGCTGCAAACGCAGTTTCCATTCTGCAAGTGCTAGAGCGGCTGTTTTGATTAATATTCGGCTGCTCGGATATCAGGCGTGGGATCTCTGAAATGAGCACATTATTACCATCCAATTCACTGGACGTCAACACGATTCAATTCCCCGCAGCAGCCGAACTATTACCGCCATCGCACACGCACTTGCAAGCAATGCCGAGAATGAATCTTCACGTCGCACGGCATAGCACACGGTTACAGATCCTGGGGTTATTGTTACGCAGGATTTCAGGGGAACAAACACACACGCACACACACGCTAGGGTCCAAATCGTGGGGCGGTTTTCATGGGGGCAGAGGGAAATGTTTGGTCAAGTCATTTCATGATCCTGATAGAAGAAAACAAATCAAGAGCTTTCCATAGCCAAACAAAACTGTGGCAGCCTAGGGCTGAGAACTCACAAGCATCCGTTCCTTTTTGTTGACAAACACCTGCAATGCATTTGTTTAGGACATCAACACATAATCTGCCTGTTGGGGAATATCCACGCCTTGCTTGAACAGTGCAGGCCCAGAACACGGAATAACGAGATGACGACAAATTATTTATTAGTCTACTAGATTAGCCCGTCATTAGCAATGACACACAGCCTAATCCCATATGACAGACACACGAGTTAATTATACTTGCCCTTATTGTTTAGGCATGTCCCGTAAAGCACGCATTACACTGCATTACGAATAAATGCTGTCTCTCTGTGTATGCAGGCACACATGCTCACGCGAGCGTGTAGCGGTAACGTGAGTGTAGTTGTTCACACAACTGCAACTCCAAACCCAGCCAACTCGGTTGAACTCCCCGTAGCGAATGGTATCTGAGCCCGTCCTGAACCTCTCCTCGATCGACTCAGCCTCAGATGACTCACTGGTGGTGTGTGCACATCTGAGCAGTGGGGAGAATAAAGGTGGCTGGGAGTGGTGCTCACCTCACCACCCTCTCGTGCGTGCCCGGCTAACCTGAATTGCTGCCCGATAACAGAATGGGGACCCCCCTCCCCCCACCGCGCTATGGGTGGATAAACAGGGGACGCACAATTTAACCGTATATCATTGCGTGAAGGTGGAGATAGGATGTTCGATTTCCAGCCTTGACGGAAATCCCCGTGGTAATTGCTCTACGAATCTGGCCGATGTAGACTCAGGCTAGAATTGGTGACTCGGTGGCAATAGTGTGGGCAACGTTGACACTGGGGATATGAAGGCAGCTGGGAGCGCATGTTTATGGCTACGACACTTGTCCTGCGTAGTAAGACATGTCATAGTTAAAAAGACTCCACTGAAGATCTTTGGCTATTGTGTGTAATTTCTAGGGATGTTTTGTTTGAATGCACCCTTTAAAGGATACACGGGGGGGCTTTGTTCGTGTGTGAGTGCAGCGGTTAGCGGGCTGCGCTACGAACTCGGCAACCCGAGTTCGATTCCCGCTCGTGGCCAGCACCGGTGACAATTATCTCAACCGGTCCCAGGCCTCCCCTAGGTTAACTCAGCCTGGCGCGATGTGCAAACGTCGCCACTGGGAATACAAACGAGACCGGGCGTGGTGCTGGCCACCCGCCCCCTCGCGTGCCGTGCCTGCCCTTCATAGGTGCTCGCTAACAGCACTTGCCCCAACAGTCTTACAAAGCTACACGGGGGATCTTTGTCTTAATTCGCACGCCATTGTCAATCACTTGTGGGATAAAGCCCCCCCCCACCTCCCCGCACCCAGGCTTGGTTGTTGTTGTTATTTGCCATACTTCACCACACTGGCTTGTGAAGGGGAGGTGGTTGGTTCGCACGTCGATTGCCACTGACGTTAAACCCGTGGCCGTGAAAGTGAGCCAAGGTTCATCATGCAGCGCAAGATCCACCGGCCTAATCTAGATTTGAAGTTTTCGTGACTGCAGGGATCCATACTCTTTGTTTCTTTCGGTAAAGTCACGTAGGTATAAAATAAAATAAATTAAATCTGTGGACGTCCCACCTGATGACGGACGCTTGTGTTGCGCCCGAAACGTCGTTATTTAATTTATGTTATTTTATACCTACGTGACTTTACCGAAAGAACCAGATAGCAGAGGTGTGGACTCGAGTCATGTGACTTGGACTCGAGTCAGACTCGAGTCATGAATTTGATGACTTCAGACTCGACTTGGACTTGCATAACAATGACTTTGTCCCACCTCTGAGGTGTGGACTCGAGTCATGTGACTTGGACTCGAGTCAGACTCGAGTCATGAATTTGATGACTTCAGACTCGACTTGGACTTGCATAACAATGACTTTGTCCCACCTCTGCCAGATAGTATCCACCGGCCTCACTGCTGCTCCACCCTGCCCGTGCATTCACGTGAACTTATCTAGCTAGACGATCTCATTACCTTGTCTCCAGACCGAGAGATGCTTACGTATTGAGTAACTGTGTCAAATTGTATATACACACACACATATATATGAAGTAATTATACTTGCCAACCCTATTGTTTGAAGCTGCAGGCTGCCGAATCTTTAACCCCCTATTGGGCCGGACCGGTTTAGAAGGGAAAAATTTGCGACATTTTTTCTCGCAAAAATTGGGGCAATATTTTTTTGGCGGGAGAAACGAAAACTATATTTAATATTTCTAGATTTGAAGCTTTCGTGACTGCAAGGATTCATATTCTTAGGTTTTTTCGGTAAAGTCACGTAGGTAGAAAATTTAAATTAATAAAATAAAAATAAAATAAAAATCACGACGTTTCGGAGGAAACACAAGCTTCCACCTCAAGACGGAAGCTTGTGTTGCCTCCGAAACGTCGTGATTTTTATCTTATTTTTATTTAACTTTTATTAATTTTTATTTTTTACCTACGTGACTTTACCGAAAAAACCTAAGAATATATATTTAATATATATAAAAAAATATTCTTTGATGCGTTACTTTGCTTTTGCAAAGCAGCACGAGTAGCTTCTGTGCGAGGAGAAGTGTTATTGCGTTGCCTGGATAAGAGGTGGCAGCGGCTCGGGAAGTCCTTCATCCAGCAGTGGATTGAGCATGGCTGAAGATCATATTTGAAAACTGGCATGCGGTAACAAAAATATTTAAACATAGGCAGCTACCGTTTAAATCTGCACGGCTGGCAAGTATGCGGTGTATAGCATGTTGAAGTGCACATTGCAGCACGGATATGGTGCAGATACAGAGAAAGTAATGCACATCCCCTTGATATCTATACAACACATTGCATTATTACGTCGCATCAATATTGTCAATTCCCACCATATATAATTCACATGGGATGAAACGTATACATCAATATGTGTTGCACACTTCATGTAGGTGGAGTGGGAGCTGGCGAATATGAATAGGTGGAGTGGGCGTCTCTTTGCAGTATGCCGACAGCCAAGGCTTACCCTCGGCTTGAAGGCAATTATCTTGAGGACCATCTCCACAGTGAAGAGCCCAGTGAACACCATATTGAGGATATCCATGGCGTAGTTAAACAGGAAGGTTTGGTTGTAATGCTGAAAAAACAACAACAACAAGCGGCCGTCTTCAGTGGTTTCATGCGCTCAAGTGACAGCAGCAGGGGACGAAACCCATTGAAGCTGCAAGTGCTACTGCTCCATGGCGCCGTGACGCCGGGTGATATGCGTCCGTGTACGAACTGTACACGTCTTGTGTCGTGGGGGGTTAATTGGCCGTACAACGAGATGCTGGCTAATTCAGGTGGGCGAAGGCAGAGAGAGCGTAGACAGGGGAGCATAGAGGCGCAGTACAGCGATGGATTTTTCTCTGCGCTGCCCTCCCTCTGCCGCTCACCACATAGCCCCCGCAGCCTTATGACGCATAGCGGTCAGTCATTCGAGTACTGCTTCGAGGCTCGACGCTGCTCGGCCTCTGATATTTGATGACATCAGGGAACATTTGGGGTGATGAGCGATATGGCACAACATGCACAGTGTATCACATGTATTCACACTCAAGGCACGTGCGTATATCCAAGCTGCATTGCCGGTAATCACAGGCACAGCTGTCATGTCAGGTGAGCTGGCAGCACGCCTGTGATTCAGTGCTTTGTAGGCAAGGGTTGGTGAATTAGGCAGATTTAAGAAAAAGCCCAAACAAAACAGGGTTTGCAGGTGGTTAAGAGGTGGCAATGCGGAAAACTTGAGTGTCAAATCCGTCTGTGTAGGACTTTGTAATGTGCGGGCTTTCTCTGTGTACTCTGGTTCCCACTCTGCATCTTGAATCGAATTGGCCAAAACATTCCAATGCAGGACCCTCCAAAAAAAAGAGAGTGTTTAAGACTCAGAGAGGCTTTCCGGGAGGAATAAAATAAAGGGCATATCAAGGGGGCAACCTGGTCCTCCGATTGACATCGGCAGCTCCGAGCAAAGATGTTCCCCAGCCGTGATGCTGATAGCGAACAACTAAAGGTGACAGACCCGGACCACGCATTTCTCGAGATAGACAGGCGGACAGAAAACGTGATGCAATGTCAGTGACAGATGGACATTAATCCATAGGCCAGTGATCACGTATATGACGTCTGGTGCCAATGCTGCTCTCCGGGATAACAACTGTCCTCTCCTGTGTTCAAGTGGTAGTCGCAGTTTTTTTGCCTGCAGTTTGGTAGCCACAGTCCATGGGAACGTCTTGATTCATAGTAATAATCATGATGCTAATAATTCACGTGATTGGTATTCATGCCATTCGTACAGCACAATGGCACGCATGATGGTGCTGTGTTTCACAGACCAATATAGTCTGCCAGTGGTAAGGCAATCCCGACACATAGTTGATCTCAATCCACCCATCTGGCAAATTTGTACCATGATGCTGACACACATGGCCTAGTCTTTTTTGAATGACGTCACGGGATCTTTTGACATCCACTTAGCAAGCAGACGGCACGTACTGTATGTATTTTTTGTTAAATATATCCAAAGTATTAATCAGGATGGTCGCCTGGTTCGACCCATGAACCTCTGCACCTAGCATGCTACCGCTCGGCAGTGTCACAACCCCCACTGATTGTAGACACTAAACAAAAAACTAAACACTATTTTTATTTTATCAGGTAAGGCCCACTAAGCTATATAGCTCTTTTTCAGAATCGACCCGGCCACAAATGATAGCTCAACAAAACGTGGAGGGAAAACCCGGAGGACCCGGAGAAAAATTCACACAACCACGTGGAAAACATGCAAACTCCAAATATACAGCAGCAGGCGTCAGGGTCTGGATTGAACCGACGACCTCCCGTATACCAGGCGAGGTAGTTAACATCTCGCCATGGTGGCACCCACAGTAACGAGATGTTATCCAGCCTAGGCATGAACCTAGGCTGGTTATCCCAGGCTATGAGACAAGAGTTTTAAGTTTAGATGCAAGTGTTTTTGTTTACCCAGGTGAAAACCCCCCAACGGTCCATTTGCCAGAGTGACCTGGGGTGTTTGTCTGCCAGAAAGGGGGGGGGGGGGATTGCTCTGCATTGTCCCCAGTTGAGTAATTTACGGTATGATTTTTTAATTTGACCAATATGGACACCGAATTTGAAGCATCATTGTAAAAATAGACATTAAAGTGTATCATTATCGTACTCTCGTGACATTGGCGTGCGACATCGCTGACACATGTTTAAATACAGTGATTTTATTTTGTTCTTTATGCCAGAGCAACTGACCTTGACATGAGGCTATCGTCTCGTTAGCGAAGCTTCAAACTGGAGTCAGAGAGTCTAGAACACGCACGGCTTAGGTCATAACTACACATTCGGACCTTTATGATTCCGTAAGTTGTAAGCAGTGCGCTCTGCAACTCTCTGGTTTGTTTTTGGTTTGTACCGCGTGTCGTTCGGCATGATGCCCGACGTTCCGCTCCACGTGAAGAAGCTCGCAAATACGTGGAGTGAAGCGTCGTACGTCACACGTTCCACAAAACGCGGAACAACCCAAAAAACACAAGGGAGAGCTGAGACTCATTTTCACGTGGATTAAATCATTCTTTGAGAGCTCACGTAGTCAGAGCAGTCAGGGGAGAGCGATTGATGGGAGTTAAGTGTGAACGTGTGCTTTGTGTGTGTGTTTGTGTGTCTTTGTTTTGTGTCGAGCTGTAGTGCAGCGTTTAGCACTGCTCCGCTTCAAATCCGGCGACCCGTGTTTAATTCCTGCTCGTGACCATCACAAGTGAAGATCATCTGAATTGGTTTTGGGCTTCCCCTAGGTCGACTGAACCTCAAATGAGTACATGGTGTGATTTCGATTTAAAGCTTTCGTGACTGCAGGGATTCATCTTCTTGGTTCTTTCGGTAAAGTCACGTAGAATGGAAATAATAACATTTTCACCTGAGGACGGCTACTTGCGTTGTGGCCGAAACGTCGTGAGAATTATTTTATTATGTTTCATTGTTATTTTTATTATTTTATTATTTCCATTCTACGTGACTTTACCGAAAGAACCAAGAACATGGTGTGATGTTCAAACATCTGCACTCGGGAGACGAAGATGGCCGGACGTGATGCTGGCCACCCACCCCTTTGTGTACTGTGCCGACCTTCATAGGTGCTCGCTAACAGCACCCGTCCCAAAAGTCTGTTAAGGCTAAGTGGGGGAGCGTGGGTGGGGGGGGATCTTTGCGTTTGCATAGCGCGGCTTTTGTACAGACAGGCACTGACCTGCATGCCAAGGCAGAGGGTGTTGAGCATGATCAGCACGAACATGACGTACTCGAAGGCGGTTGAGTTGACGACGTACCAGAACTTGTACTGGTACGGGTTTTTGGGGATGTATCGGCGGAAGGGCTTGGCTTTGAGGGCATACTCCACACACTGACGCTGCGCGCACACAACGCACCGATTGGTCAATCGCACCGCTGCTGCTTTGCGGAGAGGTCCATTGCTCCATTGCTCGCCGTTCCGAGTATAATGCAAGAACCAACGACAGTGCGAGGAGGAGAATTACGTTTCAAATGACAGTAAAGTATACATGTTTTTTCAAGCAGGTAAGGCCCACTGAGCTATCTAGCTCTTTATCAGAAGCGGCCTGGCTGTCACAGATGATAGCTCAATGAAGTAGCTTTTCATCATGCGGAATTATATAGCAGCCAAATACTCTAAACGCGTGTTTCTAAATGTGGAGGGAAAAACAGGAGGACCCGGATAAAAATCCGCGTGACCCCAAGGAGAACATGCAGACTCCAAATATACAGGAGGCGTTAGGATCGGGATCGAACCCACGACCTCCTGTATAACAGGCTAGGTAGTTAACATCTCGCCACCGTGGCACCCAAACTAGCAAATAAATCTCCGCACGTCACGGGTTGGTGAAAATAAAATGGAAGAGAAGCCAAGAAGTGAACAATTAAGCCTGTGTAGATCAAGAGAAACGTGCTTGGAATAACACTAATTGACAGGAAAAGGAACGCACGGATTAGAGAACATATGCAAGTCATAGACATTGTATATTGAGAGTTAAGAAAATAATGCGGGCTTGGGTAGGATATGTCACTGGAAGAAATTATTCTCAGTGGTCAAGGTTAACGACAAGAGTGGCAGCCAAAGAGGGATAACATGCCCTTGTAGGTCGTCCAGCCTGCAGATGAAGCGATAATATTAGCTCCTAATTTTCATTTCTATTTATTACATTTTGATCCATGACCTCGATGGATTTTTCTATCGCAAGACGTGGAACAGTTTTGGGAGGCCATCATCATCCAAGCCGTAGATAGATCATGGCTGATGCTGATGATGTTGAATCAAAATGAAGCACCAATCGGTGCTCCCTTCACACATCGCCTGCCGTGTCTCCACCCAGTGCCCGGACACTAACCTGGTTCTTGTCAAGCTCACAGTTTTCGTACTCCTTCTCTCCCTGTTCCTGGAAGGTGATGATGACGAAACCCACGAAGATATTCATCATGAAGAAGGCGATGATAATAATGTAGATGATGAAGAAAATGGAGATTTCTACGCGGTAGTTGTAGATGGGTCCAGAGTTCTCTGCGTTGGAGTCAATCGCCTTGTACAGCAACCTGCCCAATGCAAACGCAAAAAAAAATTAACCCGTAAAAACAAAGTTTTTCACTATAAATCCTTTATATGCGTGGCGGCTAGAGTCCTCTCGTCCTCTGGCTTGAAATGGCTGCCACCTATGGGTCAGATGATTGCCTGCCACCATTAAGCAATTGGTAATTAAATATAATTTTTTTTTTGCAAAATGTCAGCTCGATTGGATCACGGGAAGTGGGTTAAAAAACGACCGAAATATTTGCACGGTCGTAAGCGTGCAAGCAAGCAAGCAAATGAACTTAATATAAAGGATTTAAAAAAACATTGCATTCTCCTCATCATCATCACTTAATATTTAAACCTCACTGCCACCTAAGGTAGAGGACCCTCAGTGGCAGCTGTCTTTGCGTAGCACCAGGTGAACATATTACTGGCCTCCACATCGACATGAGCCTGCCGGTAGGGGGGCAACGTTGCTATGTGGCTTCCCAATGAAGCAATTTGCGAGTAAACTTTGGTGAATTTGGTGCCATGTTGCCGGCACGGAATATTAACATCCACAGTCAACCAGACGACACACATTAATCGTTAATACATCCGTAATATTAACATCCAGCCAACCAGACGACACACATTAATCGTTAATACATCCGTAATATTAACATCCAGCCAACCAGACGACACACATTAATCGTTAATACATCCGTAATATTAACCAGGGTGGCCACTAACCTCTAACCATGACCGTGAACCTCTCGGCCATGTAACTGTCCTGAATTTCCAGTGAAACACATTTTTAGTTTTTATTTCCACCGATAAATTCATCACTTTCTAATGGGTAAGCGCAACGACATTAGCACTGCGGCTTTATTTGATAAAAACACTTTTCCATTTAAAGCTTTCGTGACTGCAGGGATTCATCTTCTTGGTTCTTTTGGTAAAGTCACGTAGAAGGGAAGTAATAAAATAATAAAAATAAAACATAATAAGATAATTCTCACGACGTTTCGGCCACAACGCAAGCAGCCGTCCTCAGGTGAAGACCAGGTCTGTCGGGGAGACAGCGTCTCCACTTTGTACTCAACAGACAGCGTCTCCCCGACAGACCTGGTCTTCACCTGAGGACGGCTGCTTGCGTTTGTGGCCGAAACGTCGTGAGAATAATTTTATTATGTTTTATTTTTATTATTTGATTACTTCCCTTCTACGTGACTTTACCGAAAAAACCAAGAATAAAAAACACTTTTTTTGGGGGGCCCGGCACCAAAACACCCTCGCCACCACCGCCGCCGCCGCCGCCCTGCTGCGTCCGTCCCTTACGCGGGCCAGCCCTCAAAGGTGGAGACGGTGAAGAGGGCCATCATGCCCGTGAGGACGTTGTCGAAGTTGAAGTCGTTGTTGTGCCAGTTGCGCTCGCGGAATCATCGGCTGGTTCACGTCGCCGTCCTTGTACACGATGTACGTTCCCCTGGAAAACGAGGGCGCCTCCGGTTTAGCACGTCGCAATCGTCGGCGTGGGGGGGGGGGGGGGCAATTCGAACATCGCACTTGGTTGCATTTGGGGGATTGCTGCTCATAGGAGACACTTCAGGTGATGCATACGAATTCGTATGAATTTGGGACTTATACTTTATTCGTGGGAATGTCATCAGTGCCGTGATCTATTTCATTGTTGTACTGTACAATATTCCAATATCTACGCTCCCCTGACCAAACGTGGTGAAGTATGGTCAAGAAGCCCTCACCATCCGCATGGCGTGGGAAAGCCCTCAGCCAGACAGCCATGGATTGACACAAGGGCTGTGCATGTGAATGTTCGTATACAATCGTGGGGACTGAGATAATTAATAAATGGCCACATGTTCATGATATCCCCATGAACGAGTGTCTACAAATCTAAATCTGTTGAGTACAAAGTGGAGACCTTATTTATTTGGGTATCGCTCGTATAATTATCATAATACCGTTTACTTATTAACCCTGGAATTCCACAGAGTCCGCAGACCCTTTTTTAAAGAGGTTCCTGCTACATTGGATATTTGGCTAACGCCAATTATATTTAAAGTTTTTTTTTTTACTCTGGGAGCAATCCGGAGAACCCAGAGGAAACCCACGCAGAACAGAGGGTAAAACATCCACACTCCACATGGGAAGGCACCCGAATCAGGAATCGAACCCAGGCGCTTCTTGCTTGCGAGGCGCACGTGCTCACAACTTCGTACCACCCAGCATACCCCCCAAACAATGTCGAGGACTAATACGCGGCGTGAACACGCACAGACACACGGGATTCACAAAGCGACGCGTTGCAAAAGGCACGGTGTGGCGCGCGCAGGAACAGTGCGTACTTGCATTCCTCGGGGTTGTGCTTCGCCTCGTCCGTGCAGCTGTAGAACTTCCCCTGCGGGAGAGGAATTAAATTATCGCAGCCCGGAAAACTCACCGCGGTGTTGTCGGCAACCCTTCACACCGAAACGGCAACCCGGTTTGCGCGAACAGCGGTTCGCGCAGTGCGCTTCAGACTTTCGCTTCGTTTCGGTGAGCGCGTGATTATTTAGTTAGTGATTCGTTTGTTTCTCGAGGTAAAAGGTGCAGGTCCTCTAATTGCTTGCTGAGGCCCACTGCTGGCAGGAAGGGCCGCTACTGGAGGGAGTTCTTGAGGACTCCCCCAGAGTGTTTGGCCTACTGTTTGCACGCTGGCCAGAAATCTTAGAAGAGGTGGCAATGCCCACGCTTTCTACCACCACACGCGACCTGCCGATCGACTCGCTGGTGTAGATTCATTGACACCACTGGGTGGACAGCGGGGTTTAAGAAACTTGCACCGATATTTCAACTGTTCCGGAAGATTGAAGAGAACCGGAAATCTGTAGATTGCACATTCGGTGTGCTATCCTTGGCCACCATGGCAGCAGCCATGTAACAATTTATTTGTTTATTAAAAGACAATCACGTAAACTCTGTATATATTTGATGGTGGCTTTCCTAAGGGCCCGAGCGTGTGAACATGCTGAGCTCTCATGAATTTTGACTACGCACAAATCATCCCCACCATCACACCATCGACCACCCCCCGGACATTTCACACGCGACGTGCGATCGTGAATGTGTGGCTGCCGCTCTCGTCGGAAGAGAGATCCGCTTCGCAGCGAACACGCCGCTGCGCTCCATTTGCTCAACGCATTGTTCCATTTCGTTCACCTGGGGCGTGGACTCCCATGGGCCACAAGGCGTATTCGAGTTAACAATCGCCAATGATGCTCAGCCTTTCGTCGATCCACTGCTGGAATGTGGAAAGCCTCCCCGCGGGGCTCCATCAGCCATGCTTAGGAGAAAATGAGGGTCGCTTGGCTTGAATGTGCATAGCGCACTGCACTATAAACACAGCCACTCGAGCTTCAACTCCCGGCCGTGATTTCCTGCTGTCAGTCGAGAGTGATGTCAGAACAGGTCCTGGGCCCTCATCCCCAGATAACAGATGGGAGACCACGACACGTTAAGCAGGTGTCATAGATTGCTGCCGGAAGGGCTACATTGTGGGCAGCAGAGGGCTTTAAAAATAAATATTGTACTTTACTATGAACTCAAGTCGATGCTCCCCCATCTTCACCAACCTGCACAGACCCACGTGACAATGTATAATCAAACGGACCATTTGACTGGGACAGCTTGGGTGAGAGGAGGCCTCTGTCCCACGGTAGATTTATGAAAGTCTGTAAACTACTCTTGATTATTATCAATACCCATTACGAGAATGAGGCATTTCCTCAATACAGTAGAACCCCTCTTAACGACCACCCCTGTTAATGACTAATTGCTTAACGACGGGCCTCCATAGAGCCCAATGTGTTCACTTACCGATCCATTCGCCTGTTAACGACGGGCTTACAACGAGCACGCGACGGCCAATTTCGGCCAATCGGTGAGCTCCAAAGCGGTCTGACTAGGCCTCGGGCAATCAGCGACGTTCATTCTTGAGCGTTGGAGCATTGTTAAAATGCAATGTCTGCTGTGCTTTGAAGTGGAAACATGTCGTTAAGCGAGTGGAACCAATTACCGTCGTGAAGGGGGGTTCTACTGTATTTCCGAGATCCCTTAGCAAACAGCCCCGTGGTGGCTTAAGCGTACCTTGAAGAGCTGCACTCCAATGCAGGCAAACATGAACTGCAGCAGTGTGGTGACGATCATGATGTTGCCGATGGTCCGAATAGCCACGAACACGCACTGGACCACGTGCTGCCCGACAAATCAGCACGCACCACCAGATGCATGATGTAACACGTAGGCTTTCGCAGCCAATATTGTAATACATGGATCATTCTTTTGGGTCAGGCCATTTAAGTGATCTGGTCAAATGTGTCGTAAGACCCTTCACCACCCAACATAGTCAAACATATGTAGATGTGACACGTACAAGTGTTGCACGTGCCAATAGTTATTGGTTCAACTTATCGGTAAGTTGAAAAACGACCCTCAGCAATCAAATTCAGCGATTAGATATGCCACGTTTGGCTTCGAAACTACGTTAAGCATCTTCAGGACAAAATACAGGAAAGTCACAATAAAATCTAGGAAGATGCTCGGCTTCCTGGATTTGTCTTGAAGGTTTTTTGTTTTAACTGTTGTATCTAAGTGGTAGCTTTGGTTGTGAGAACTATTGTTCAATGTAGCGCTGAGCGGAAATAATAATAGAGCGTTAAACGCGTTGTACACAGTGAACATTTCATTTGTTCAGCTATGTCCGGTTGTGAAGGGTCTTATGACAAAATTTGACCAGATCAGCTTCAGCCAAAAACCATTATGAGCATCATTACATCTATTCATCAAAATCATCATCATATTTCAATCATCATGATACATACATAATCGTGACCAGCAGAAATACATCTGAATCATCATTAGACTCACCATCAATCGTGATAATTATTATTATAAATGTTATCATCATCAATCAACCACCATCATCATCATTAATGCATCCACCATAAATAACAATTACAACATTCATCATTATCAATACTAATAATTCAATCATCACAATCATAATAAACAAACCCATGATCAACATATACTCTTCACCACCATCATCGGCTCCATGCGAACTGCCTATGAACTCTGAGCAGCCAATTGACCATTGCTCATCATTATTACATATTGTACGTGTAATTTAATGAGGGCAACTCATATGAATTACTCATTGGACTTATGAATGAGTGAGCGGGCCAAAGGGCTCAGACGTGACAACATCATAGGCATTAATGAAAGGAGAGAGAGAGAGAGCGAGAGAGCCACGGCGTACGAGATAATGGGGCGAACATTTTACCTTGAGGCCTTTTGCTCTGTTAATGGCCCTGAGAGGCCTTAGCACTCGAAGCACGCGGAGGATCTTTACCACGGAGATTCGCGCTTGATCTACAAAGAGAAGTCGACAACAACCATCGCTCAGAGGTGGCTATTGTGCCACGTGGTGACCATGAAGGCGCGAGCGAACTGGCCGTGGGGCAGGGTAGTAATCCCTAACCTCTGTCCTGGCTACAAAAAGGCTCTAACACCTAAAGGTTGCCACCAACGGCTCATTGGAATCTGCGGATGAAATGCTCCTTAAAAATGTTGATTTGTTATTATCTTTAGATTGAAAGCTTTCGTGACTGCAGGGATTCATATTCTTAGTTCTTTCGGTAAAGTCACATAGAAGGGAAATAATAAAATAATAAAAATTAAATTATCACGACGTTTCGGCCACAATGCAAGCAGACGTCCTCAGGTGAAGAAACAGAGCTGTCGTAAAGACAGCGTCTTAATGAACACTGCTAAGTGTGGCAGCGTATTTTAAGCTGGGTGGGAGGAGGAGAGAGCCTTGTCCTGGTTTTCCCATACCGTCATCTATTTGTGGTAGCTGTTCTGAGAAAAATCTGGAAGTCTTCCTGGAACAATAAAAGTCCCCGGGTTTTTGTCAGTTGCATAATTATGCACTCCTTAAGACGATGCATTCGCATGTAGTTATTCCCTCTCACAGTGGAATATTCTTCTTCGCGTGATATGTCCTGGTGTTTGATACCCCAGAGATGACAACTATATTCTGACTTTTGGGTTGTTCAAGGTCAGGGCTGGAAAAAAAGTCAGACTCCATTCAAAGCCACGGCCATTTTGCAAGTGAATCATTATCCACAAGATGAGAACAATCCATCTCTGTGAATGCAATTCAAGTGAACTCAACTCTAAGACAGAATGATCGTTTCACTACAATGTAATATGATTTATTTCTCGAGAAAAAACCTCACCGTATCTCAAAACTTTTTCCAGGAGAGTCCAAGATTGAAAATGATGGCCAATTCCATTGTCTGAGTGGTTTGCAAGCAGGTTTTCAAAAAGGTCTGCACAGATGGGTTTATGAACCCGCATTTAGCCATGCCACCATCTCCTGGCCAACTCTCGCAGCCCAGCGGCTTTGAAAGTTGCACGAACATGTAAGCTCTACCAACCCTTGCCACAGTTCACTGTTTTATTCTTACAAATCAACAGCAACACTGAATTACCATCTCATGTATAAGTGAATGTGGTGATGCGGGTGAACGAGCGTGGTTATATTATAAATGGTACCCTGTATTCTTTTGCCTATTTTCTTTTGACATTATTGTCACATGCCACAGACAGATGATGAAATTACCCATTTCACTGATGATGGAAAATGTATATTTCTAAGTGCACCCAGGCACTCAAATTACTTAAAGCAATGTAAAACTTCTAGGCTGACTCCGCCCAATGAGTGAAGCCAATCATACTGTGTTACCTCTTCCCTTTCAGAAGCCCAAATGTGAAAATTAGCATTTTTGTATTATTTTAGACATAGGCGTACACCAGACAATAGTTGTGATAAATGTCATGTTTTTATCCCTACAATAACTTAATCTGAATTTGCATGAGTCTTTCCATGATGATGTATCATACTTTTTCTAAAGTAATATTTAAAAATGAATACATACTCTGGAATAGACTAGGCTATTCCCGCATGCCATGTAATGGTATGCCTTATTATAGTACCTATACATATGTCTTTAAGGTGGTGCAGTGTTTGTGTGTTCGGCAGGTGTGGTGGGCAGCTGGGGGCTTTGGCTTACTGAATTCCAAAGGAGACCAGAGAAACGCCAACCACGAGGAGGTCAAGGAGGTTAAAGTAGTTCCTGCAGAAGGAGCCTTTGTGGAGGAACGCACCGTAGGAGGTCATCTATTAAATAGAAACAGTCACTTGCATCAACACGACCTTGAGACGGTTAAATAACTTCTTCCAATGTAATTCATTTAACGTTGTAATACCTCTCCCGCATTACAAGCAACATATCATGGCATGCAGGAGAGAGAGAGAGAAAAAAAATCGAGCAAATGAAAAGCACAGATAAAAAATAAAATTCACAGCACTGATTTAGCCTCTCTTGAAAATAGACTTTACCTTCATGATAATAACTGGCACAGAGGCGCTACATTTACATAGAATCCCCCACTTTCCGCCACCACCAGAGTAAAAAAAATAATCACATGCAGTAATTTAACCAAAGCTGGGAGGGTGGGTGGGGGGGAGCACACAGGAGGAGAAGACATAGGTCGTGCCTGCCACGACTCTCATTTCGTTATTTTTGGTGGCAGGTCTGCACAGTGAGGTTCAGGAGGCAGTGCACGAGGGAAGACACTGGACGGAGAGCGCCAAAGTTCACGCCCAGGGCGCTCGTGTGGGTGGGGGTGGGAGAGGCTGTGTGGGAGAGGCTGTGCCCGAATTTGAGGACGCACCTCGGACACCGCCAGATTGTTTCGTAATTGCGAACGTGCGATTGCAATTGGATTAAAGTCACATTTGTATCAAGCGCAGATGCCCCATGCAAGAAAGGCACTTTCGTCGCAATTGTTATTTTGTCCATTGCAAAGCATTTTTTTTCTTTCTACGTACTATTGCGTTACGTATCTAATTGTGCAGGTGCACTGTTACAACCCGCAGCATTTCGCAATGGGGATAAACAAAAGGTTACGCCGTGGTATTTTCTCTATTTTGAGCTGTCCTTGGCATTTGTGTGCGAATGAAAAAAATTGTTCATTAAAATTCCGATGCACATCTACTCGAATTATGAGGCTTGCGCGTGGCGATACTCGGAGACTGTACGAGGCGCCTCTGAATGAATGAAGCCAATCGGTCTCTACTCGGCACTCCCAACAGATTTCACTCTTGGGCACGGGGCATGCGTACGTACGTGCGTGCGCATGTGTGCGTGCGTCTCCTCGTGGAATGCATGGACACCTCACTGTGCGTCGTGCGCACGGAATGTTGTGCTGCAGATTGAAGCGATTCATTGTGTGCTCAGGAGAATTTGGATCGATGTTGTCTGTCTGCAGCTTTCATGTGCGAGGTGTGGGCAAGGCAATTGATAGTTCACCCATAATAGAGTTTTTTTTGGGTTAGATCACTTAAATAGATAAATGTGTGATAGTTCACACTTGTTTATGAATACCTCGACTGGGGTATGTGTGCGAGTTCACATGCCACTGTGGCGATTAACTCAGACCATCAGCTCTCTTGGATGAATAAAATGGTACAACTATGTGAGACGTCAGCGAATGTTTGTCTTTTAGATTGACTCAGCCATGCCATAGAAAGGTGGCATTGCCACTTATGGTTCAGGAATAATAATAATAATAACAAGATATACGCTCTTTTGAGCAGAACATCTTTTTCTCAAATGTCACATCCCACTTGCTTGCCTCGTAGCCCTCCGATGTGTTTTCGGGTCCGGAACTAACGGGTAAGCAAGTGGAGTGTGGACTTTGGCGTGACTCATATACCCGACATTTCGTTCCCTGTGGCTGGGAGATTCTTCGGGCAAGTTTCTTCAGCGCACCAGAAAAACGTCGGAGAGCCGTACGGCAGAATCGCAATAACCTACGGAGATTTTTTATCATCTGACACGCTTTTGTGTGTGTGTGTGTATTTTAGATTGATAAACTTGGTGGATATATTGCAGAAATTCCTACTTCTTTACAAAATCAAATAATAAACATTTCGCTGAGCAACACACAGCATGAATCATTAAATTATTTGCATAATTATCAAACACTTGTCCTGACACAATGTATTGTAAGTTGAAACCCATGCCCTGCAAACATTCAAAGGAACTCCAAACAAAAGCACTAAAAACCTTGTGTTCATAACAGAATACATTCAGTTTGAAACAAACGCCGTCATAAATGTAAAAGTGACAATTTGGAGCCAGCTGCAAACTTTTTGTTTTTTCATTGGTTCAATGTGGTCAGGTCAAGCGTATTTGTTATATTTGGATGTCAAAGGAATGCCAAAGTAAAAGTAATATTGAAGGGCAGTGCACTGGCAAGTCTTGCAGAAACACAAAGATGAAAATGATTTATCACAGTAGTAGCTATCAGAGACAACCTCACAAGTGAAATACGTGACAAGCCAATGATGTAAAAAAAAGCCATCGCCTGCACCATTCGTATATGATGTTTTTTTTCCCCAACATTGCAATGCAGTGTTTGTTAATGATGCAGGTGGCTTTGGAATTTGCGAATTTAAAGTAGTGCAATAGATGTATTTGGTACGAAAAATGTGCCACATTAAAAAAAAATGAACTCCGTTGACCAATTTATTGTGATCTGGTCTTCGGGTAGCCAATAGGAATCGCGAGTATTTAATTTTTAACTGAATATTTTCAGTGTTAATATTCAACACAAGCTTCACTAGGCGGGGGGGGGGGAGGATGGCCACTACTGCCACCCAAGATCGTGGGTATATTACACGGGAGAGAGAGAGAGAGATATTCATATTCTTAGGTTTTTTCGGTAAAGTCATGTAGGTAAAAACATTAAAATTAATAAAAGTAAAATAAAAATCACGACGTTTCGGAGGCTTGTGTTGCCTCCGAAACGTCGTGATTTTTATTTTACTTTTATTAATTTAAATGTTTTTACCTACGTGACTTTACCGAAAATTTTTATGTTTTTACCTACGTGACTTTACCGAAAAAACCTAAGAATATGAGAGAGAGTCTTCTGAAGAACGCGGGTAGGTAGGGGGGGTCACACGAATTGGCACGGCACACCCACAGCAGCGAGGATGCCTAAGTGGCCACCACACTCTGCTTTACCTTCAGCACGATCTCAAACGTAAAAATACCAGTGAAGACATAATCTGCATAGCCTAGGATCTGCAAGGCAAGGACAGCATCATCACCCTTGTTACAGCGACTACTTTGGCCGGGCACGACACGCAGGGAACATGATTACCTTCAGGAGGATCTCAACAGTGAAGATGGCTGTGAAAGCATAGTCAAAGTAACCGAGAATCTGCAAGGGCGGAACATCGAAGGGATAAAAACAGGGTGAGCAGAACATTCCTGTGGCTTATCAAGAACCACCACACACGTGCAGAGCAGCTTGCAAGCAAACAACCACTGAGAAGTTAAATATGGCAGTGTCCCTCTTACTGGCAACCCTATTATTCGTCACGATTGTTATCCGGGGCGAGTCAACACGCAAAATTTCGTATTATACGTGGGACAGATTGCTCCAAACGTATCTGTGGATATTTCCCGGATAAGTACGTGTGTGTGTGTGTGTCTGTCTGTGTGTGTCTGTGTGTGTGTGTGTCTGTGTGTGTGTGTGGGGAGCGATAGTGTAGCGGTTAGCGCGCTGCGCTATGAACCTGGCGACCCGAGTTCGATTCCCGCTCACGGCCAACACCAGTGACGATTATCTGAACCGTAAACATCGCCACTGGGGAAACAAAGGCGGTCGGGCGTGGTGTGGTGCTGGCCACCCACCCCCTCTTGTACCGTTCCGGCCTTCATAATTACTCGCTAACACACTTGCCCCTACAGTCTGTTAAGGCTAGCCAGCACTGCTGAGAACCGGGGGTTCGAATGCAAACTGCCGCCAGTGATTGCACAAGATTCTGTGGAGCGATTTGATGGGAAATAGTAGAAAATCACCACTGTCATGCATGCCAATCCACTGTCTGCATGAATACGAGGAGGGTTGTTTTGTGGACAAGAGGATCGGTAAAGTGCCGCCTCCCATATCACCCCACGGATCATGGGAGTCTCACTCCTGAACACATTGTAAATGCTCCAGTAGAGCTCTCAATTGCCAGTGTTTCAGTGACCACGATACGCTTTAAAACTGGTTTATTGGGTAGTCATAATAACACAATTTTAGACGGGGAATAGATTATAGTTACATTTTAACTGATATTTAAAACCATTAGCGCAAGATAATATGGTAAAAGGGCGATTGCCACTTATTTACTCGATTACCAATTTATTTCAGACTCCCCGGCGTGCACAGCGGCGCATCATGGGGCTTACGCTGCCTCGGACTCGTGCCCCGAATCCTTCCCAACCCTTCACCCAAAATCCCAGCGATCCCACCGTGGAATGCGCTGGGACGCCGTGCCCACCGGCGGGCGTCTGCCTCTGGGTCGGGCGCACACAATAGAACGAGACAATAAACACCCGGCAGCATTTCCAATCGGCCGTGGCCTTCACTGGCACGCTAAGGCAAAGGTGCAGCGCTGAAATTCCCTGCTCGTGCCGCTCGCTGCCGGAAGACAGCCTCCACTGGAGGAAGCTCTGGAGAGCCCCTCCAGAGGATAACTTTGGCCTAACTCTTCAACGCTTTGCTGGAAAATCTTGGAAGAGGTGGCGGTATCCACACCACACGCGACAAGCCCATCGACTAACTTTGGTGTGCCCATTTATACTGCTGGGTGGACAGAGGTGGCGGGACTTTCAAGATTTGCCGGTGTGCAAACGGTCACACACCACGGCAGCGTCCACGACCCAACTCAGGACTTCTCTGCCAGTGCACTAAATACGGAATAGAGTGAGCTCCAGAGGTCGCAACAGGGTACCCGATACCCGTACCCTACCCGATACCCGGCTACCCGTACCCGGCCAGGTACGGGTACGGATACGCGTTTGCGACCCTGGTGTGGCCGGGTACGGGTACGGGTAGGCCGTGAGTCACTGGTGAGTAACTGTTTGTCACTCATTTCGGGTAGGGTACGGGTACGGGTAGAGTACGGGTACCCATTTGCGACCCTGGTGTGGCCGAGGTACGGTTAAGGAATCAAAACCCGTTTGCGACCTCTGGTGAGCTCACATTTGTTGGCCGTGGTAGGGCATAGCCGGGCCATACGTTAGGGTCAGACCAATGCAACATAACAATATGCAAGCCTTGGGTGTGTCGTATCAATTGCGGCAGCTATCACAGCTTGAAGGATGTTATTTAACGGGTAAAAGACGGACACATCTGCTGTCACCAGTAATCAAGAGTCCTCGAATCTGATGCAGGGGTAACATGTGGTTTTGGACCATGTACCCTGGCCACCTGGTACCCCAGTCAAGCAGGCTGGGGCTGCGTTGCGTAGACACATCTGCCGTGGGTGGAATGACAGTGCATTTCAAGTGACAATCCCAGGACAGCCAGGTGAAAAATAAATCCACACACGCCCACGTGCTCCAACACGCAGTGCGTTTTCCACACCCGACTAAAGGTTGTTGTTTGCTAACAAGCTGATCTGAGCAACAGTAAATGCAATATTCGCTTTATTACGTATACACGATAACAGCATTAAAAGTTGCATATTAAAGCATTTATATTTGTAAAACAAGATTGGATGGCAGCATCCAAAGACCCTATCCAGCTTCAAATGATCTATTCCATGTTTTACAAATTATTTTGTGATGCTGCTCCTGTATTGGCCGTGGTGCTCCAACACAAAAAAAGACTCATCACATCCGTGAATAAATAACACTGTCGTCAAAGGTCAAAATATGTAATAGGTGATGTTTCTGGCAATAGCCCTTCTTCATGGCATATAATTTATCCATAATAGAGTTTTTTGGGGGGTTAGATCGCGTAAATATATAAACGTGTCGTTAAAACCCGCCACCACCCGACACAGCCAACTAGTAAGGGTTGTCACGTAAACAGAACGTGGCCAATTCGTCACTAGTACAGCACTAGTGTATAGTGTAGTGTATAGTGTAGTGTATAGTGTAGTCTGTAGTGTAGTGTATAGTGTAGTGTATAGTGTAGTGTATAGTAGTGTATAGTGTAGTGTATAGTGTAGTGTATAGTGTAGTGTATAGTGTAGTGTATAGTAGTGTATAGTAGTGTATAGTGTAGTGTATAGTGTAGTGTGTAGTGTCGTGTATAGTGTAGTATACTAGTACAGCACACCGGTGTGTTGGAGAGCCAAGCCACAGCATTTACAATGTGAGTACGACGTTTCGCCAGTAATTACAACTAGCTTCATCAGGCAGACAGCCAGATTTGCAGAGAAGTCTTACTGTTTCGTTCCTTATATAGAGGCGTAGATGTGTTTTGTAGGCATGCATTTAAATAATGTATTATTTTATGATTCGCTTCCACGCAGCACTAAGGCGGTAGCTATCCAAACGGTTAAAGTTATTTTGCCTTTAACCGTTCGGATAGCTACTTCAATAGGGATTACCGTTGGTAGGGCTATTTGAATAACACAATAGACAGGAAGGACAAGTTGAAAGGGCCCGCATAATGCACACGCATAATGTACGTTGCCTCAGTAATCCCCCCCCCCGCCCCCCACATTGAGCAAGAGCGCAGAAGGGTGGTCAACACATCTATGCCTCTACGTAAGGAACGAAACAGGTGGACTTCTCCACAAACCTGGCTGTCGCCTGATGAAGCTAGTTGTAATTTCTGGCGAAACGTCGTACTCAGATTGTAAATGTTGTGGCTTGGCTCTCCAACACACCGGCGTGCTGTAGTAATACACTACACTATACACTACACTTTTCACTACACTATACGATACACTACACTACTATACACTACACAATACACTACACAATACACTACAAAATACACTACACTATACACTACACTACTATACACTACACCAGGGGTCGGCAACCTACGGCTCCGGAGCCGCATGCGGCTCTTTATGGGCTGCTTCTTGACGATATGTACGTATGTATAGTATGTACTCAGATGCATTGCGGCTCTTGAAATACTGAATTTTGTACCGAATTGGAAAGAAATGGCTCTTCTTGTTATTTTGGTTGCCGACCCCTGCACTACCCTATACATTACACACTAGTGCTGTACTAGTACACTACACTATACACTACACAATACACTACACTATACACTACACTACTATACACTACACTATACAACTATACACTATACTATACACTACACACTAGTGCTGTACTAGTGACGAATTGGCCACGTTCTGTTTACGTGACAACCCTTACTAGTTGGCTGTGTCGGGTGGTGGCGGGTTTCAACGACACATTTATATATTTACGCGATCTAACCCAAAAACCTCTTTTTATGTTCACAGTGCTTAAAACAGCATGAATTAGACTTCTCTGACAGGTGCACTAATTGGAATAGTGGTGTACTCACACGTATTGGCTGTGGTACTGTGAAGCTGGGATATACAAATTAGGTTCAGACCCATGAAACACAACATTATGATTCCGTATGGCCAATGAAAAAAGATTCAGCTCTCAGTAAATTAGCAATCGCATTGCTTTGCTGAGAGTCGGTGAATAGATTTAGTTTTTATGTATTGTAAATAAATTTGATGTTTTTCTTTTGTAAATCCCATGACCGCTCTCTGTGTTCCGTTATGCCAATCATTGTTCGTGCGAGGTGTGCGTGTCATCCTTCACAATAGAACAATTGCGATGGCAGGGAGTCATTGGGTTGCCACTGTTCTCAAATACAAAATGCTTTTTTTGAGAATGTGATAAACGGGGATCATGACAGCAGGATAGGGCGAGCATGGCGACACAGACACAACGTGCGCAACTCATAGCAAACACAACAGGCAGGCTTACGACAACAACAACAACAAATAAAACAACATTCATGCAAAACTAAAATAATTTCATTTATAAATATCACGAACAAGCAAATAAATAAATAATGAAAGGTCAAATGCATATCTTGGCATGCTAGAGATGTAAGGTCGGATTACATGCTGATGTTATCGTTATGACTGTATGCACAGTTGTAAAGTGATGTACGGTGCCGCATCATGTTCATTTATTAAGGGAAGTCACTCACGTTGTTTCGGAAAGAATGATTGCGAATCGGGTCCTCCGCGGCCAAAGAAACACTGCTCAGCATGATCATGGCCAAAATGAGGTTGGTGAAAATGTGATGATGAATAAGGCGATGGCAACACACTCGAACGCTGAAGAAAGAAAGACAAAAAGAAAACGTCAAACGCCAGCGTCACGGCATCACGAGCTAAACGGTGGTTAAGGCGCAGCCGTGCTACCGCTTGCTCAAGGCACTGCTGGCAAGAAAGGCCTCCTCCACCGGTCAAAGCTATAGAGAGCCCGTCTATTCGGTATTTAGCCTCCTCTTCCATTCTGCCCACACAATCTTGGAAGAGAGGTGGGTGCATCCACACTTTATCCCACCGCACCTGACCGACCTTATCGACTGACTGTGGTGCGTCCCATTTATACTGCTGGGCGGACAGAGGCACAGGGTGGGGGAATAAAAAAAAAGCCGCCAAGATTGAATAGGCAACCTCTGGATTTCAAGTCCAGCGTTGCTAATTGCACCGCACGCCGTCAGCTCTCCTTGCTGCCAGCGTCGCTAGCGAGAGACGCGCGCTAATTGGCGAGGCTCGCAGCAGCCGAGCACTAAGGGAATAGCAGGGATGCGGCTCAAGGCTCGATGAGCAGGACGGCTACGCGGACACGTGTCGTCCGCCGCGCACGCTTGACAGCTAATTCGCACAGCTTCACACTCCGCGGGCCTCGCACTCCAAGCTCCTGCAGTGTGCGCCGGCGCGCGGCTTCATCGGGGGCTTTCGAGGGAGGCTTACCGAAGCGCGCTTGGCCACGTGGTCGCATGCCTCGTGAACAAAAAAAACAGCGTCGTGGCTGAGCTAATTTTGTTTCGCAGTAGGGAGGCCAGAATTAAACCCCGCAGCGGGCTGCTTGGGTACGAAAATTGCTATCGCACACACGATTACAAAGGGGACACGTATGCACTCGGAATGCAAGAATGAGTTTTTGGTGGTAAATTGTTGAGGCTTGGGATTTTTGGGAATTTGAAGGACAATGTTGGATCTTTATTTCAGGTATATTCAGATCAATTTACGATGCGATGATTTTTACGCATCTTCGTGCTGACAAATGCGATGCCACCCAATGCCAAAGAAGTGTGACGTCAATGTGACGTCACACTTTCATATTGCCTGGAATTTTGTGTCTAGGCCTAATTTTTTCTGATTTTGTAGATTTAATCTCGAAACACATCCCAAGTGTATCTACACAACTATCCACATTCGATATACGTGGCTGGGTCCACAATCCCCAAAACAATTCAGGCATACATATTAAAACCGTGGAGATTTAATGGGCTCATTTATGTTTCGTATCAAGCTACTGTGTAAGGACATTTAGGCACTATAAAAGCACAAATTATACCTCTGTTAAATGATGTGATTATCATGTCCCCATACTGTAATTGTATTACCTTGGGCTTGACCTTATGAAGCCCACAGCCAACCCCTTGCCAATCCACTGCTGGATAAAACACCTGCCCAATGTGGTATTGGCCATGGGGGGATGTTTCACCATACTCCACCTTGGCACCATTGTTTCAAATGATGCACCGGGAGGTGAAATTGAACCAGGGAGCTCTGGCTTGCAAGTCCAGTGCATTAACCATTACACCACGGCAGCATCGCTGGTGAACGGGTATATGCAGTATACTTTAATTACTGTAATCATCATCATCATTCATAATCAACGTTTTTGGGTTTAGATCGCGTTATTTATAAATGTGTCGTAACGCTCCACCACCCGACACGGCCAATCAGTAAAAAAGTGTCACGTTGACAAAAGACAAATAGTTCACTGCTTTAGCCCACCGGTGTGTTGAAGCGTGAAACCACAACATTTACAATTTGAGTACGACGTTTCGCTGGTAATTGCATCCAGCATCATCGGGCAATTTGCCAGAATGGTGAGGCTCTGCTCTGTCTCCCGTTCTTATATAGAGCGAAAGCCTACGTGTTAAACCATCATCATCATTTACAGCCCTTTCTCCACGCAGCACTAAGACATTTGCACAAGCAACCGTGTAAACAAATCAGTGGGCTATGTTTTAGACTTTGGAGGACAAGGGGAGGTACAAGGAGAGGCATGCGGCGTACGGGTTCGTGCTGCTGAAGATAAAGAAAGAGCTCCCCTCTGGAATGGGGACCACTTTCTCCTTCAGGTTGAGGTCAGAGAGGCGACGGGGCCGAGGACCAGAGGGCATGTCCGGCTCCTCCTCGTCCTCCTCCTCTTCCTCCTCCTCCTCTTCCTCCCCCTCGCCGAGCTGCTCCTCTTCCTCCTCCGCCGCCGCCTCATCTTTAAACAAAAAACGCGAGGGCAAAAACGCAGTGGGATCCGCCCGTTTAGAATCGTTGGGGCGAGCGTTATTCGCGAAATTTTGCTTTTGAGATCGGGCGGGGGTTCAGGGTGACTTAGTCACAATTAAATTAAACTAAACTAAACTTTTTATTTTACCAGGTTAAGGCCCACTGAGCTATATAGCTCTGCAACTCCTTTTCAGAAGCGACCTGGCCATCATGTGGAAATTCACAGCAGCCAAATACTCTGAACGCGTGATATTGATTCTAAGTGTGGAGGGGAAAACAGGAGAAAAATCCACGCTAGTGAACGCATTCGGCGTTCACGGAATTCTAGCGGCACGAAGGCCACGTGGAAGACGCTGATGTTGATTCCTTGAGAACTTTACACAACGTTTCTGACTGTTCCAGATCAACACTTGCCCCGCCGTCGTCCCCGCGTGTCCGAGTGTCTCCACACCTCTTCCACAAACCTCCTATGTCCGCTCGCTTCGTTCAACCGGATCAGAGCCCGTTATTCAAATTAAAAGCTAGCAGATGCTTTTAATTCCCGCAAAGACAATCAATGGAAGCGTTACCTGCGGCATGAGATCCGGAGGATGGAAGAGCCTTCTTCCCGTCGTCGGCAGTAATCTGCAACTACAAATAAATCGGGCGCCGCCCATCGTTACCGCAGGGCAATGCGGAGGTGTACCTTGGGTTAGCGCAATGCGTGGCATCGTGTGCCCATCATTACCACCGCACTGATCGCGTGCGGGAGACCTTTTGCCAGCGTCGATTGGACCACAAAAGGAAACATGAAGGTCACGGCCGCATCGCTGGTGCACCGTTCTTCGCGCGACGCAGAAATTTAGATCATGCCTGTGGCTCAGCTCGAAGCTTCGTGCCATGGTCTTGAAAATGTCTGCTCGTCAGGACGTAAGCTCGTTCATTGTGAATTAACGAGGTTGCCAAATTAAGAGAGAATGAGCAGCAGGTGAGTCCAAAAATAGAATAATCGACTGCCAGTGACAGGAAAGGATGATCTGAGTGTGTCAGCTGACTGACCTTTATAAGGACGAGTTGACCTTCATTGACAGTAATAGAGAAGCCCTGTTGTTACTCATAATTGGGTCTGTTGTTTTTTGTACAGGGTGATCCGTGTACTGATGCCCCACTGACATATGCCCCTCTCTTCCTTCTTAACAGCTAATTGACAACTGTGACAACGACGACTCCGCATCTTGCAAAAGCGACCAGACACCTCAAGTCAATGCAAACATTAAACAGAGAACAATAAAACAGCAATGAATAACACAGCAATAATAAACACTTAATTAACAGCAAGCAAAACACAGTCTAAATTAAAGCATTACAACTTAATATTACAGCAGAGAAAATTTTAGGTGTTGAGAAGGGTATAATTAAAAGTAAATTATATTCATGATGACAAAACTACAAATCCAATGTTTCCATTAAAAATAGTTTCATCAGCAAAATAGTTTTTGTTAAGTTTCTTTGTTAAGTGATTATATGTCCCTGATTTCTTTAACCAACCAGGTACCTCAGGGGTAGAGCGAGTGGCTCGCATTTGGAAGGTTCCGAGTTCAGAATTAGAATATTTATTTATTCTAGAGAAATCCGATGAGCTATGAAGCTCTTTTCACGGATGTCAAGTAGAGGCAAGGCCAGAGAGTTACACGAACAAATGGTAAAAAACGAAAGGAGTACAAAGAAGAGGAATGACAAGCAAATCACTCTAAACAAGTCAATTCACTTTAACTAAACCATTTTTATTTTACCAGGTAAAGCCCACCGAGCTATTTGTTATTTTCATAAGCAACCTGGCTGCAAATGAGAGCTCAACGAAGTGGCCTATCATGTGTAAATCTATACCGGCCAAATATTCAAAATTCATGTTTATATTGAGAATTCACACAGCCCATCATCCTTATGGGGTCGATAAAGTAAGTACCACTTTGTAAGACAGTCAACAGTGGTTGTCCTCTGGAGAGACTGACCTGCGCCATATGAATTATTCACAGATGATGAGCACTGCTTCGATGCTCATATAACATAAATTAAATGCATCAAATATACCAACGTGCCTGGGTAAAATGCAGCTGTATAATCACCACCAATGTATGCTAATCACGTAATGTGAAGGACAACTCACACGTACACCCAGGTGTGTAAATTACCTGGCGTTCAGGTCACCTGGCCCGTCGTCTGGCCGATGTTAGGCCACGTTTCTCACGGACTCTCTGGTGGGCAAACCAGCTGGAATTCTGGTAAACTTGGCACAAAGGCCACATGGTGCATATGTCTGGAGCGCTCAATTGAGTTTTGGATGCAGCCACAAGGACACGCTGCATGAACAGGTGGTTACCAATTAGAGCATTGCCCTTGGCTGTGTGTGTGTGTGTGTGCTCAGAGGGCTGGGTGTTACTGCTGTTGCTGCGGCCGATGTCCTATCGTACCTTGGTGCTGGCATCAGCGATTTTATCGAGTTTGCCCCTCTCCCCGTCCTCTTTCTTTTCCAACTTGCCATTCTTCTCTGCCCTGTGATGGTGTGAAAGCAGCATCCGCGAGTCAGCGGATTTCCTCTTTGTTGTATAGTTACGTACATGTACAGTATATGGAATATTGTGGGTTTGTGATGTTAAGGATATGACATCGTCCTATATGAGTATAAAGTATAATCTGAAGTCACTCAATTAAATGTTTCCTTCCATCAGCCTATTGGCTTTCCAGTCCAATATGATCATACAAACATTTGTTTAAGCGAGCGAAACATGTCTTTGCGTTCATGTTCTCTATTAGCAAGCCGTAATGTAAACATGTTACTAAACATTGCTTTTTTATTGAATAAATTACATCTTTCAATTACATTTTCTTGTACATTTTGATGTGTTCATCACGATTACGCTTTGGATGACCCACATATTCCATTTGCTTTGATAATTGGCCAAATACCAGCTTTCAAAAATATTCTAATCGGGCCGAATAGATGCATCCAAACGAATCTAGAATTTCAAATAACAGTTCACTGTTTTAAAACCCTCACAGACATCGCCCGCAACCGATGATGATGATCATTAACAAGCGATTGATAATGTTCACAATGATGATACATTGGTGATTGATAAATGGATGACTGCTAGATGGACGATGACCACATTGATGATTCAATGACAGTACAATTGCCATTCAAAGATGTGGACGTCATTGATGATGACGACGATGATTCTACCTGGCACTCTTTTTCTTTTCCTTCTCCTCCTCGTCCTCTTTCTGCGCAGTGTTGAGACTTTCAGCGTCGGCCAAGTTATCCACGGCAATGGCCAAGAACACGTTCAGGAGGATGTCTGTGGCCCAACAGCCGCTCAGGATCCAAACCTGCACTTACAACTTGGGAGCTCGGCTCGGCAAAAATTCGGACGAACGGCAAATTTTTTGCACCGAATTTGTCCCAAAGCCTGCAGCGCTCTCATTCGGCTAGGGTGAACCCGTGGTGTGACGAGCTAATGACATCTCTGTTGTGAAATAAAACAAAGTGTAAATAAATAATGGCAACCAATGCCCGGTGTTGTAGTATTATTTTTCTTTCTATCAGATTTTATGTAATGACTCTTTTAGAGCTGAATCATCCGAGTGATGCATTAAACTCATAATGGGAACACTGGCCTCTTTGTATAAGGCTTATTTGTAACAGCGTGTGTTGGACCGCAGTCAGTGCACGGGTTCCTACAAATGTAAAGGTAAAAGCGCAGCCCTGAAATTGCTTGCTAACGTCACTACTGGCAAAAGGGCCTTCACTCAAAAGAGCTCAAGAGGGACCCTATAGTGATGGGTATTGTGGCCTAATGTCTGTGCGCTGGTCAGATGCCCTGAAAGAAGTGGGAGCGCTCACACTTTAACCCACCACGCGCGACCAACCAATCGACTGATTTACACTGCGGGGTGGACAGAGGCATGGGGGCATTTAAGAAACTTGCACCATTGTTTAAAATGCCAAACTAGCGGAGATCAAATCGAGCCGGAGACCTCTGAATTTCAAGTTCAGCGTGCTAACCATTGCACCACGGCAGTATCCCCGGCACCTACAAAACGCTTTACAAGCAAAGTGAAATAGGTGACAACAGATAAATAAATCCAGCCAGTGCCCGTGTGACGACATTGTCCGTGGGGCTGAAGGTGACCAAGGGAGTTTACACCTCTCATCCGCGCACAGCGGTGCGGGCGGAGGTTCTGCTTTCCGTTTGGCGACGAGGATACAGTTACCGCAGATGAAGAGGATGATGAAGTAGATGCACACGAGCATTCCCGTGGAGGAGGGCCCACCGTACGCCATGATGCCGTCGTACATGACAGCGTTCCAATCCTCTCCGGTCAAGATCTGGTGGGGGGGGGGGGGGTCACACGATGAGTCTCGGTGCAGCCACGCTCATTGTCGCCATCATCGCAGTCGTCATGAGCGACGATCTGCTGGATGGGGGGGGGGGGGGGGTCACACGATGAGTCTCGGTGCGGCCACGCTCATTGTCGCCATCATCGCAGTCGTCATGAGCGACGATCTATCCACTGCCTCGCCAAGCTATCGCAAATCTCCTGCGGTCCTGCCATGCAACAATCTACGTAGCTCCCGCACACAGGCTGATTTCCTCGCTCCATCTCCGCATCTGGCGTCCTCTCGCGCATTTTTCTGCCTCCTCCTTTTGGCTGCCACTCCCATTGTTCGTGTCGACCACCGGCTGTCATCTCCACCAGCGACGCGTCCTGCCCAAGTCCACTTAATTCTTCTTAATGGTCAATAAGAAGTCTATAGATTGAGTCTGCACGAGCTCTTCCACCCCGTTATTGAGTTGAACTACAGAGAATATCTTCTTTCACTTGTGTATAATAAATAGCACTTTGAAACCATCACACTGTGCGATTTACAAAAAAAAGGAGCGAATGTTTTCCGATATCGCGAACGGAGCACGGGAGAGGAGCACGCGCGTGTGTCACTGCATAGGTTTTCGCAGTCGTGCTGCGTGTTCGTCCGACGTTTCGCTCCATGTGCTCGGGCAGAGCTACGTCTGCGCGTGCAAGCTCGCGGAACGACGGAGGCCTGGCCGCAGGCGTCGCTCGAAGCCTGACCTGGAACACGGTGAGCAGAGACTGCGGAAAGTTGTCGAAGGTGCTGCGCTTGGTCTGCGTCTCGTCGAAGTTGAACTTGCCCCCGAAGAGCTGCATGCCGAGCAGCGAGAAGATGATGATGAAGAGGAAAAGGAGCAGCAGCAGGGAGGCAATGGATCGCATGGAGTTGAGCAGCGAAGCCACCAGGTTGCTCAGGGCGGCCCAGTACCTGCGGGGTGGAGTGCGAGCATTGTGAACAAAAGCCGTGGACCCAAATACCTTTTTTCCACTGGCACATCTGAGCCGAGCCAGGTGGTTTTTTTCCGTGAGTTTGGTCACGAGCCACGGTTTAGCTCACAACCGTCACGCACTGACTTCACGCAATGTATGGATCTACCCCCTGGCCAAAGCAGAGCCTAGGGCGAGGTTATCGTCAGTTTAATACGTAGGCTTACGCAATTAATATTTTTCACAATAAAGGTTTGTCTTTTGGGTTAGATCGCGGAAATATAAATTTGTCGTTAACCCACCGCCACCCGACACAGCCAATTAGTAAGGCTTGTCATGTAAACAAACCATGCCCGTTAGTTATTACTTCAGCACACCGGTGTGTTGGAGCGTAAACCCACGACATTTAAAATTGTTGGCCGACACGCAACACAACCGCGTTTTGTTCTCACACGCGAGCCCCAATCCGCGAGTCGCTCACTTGGTGACTTTGAAGATGCGGAGGAGGCGCACGCATCGGAGCACGGAGATGCCCAGGGGCGACATGACGCCGAACTCCACGAGGATCGTCTCAATGATGCCGCCGAACACCACGAAGCAGTCGAAGCGGTTGAAGAGCGACACGAAGTAGGCCTGCAGGCCCAGGCTGTACATCTTGGTGAGCATCTCCACGGTGAACATCGCCAGCAGAACCTTGTTGGCGATGTCTGCACACGGGAACACAGCACGTGGGTGGGTGGGGAGACTGCTGAGAGAGGTCCACATCACGATTCTGACCCTCGCAGGTTCATCCAAGAATTGATTCTCCTTCGGCTCATTCGCAACGTAATACGGGGTCGCCGTTGATGGTGGATAATAACGGCAATCACAGACAGCAGCGAAGGGGGAAAGTGTGGAGTGTTTGGGCGGCAGGGTAGCGCAGTCGTAACACTCGTGGCTCAAAGCAAGAATGCCCTGGGTTTGATTCCTGACTCGAGCACCTTTCTGCTCTCCCCCTGTTCTAGATTCGTTTCTTCTGGGTTCTCCGGTTTCCTCCAATTGCTAAACAAAACCATACAACATGAGGCCTCCTTTGCCAGTACCAAAATATACTAATAGAGGTTTTCTCCTTTTTTCTGGCAACAAAACTGACACCTTTTGCAAGGAATCATGTTAACATTAACCACAATACTTGCAGTCAAATACAAACAAAAAACAATACTCTGATAATTTATGCTCTCATTACTCTGATAGTGCGTTGTCTTTGAACTGTGCGCCTTTTGGCGTCATCTGATCGAACACCGTATGAGACTAGGCTCGAATCAGTTTCAAGGACAATGCATATGTAGTAAGTATATGGAGGCTTGACGACAGGATCGGAGGCACACTTATTTATTACACCAACACAGTTATTTACAGGTCACTGGGCTACAGGGATTTCTCGACAGCTAACCCCTCTAACCTATACCAATTCCTCCACTACGGGACTAGGGGAGGCTATCTGTCCCAGCTTGGTTAAGCTGGGATCCCGGCTCCCTGAGTCACCAGACCAGCTTCGTCTGGGCTCTCGGGGCCACGCCACCGGCTTGCCCTGGTCGGCCCTTATAAGGACAGCGAGCCAGGGGAGCTCTGGGGCCTACACTAGCTGGTCTTCCGTCTTCTCTGGTTATAGCTGAGTCCCGACCCCGAGCCCTCGAGCTCATCACCTTTTATAGGACTCGCCCCCGAGGGGGGGCCCGTGGGGGATACACATGCGGACGTCGGTGCTAGCGCCACCCTTGTGTACGGCCGTAACCCCGCCCATTGTGTTTGTTGGCCATCCGTGGCCATGCATAATCACACCTCAACATTCGTAGCCATGCGCAATTACACCTCTACATCACCCCCCCCTGTACAGCTCGCAGCCGTCCCTGGCTGCAAAAAAAAAATCAGAATAAAGGTGCATCCCTCACAAAAACCCCGTGTGTGTGCCTCGCGTAATTTTTAACAAGAACAAGAACAACGAGAGGAAGAGAGAGAGAGAGAGAAAAAAAATAACCCGACGCACCCCCCCCGGATAACACCCCAAAACCAACATATATATACACTCCGGACGTCACCTTTCCCATCGTCCGCAAGGCCCCCCAACGGCCGACCTCACAACACCCCTCCCCTTTTGTCCGCAAGGCCCCCCAACGGCCGACCTCACAAAAGTCTGCGCGTTTTGGCGCGCGTTCTCGCGGCGGGTCCGTCACAAGGGTCCGTCCCGGCACGCTCAGTGACGGTTGTTGACGGTCCGGGTGCAAGAGGGTCAGGCTCCGCTGCCGAGTGACCCCCGACCCCTCCGGGAGGGGTTGGTGGGCGTGGGCCCGTCACTCCTGTTTCACCTGGGGGCGGAACAGTTGGCGTCAGGTTAGGCGAGTGCAGCGACGACGGGGAGTCGGCGACACCCTCACACGTTTGGCCATGCGTGTGTGTGTGTGAACCCCGGGGCGGCGTGACGAATGGTTTTAACCTTGAGGGGTGCACATACCACCGGCGCCTCCCCCATTTGACGCGAACACATTGCGGCCGCAAAACCTGCACGACCTCCACTGGCCCCCGCCACGGCCGTACCAATTTCGACGAGGTTGCCAGCGGCACCTGAGGACAGTGCAACCACGCCCTGTCCCCTGGTACCCATTTGACCACCTGCACCCGCCCCAACCGAAGCCTCTCGTTCGCCTTCTGGCGGAGTTCAGAATTTTGCACGGCCGCTTCCCGCGCCTCAGACAATTGAGCGATGTTAAATTTAACGTGTTCGGACAACTTAGACTTCGCCTGGAGCGCCGAGAGCTTCAGCTGGGTCGCCACAGGAGGGTTAACTTCGCGCCCATACATTAAAAAGAAAGGGGAAAATCCGGTGGCCGCATGGGGAGCCATTCTGTAGGCCTGCAACACACCGGCTATGCGGAGGTCCCAATCCGTCTGGGATACCGACACCTGCTGGGACAGCATGGACGTGATGGTCCGATGCAGCCGTTCCACCATCCCGTCAGTTTGTGGGTGATACGGAGAGGTCCGAACCTTCTCCGTACCCAAGAGGTCGCACACCTCACGTAGGAGTTTACCAGAAAAATTCCTACCCTGGTCAGTAAGCAGCCGTTCCGGAGCACCCTTGTCGAGGACATAGCCCTGGACAAAGGCCTCCGCGATGGCTGCTGCCGATTGGTTCGCCAGGGGCCAGGCCATAGGCCATCTCGTGAAGTATTCAACCCCCGTTAGTAAATACCTATTGCCCCTGGGTGTAGCGGGAAATGGGCCAAGTATGTCCAGAGCGACGAGCTCGTTAACCCTGGAAACTTTTATGGACTGCAGCGGAGGGTTGGATCCCCTAGCAGGTGGCTTCCTCTGCGCGCATTGCGTGCACGACCCCAAGAGGTCCCCCACGTCCTTTTCCATGCCCGGCCAGAAGAAATCTAGCTGGAGCGTGGCAAAGGTCTTATGAACCCCCAAGTGCAGAAGCCGCTCATGAACAGCCCATACCACCTTACCCCTTAAAGCAGCAGGCACCACGAGCCGCTGGCGCCGGGTTTTACCATTCCAGTGCATCAAAAGTCCCTGGAACAACCCCCACGAGTCAATGTTTTCCACCCCCTGGCCAATCCCCCCGGCGCGACGGCGCAGAGCGAGGAGGGAGGTGTCCTCCATTTGGAGGCGACCCCATTCCGCGACTGACAACCCCAGCAACGAATCCCTCCCTTCTTGCTCGATAGGACCCGAAACCGAAGGTGCATCGGCAGCGGCCACGAGGACCGAATCGGTGGTGACGTTCGGAGACCTACAACGCCCCGAACCCAAGAGGCACGCGCACTCCGAAGTGGGTGGCAATCGCGACAGGGCGTCAGCGTTCGTGTGGCGGAGACCCTTACGATATGTGGTGACAAAGTCATAGTCTTGGAGAATCTCCAACCATCGAGACAACTGGCCCGATGGTTGTTGAACCCGCAGGGCGTATTGTAGGGCCGCATGATCTGTACGGACGGTGAACCGCCGACCGTACAGATACGGGCGGTACTGCTGAATGAAATAAACAATCGCCAATAATTCCCGACGGGTAACGCAGTACCGCTGTTCGGCTGGAGACAGTACCCGACTACCGTAAGCCACCACATGCTCTACGCCCCCAATGAGCTGGGACAGCACGCCCCCGATGCCCGTGTTACTTGCATCTGTATCGAGCAAGAAGGGTTGTGAAAAATCCGGGTAATTCAACGGCGGCGCCCCCACCAAAGCATTCCGGAGGGCGCGAAAAGAAGCCTCCTCCTCCGGCCCCCAATGAAACCTGACTCCCTTGGACGTCAAGGCATGCAAAGGTTTCGCAATCGTAGCGAAGTCAGCCACAAATCGCCGATAATACGACGCGAACCCAATGAAACTCCTGACCTCTCCCACAGAGGTGGGAGTCGGCCAGGAGCTGACGCATTCCGTTTTGGCGGGATCAGTGGATATCCCCGAGCGCCCAACAATGTGACCCAAATATCGCACCGATTCGCGGAGTAAATGGCACTTCTGTGGTTTAAATTTCAAATTGGCAGCCCGCATTTTGAGAAAAACAGCACGCAACCTCTGGAGGTGTTCCTCGAAGGATTTGCTAAAGACGATGACATCGTCTAAGTAAATCAAACACGAATCCCATTGCAACCCTGCCAAGACCAATTCCATTAACCGCTGAAAAGTTGCCGGCGCAGAATGTAAACCCATCGGCAAGCGGTTAAATTGGAAGAGACCCTGCGGTGTCCGAAAAGCAGTCTTAGGTTTTGATTCGTCATCCAGAGGAAGCTGCCAGAATCCAGATAGCAAATCGAGGGTGGAAAAGAATCGCGCCCCCGCCAAGGCATCGAGCGACTCATCCATTCGAGGAAGCGGGTACGCATCTGCCACAGAGATTTTGTTCAGACGCCGAAAGTCGACACAAAACCGCAGTGATCCGTCGTGTTTTTTCACCAAAACGATCGGCGCGCCCCACGGGCTATTGGAAGGGGAAATGATATCGGCGGCTAGCATGTCATCAACAGCCGATTTGACATGATCCTTTTCGGCGGGACTCAACCGAAAGGGATTTTGGCGGATTGGCGCGCTGTCACCCGTGTCAATATGGTGTCGCAGCAATTTAGTACAACCAATATCAAATTTGTGTTGACTAAAAACGTCAGCAAATTCGCTCAGAAGAACTCGCAGCTGCGCGCGCTGCGAGTCGGACAGGTCCACTGAACCCGCGCAAAGCGCATCCAGCCAACCGTCATCACAGTCCGAATGCGGTCGCGACGGAGGATCGGTGGATACCTGACCCACGAGTGGTTCCTCATAGGGTACCGGCGTTGCGTGTGCAAGCACGGTCCCTTGAGGAACCACGGCCGTTCGCGATCCCACATTAAGGACTGCAATGAAGGGGTCCCCATCCCCCCTCACCATGGTCTGAGCCGCGAGCAAATCTGGTCCATTTACCCCGGCCCGAGATGGTCCCAACAAGACCCCCCGATCCGCAACCCCTTCATTAAACGGCCGACGCAATCTAAGAGGGACGAGCATCTGAGCCCCCGGAGGCACGCGCACAGTTTTTGTGACGAGCGCCTGCACGGTGGCAAACGCCCGACGCTCCGTGGTGGGGGAAGACAGAAATGTAACGCGTCGGCCCGATGGGAGCTCAATGCACCCTTGGTCAATAAGGATGCGGATGGGCATTTTGGCCAGAAAATCCGTCCCCAACAGGCACGGAACCGCGAGTGAGGAGGAAACCAAAACAGGCCCGGATAATTTAATGTCCCCAATGCAGATAGTGGCGCGGATTTGGCCAATAATGCCCAGAGAGCCCCCGTTAGCGGCATAGCACGGCACGTCAACAGGGAGCAAGGGACGACTTTGAACGGGAAGGATGTTATAAATTAAATCAGATATAATGGTCGCCGATGCCCCTGTGTCAATTAAAATCCGCACCTCTACCCCATCAATGTGACCGACCACGACCGAAGATCCCGCCGACGCAGCAACGACACGATGGGCGAGCTCCGACCACTGACCCGGTTGGAGCGCCCGCCGCATTACCGAACGATCGCGCGCGACGGATGGGGAATTTGGAGCCCTGTTTAGTTGGGCGCGTGAGTGTGTGTCGGATGTGTGCGTGGGCCAAACGTGTGAGGTGCCGCGACTCGCCGTATTTCTCTGCTGGAGCTTGGGAGGAGACGGCGTGGCGTCCTGACGAGGTGTCGCCCCGCGCTGACGGGGAGCCCGGCATCCTGACGCAACGTGGCCTTGCAGGCCACAGTTGTAGCAGCGTGTGAGCGCCCCCGATGTCCTGGGCTGCTCCTGGCGGCTCGGTCCATTCCGAGCCTGTGGTACTGCCGCTCTCCATTCCCCTCGCCGCTCCACCCCGCAGACCTCCTCCGATGGGAGGGCGGTAGCCGCCATGGCATGGCTGGCCGCCCCCTTTGCCGCCTTTCGACGAAGGGACCGCAAGCCCCCGTGGATGTGGCGCGCGACCAGCAGGGACGACATCTCTGAGTCGTCTTGAGCCAGGACGTTGACGTCCAGCTCATCAGCGAGTAGCAGCAGCTTCTCAGCCACCATGGCATCCACTCCTTCCTCGTCCATCCTTGGGAAAGCAGCCTTCGCTAGAGCCAGGAGAGCAGTCCGGAAGGCCAGAGGTGATTCGTTGGTGCCCCGACGCCGATCGTGGAAAAGCTGCCTGCAGTCCGAAGGCGGCCCATAGACGGCTGACAGCAGCTGCAACGCCAGGTGTAGGGTGGCGCGCTTTTCCCTCGGCGCCGAGGTGAGGGTAGCCAGGGCGTCGTTGTCCAGCATCGCTGGCAGCGCGCGTAGAGCCTCGGCGTCCGTCCAGTTCGCCATCTCCTGATGAGCGATGAACCGTCTCTTGAAGCCGCCCCAGTCTCCGTCTGCGCCTACGAATTCTTTCAGAGGTGGCAGACGCTGCTGCAAGGCGACGTCCGTGGCTGTAGATCGCTCTCCGTCGCTCCCCGCCGATGATACAGTGTGGGCGGGCTGTGCACATGGCATCGCCGGTCGCTCCGATGTTGACGCGCCGGCCGGTGTTGATGATGTCACGGCTTGTGCTTGGCGCTCAGCAGTCACGTGACGCGGGCCGGCCCCGCCGTCCGCTCGCACTGTAGAGATGGCGGGAAATTTAACCGCCAGCCGCGTCGGGGTGGCGGGAAACGTTGCCGCGCGCCGGCTGCTGTCGTCGACCCGCGCTGCCCCTCCAGCCCCCAGCCGCGTGATCTCCTCCAACGCAGCGGCGGCGGCGTAGAGCAGTTCCGCCAGGCGGGAGTGGGCCAGCCGGAGTCCTTCAGCCGACGCATCCCCCCCCTCTTGTCGTAGCGGCACGGGCGTACTTGGCCCCGGCTGCTCCGATCCGACCCCGGCCATCTCTGGTGTTGAATCGGCCGCGGCGTCTTCCATCTCCGACTCCTTGGTACGTGTCGTCCCTCGTGTGTCCATCGTTTGGACGTTTTACTTCTGACACCAGATGTAGTAAGTATATGGAGGCTTGACGACAGGATCGGAGGCACACTTATTTATTACACCAACACAGTTATTTACAGGTCACTGGGCTACAGGGATTTCTCGACAGCTAACCCCTCTAACCTATACCAATTCCTCCACTACGGGACTAGGGGAGGCTATCTGTCCCAGCTTGGTTAAGCTGGGATCCCGGCTCCCTGAGTCACCAGACCAGCTTCGTCTGGGCTCTCGGGGCCACGCCACCGGCTTGCCCTGGTCGGCCCTTATAAGGACAGCGAGCCAGGGGAGCTCTGGGGCCTACACTAGCTGGTCTTCCGTCTTCTCTGGTTATAGCTGAGTCCCGACCCCGAGCCCTCGAGCTCATCACCTTTTATAGGACTCGCCCCCGAGGGGGGGCCCGTGGGGGATACACATGCGGACGTCGGTGCTAGCGCCACCCTTGTGTACGGCCGTAACCCCGCCCATTGTGTTTGTTGGCCATCCGTGGCCATGCATAATCACACCTCAACATTCGTAGCCATGCGCAATTACACCTCTACACATACATTATCAGAGAATAGTTTTTTTTTGCATTTGACTGCAAGTATTGTGGTTAAGGCAGATATGATACCTTGCAAAAGGTGTCAGTTTAGTTGCCAAAAAAAGGGGGAAAACCCTATTATTAAAACCATAGAATGCAATGGGTATTGGCTAAAACCGCCCAATACTGAAAATGTACCTGCAAATTACTCAATTGGGATCACACAAAAGCACCAGCAACAGCCGCTACTGCAGACATCTTGGAAGGACAACTTCTACAACGTAGGTATGGAGACTCAGCCAGGCTTTCCTGAGTAGACAAGTGGAATATGATTCATGATTGATTTTGCGAATAAAAGTCTGAGATTGAAGAGGGAGCGGGAGTGAACGGTTTGAATGAGCAGGGGGTGGCAGGAGTTCCAGAAAGTGCTTTCTATTGAGCGCTACAAACTAAGAACATTCTTTTGATTTAAAGCTTTCGTGACTGCAGGGATTCATATTCTTGGTTCTTTCGGTAAAGTCACGTAGAAGGGAAATAATAAAATAATAAAAATATTAAACAATAAAAATTCTCACGACGTTTCGACTGCAACACAAGAAATCATCATCAGGTGTGAAATCCAAAGCAAGAAAATTTGAAAAAAAGTGGCGGGTTTTCCTGTGGTGCTGATGTTAGGAAAAACCGTCACTTTGTTTCAAATTTTCTTGCTGTGCATTTCACACCTGATGATGATTTCTTGTGTTGCAGTCGAAACGTCATGAGAATTGTTATTGTTTAATATTTTTTATTATTTTATTAATTCCCTTCTACGTGACTTTACCGAAAAAACCAAGAATATAAGAACATACTGTTCATTGCTTTTCTTTTAAGATTTGAATTGGGAATGCATGGAGAGAGGAGGTGTGAAAATGTTGTGAACACATTGTCCTTTTAAAATTTTATTAAAGCGAGGCAACAGCTACCTCCTGAAGAGGATGTTTAACTGTTTGGCAACCCAATATACCGTATTTGTAACATTCTGTGCCTTGCTGCCACGCTAATTTAATTATTGTCCCTTGATTCAACAAAGCCTTAATCGCCGATTGATTTGGTGAGTTGTGGTTTATTGATGGGTTTCTTACGTTGAAAGGCACGTCCGAATTAAGTGCCACCATAGTTGATGATGATGGTGATTCTTTTTTTATTACGATTCCTGTTTACACAGGAAAGCCTAACTGAGTCTCAAGGCTCCATTTTAGGAGGATCCTGCCAAGTTTTTTTGCACGAGTGGGCAATGTTTGCTGGTGTGTAATCCAAATTTAGTAATTTGTGGGCGATTTTTTTCAGCATCAGAACATTTGGTCAATACCAGTTATATCGCACATCCGAATAGCATGGTTGGCTATGTACAGTGCGAAATAAGTTCATATGTATGAGTTTTTTCCGATTATTTTTAATAGCTGATTATAATGACAGTTATGATGATATTCACATTTTCCTCTGACGGTGTTAAAAATGACAATTGTAAGTTCATTGTATAGATCAGGGGTGGGGAACATCCGGCCCGCGGGCCGTATAAGACCCGCGAAATCATTTGGTGTGGCCCTGCCAAGGCAAGCGCAGGCGGGACTCGAAATTCAATAAATCTAGGAGCAAACCTGGAAAAGCAGTTGCGAGTAGCAACATCATCAACACCAGCTAACATCACACGCCTCGCCAAAGAGATGCAGTTCCAGCCATCACATTAGGGGTGAGTTAATTAAATGTTTGACCAAATATAACAGGCAAATTTTAAGTTGATAATTTTGTATGGCCTGCGAATAATGTTATAAATATACAAATGGCCCTTGGTAGAAAAAAGGTTCCCCACCCCTGATATAGATGATTATGATGATGATAATTAGGAAAGTGATAGAACTTTGGATTTATAAAATAAAATGAAATCATGTATGGCCTTTGTCAATCAATTGTGGAATGAAAACGTTCCCATGAAATATCAGTTAGGGAGGGCCCATGACCGGCTCATATCACTCACCCACTGATGTTAGCCATGGCCGGGAATACAACTCTAGTGGCTAGCATCATGGCGCAATGTGTTAACCACTGCACTACCGATGTCCTCCCGTTGGATTACTCTCCTCCATTAACACCGTCTAAATGCAGCCAAATCTCAAGGCGCTGATGGTGATAATATCGACTATGATAATGATGATTATGAAGTCGTAATTTGCATGTCATCCACTGGTGATTACAGAGATGGTGACGAGAATATCAATCATCTTGATGATGATTATGAAGTCACGTCTTGAGCAATGTTCATTGTCATCAACTGACGATGGTTGTTACAATGATGACGATAATAGCAATAACAATGACGACCATGAAAAAAGGTCAGTTCATGCCCAACGCCTCGTTGTACGGGCACTCATTTATAATGTGCACTGCCCGCTGTTACCTTGGACCTGGGTGAGCCAGTCAGGCTGGTTGTAGTGCTCAGAGGCGATGGTGAGCGTGTTGAGGAAGACCAGGATGATGACGACCCAGTAGAAGCCAGTGGACTTCACCGTGAGACGTGTCTTCCTTCTGCAGAACCGGTTCCACCTCCGCCACCGCCGGCTGCAATGGGTACGGAGCACCTAGGACTTGTTGTGGTCGACTCAGCAGTACATCATCCCGCTCGGGGTCAATCAAATGAGCACCAAGGGTGGCCTTTTCTGGGCTCAGCTGCGTGTTGAGAATTTCTTCCATAGCACTTTCGCCACCGCGCGCTACTGCGGGCATCGTCTTCGCTTCAACTCCTGAAGATGCCCGCAGGAGCGCGCAGTGGCGAGAGAGCTCGGGAGAAAAAAACCCACCGCTCAACCTGTGGCCAAAGCCGGAGGACCGAACTTGGCTTGCGGGCGCCTGCTGTGAGTAGCCCACGTGTTAAAATGATTACCGCCTTGTGGGAAGGTAAAAGTAGGGCCATTCATACTGTGGTGAGGATGGCCCCGGTCTTAGCAATGTCAAATCTCCACCACTGCCTCAGGACCAACCCCCCAGCCTGCCCACCATGCTTGTTAGAATGTTTATTTATTTATTATTGTTTACATCAAGGATAATAATTTACAGCTTATTGTTGACACATTTATCAGCATAAAAATGGGCAGCTCTTTGTCAATCCACCGTTGTTGGATGAAGGCCTTTGCATGCCCATGTGGCATAGCAGGTTGTTTTTTCGTCATACCTCACCATGCTGATCAGTGTAGGTTAGTGAAGGGGAAACCCATGACCGATTCAGATGTCACTCGCCACGGATGTTAGCCGTGCCTGGGAATCAATATCAGGCCGGTCGCCGAGTTAATAGCCCAGTAAACTAATCGATATGCCACGCAACATTGAAGTAACGATGGCTCGTTATTTACACTTATTTACACTGGAAAGCAGCGCTGAGTCTCACGACTCTTGTGCAAGATGATCCTACCCGGTGGTGTTTGGACTTTTGTCCATTATTGAGTATTTTTTACATGTAGAGTGCCCAGAGAAAACCCACGCATATAATGGAGGATAACGCAGGCATAGACCAGGAACCTACATGCTGTACTGATTCCCACAAGTGCCTTGTTTCACTACAGGAGGAGATTTCATTATATCCTGCCTATGCTCTGTTGATAGCATGTGCGTGCCTGACTCAATTTTATAAGATACTCACCGATTGCTCTGCTCTCCATAAATTACGTCATATCTAGTTCACGGCCACAACGCCTCCCATTCATGTGACAGCATCGTGAAATCACAATTGGTTACGGGTTATGAACATATTGTGCCATCAAAAATCACTAAATATCACAACCTCTTTTGGGGGGGGGGGGGGAAGGTTCACGTAATCAGCCTGACCATTTTTTGCACGAACAATTTCACACTCTTTGAATAATTACAGAGGCTTCAAAAACTTGGGAACTTCATTATCTGTTACAGCCTGACCCATGGATACCAGACTATTATCTGGGCATGCCCGCTGCAAGAGGCGATGGCCGACGGTCAACAATAATGACTGCAAAAGGATGGAACGCACCCGAGAAGATTCCAACCGTAGGAGACGGAGCACTGAAATCAATTGACGCGCAGGCGCAAGATTGATTGTTACATCGCCGGATCGTGAGTGATGGCAATGGGAGGCCTTCCTTGAGGTGGTGACGTGGCCCAGTTGGTAGCGTGTTCGCCGCTTGTTGCAGAGGTCCAAAGTTTAAGTCGGGCAGGCCACTCTGGTTAACACTGTGGGTGTATTAACCATAAATGAAGTGCTGTCTGCTTCATAGTGCATGGTAAAGATCCTGTGACGTAATTCAAAAGCAGTAGGCCATTGTGTACTGGAGTCATTGTAAATAGAATAAAAAAATTTGTATTACCTGCAAATTACTTAACCCTTTCCTGTTCCGATGACATACACATATATTTACGCGTATGTCATCGGGAAAAAAACAACTATCGGTACCAATACTCCCACAAGGCCATGTGGGAGTGCGTGTGGCACATTTTGGTGCCAGCTATCATAGAGTGTGGTCGCGTCGCTACGGTTCGCTACGACCAGTGCAATGTCTTTAAAAACAACGGCGCTATGCCTCTAATTAACATTAACACTGAACCGCTTGGACGTTCCGAGGTTCAGCGGTGAACGAGACACTCACCCTGCTACTTGAAGCCCTCTCGGAACGGGAAAAAGTTAATTGGAATTACGTATCCCAATCATCGCTCCCTACTACTGTAAAAGACTCAGGCCCACTTTCAGGCCGATGCTGTCACATTGCACCACGCAGGGACAGCTGCCACTGGCGATCCCCTTCAAATGTTGAGATGAGATGCAAGGCACTGTCATTTGTTGAAGTATTGAAATGCCATATTTGTGCATCAATTACTATTCATGCAGCAGGGGATTAATCATGCCTAATGATGGCTTGCCTATCCAGGTAATCGATCTCAGGGTCACTGGGCACTCTATGTGGTTGTAAACTATTATCATTCACTCTACAATTTAATCAACCCTTTGTAATAATGATTAAAAAGCTAATAATTGTATTTATTTATTTCACCTTTTATTTAATGTTTTTTCATTGAATAGCTATTTTTTTCTCATCAAATAGCGCATGTCAAAGTCGTTTTTATTTTTATGTAGATGATGTTTCTTTTTTACAAGTGATATAACAATTGTGCTCTCAATATCATGTCATGACATTAATCCCCACACTATTAGATAACAGCTCTGGAATATGACGTCCTATAACTACTTGGGAAGTCACTTTAAAATGCCTCTTCATTCACTCTCATGGTACACTCCTTCCCTGTGCCACGAAAAGAGTGTTTTCATATCTCAAACTGATTTTGGTAAATAACCAGAGCTGGACTTTCACTAAATAAGGAGAAAACTAACTATATAATGAGTTTTTCTTATTTAATTATCCCTGATAAAGCTGAGACCATTAACGACTGAAACCCAGATTCAAACCCAATATCTCAGTGTTTTCAGCATAGCGTTCTAATTTATGAGGCACCCAGACACCTATTTTCAAATCTTCCTCATAGCATTTTCAGAGTTTTGCTGTTTTAAAATTTAAAACGGCCTTTCATGAGTTATCGTGACAGACGCTCACTATGTTAACCTTGGTTGTTGTGATTTTACGCAAATAAAGTAACATGGGAATAAATGAGACACAACAAAACAACACGGCAGAGCGAGCAACATTCCTCTGCTTTCTGGCAATATAGAATCTTAGCAACCGCGGTGCTACACACACACACACACACACATTGATGCATCATAAAAACTAGGTGCAACATACCTGAACTTTGACTTAGAAATTGCTAATCTGCAAGACAAAACAAAATGGAGACAATGGAAAAACAAAATGGCGTCTTAAAAAACCCAACAAACACGCACATAAGACTGTAAAGCAAGACACAATACTTAACAAACATCGCGCATAAAACACTGATGAGTATTAGCGGCTCAGGACGTACTGCGTGACATGTGTTGGACCGCAATCGGGGTGAAATAACAGCGCCTAATCCCATAAAGTATAATCATAAAGTGTGGCGTTTTAATTAGGACAGAGGAGTTGCGGTAAGCTTGGGGGGGAAACTAAACTTGACACTCTCGTCTCCATTAATGAGAGCTCATTCATTTGTGGGTAAAATTTTGGACATTAATCATCACAACAACAACAAAACCCCCGAGCTAATTAAAGTATTAAAATATTAAACAATAAATATTTAAATTAACTTTCATTAGAAATTTCAAATCTCTATACTCCCGTCCTGACTTTTAGGGAATAGCAATTCTGTCACAAATTATTTATTTTACAACTAACTTTACCTACCCGTATGTCTGCACCATCTATTAATAACAATACTTTCCCAGTTGAAGGGTTTGGTCTTTTTGGCTTTTACATGTAGGTGGAATATTTTTTGCATGTGGGTGGAAACCAGAGTACCCAAAGAAAACCCGTACATAACACACTATCTCTGCAACACCACACACACACGTAAATATGATTCTCCACCAGCCCTTTTAAACATGATGCTCTTCGCATACAAAGCAACATGACATCTATATCAGGGTCAGTTTTTAAAGAACAATTCAAGTCACTGCTTGGACACAATGAAAATAGGTGCTTTTAAGCCACACATAATACCTCATTACGAAATATATGCCACTGACTCATGATTAGGTTAATTTTGGATTATAGATCATCGTATAGGTATAATGTAATGTTTTCACTATAATCCCCCACCACCCGACAGAGCCAATCAAATCAAGTTGTCACGTCATGGGCAAATATGATGACTGATTTGGTTTATCAGCAAACCGGAGGAGGAGAAGGAGGAGAGACGTTGAAAAGCGAGCAATTGACCTCTGGTGCACGTAATAGAATGCAGACATTTACCGCCCACTCTATCAGATGAGTGCAATGTTTGTCACATGATAGTGAATCCGATTTGTTGAATCTCAGAGCTATAATTTATCCATATCAAGAGCAGAACAATTTTTTACAAGAGATTAAAATGTGTTATTAATCTACATGCATCAAATCACATGTGTTTTTGATTCATATATACTGTTTGGAAAGATTTCACATGACTCATGAAACTTCTACTAAAGGCCGCTACATTCATCATAACGTTAAGATATATTCTTTATGAGCATTGTGACACTTAGTTGTGACAATTTATTGAATAAGAAAGAACAGGTTAATGTTATTTTCAGCGGGTGCCACCGTATGAATTGTGGCTGCCTAGATCACACACGGAATGGGTTCCCTCTGGAAGGGAAAGGTGTGGAGGGCTGCACATGAGCTGCCAGCGACCGAATGACCGAATACTTTTAGGAGCTGGGGCGTCGCAAGTGAAGAGGCTAGATTGATGATGGCTGGCCACGAACAGATGGCGATGTTTCTGTGTAACGCAACTACCCATTAAGGTTTTGAACGTGACTGAGTGACAGACCGCTCAGCGCCTGCCACCGCAAACTCTCGGCCGCATCGCTTCCTCTCTCACGCGCGCATTTTCATCTCTCCTCCTCTCCCTTCCCGCTCGCTTCTACATCATTCCACAGAAGACTGGATCGCGGAGGCTGAGAGAGAAGAGTAGAACGGCACAACAAAGCGGAGGACTCACGCGAGGCGCACGCAGCAGCAGAGGGACTCGGCCTCATGCGCTGTGTTCTCCGTGTTGACGGAGTCGGCATCGCTGGCGGGGATGCTCGCTGTGGACACAAAGGAGTGGTGTTTGTTCGTGGGGAATTCTCCACACGCGCATGCAACGCCACATGGCTCGCCCCGCACACCGCTTCTGAACGAGATCGCCTGGCAAATCGTGTGCCGCAATCACAACTTGCTGTCATTCAAATCGGTTTCGTCAGTCGCCTATGCGTACGGAATTCTATTAATCGGATTCAGTGACGTGACCGTAATAGTGTTTTGATATAATTTTTTTTATTATTCTGTAACCGATGTTGCCAGTGTGATTTTTAAAGGGAAATACATTGTGTGTCAATGCAGCTACTTTGTAAATGTTTCCTAAATACAGCTGTCACTGAATTGCCGCTTATTATTTTGCTACATTTAATTCGTCTATACACCCTTTTAAAACACAAATGATAAACAGCTCACTGCTCTTCGAATGTGCAGTTGTGCAAGGATTTCTTCCCTTGATTATGTGATATGTCTGCCATCTAGTGGCAAGATCTGTATTTAAAAAATTGCACGGGCATCAGGATCGTGCCCCATTTACCACAATTTTTGTTAAACCAAAATTGCGGTGACATAGGTTGCAGAATTATTAAAACGCTTTACTTAATCAGACGCTCTTATTTGCAAAGGCTCTAACTTATTTATAAAATTCGTCATGTGCATTTAAACATTTTAGCTCAGACTATTTGTAAAAGGTTTTCAGAAAATTAGGACAATATGAATAACAAAAAAAAACTCAACGCATTTGTCAATAACACTACCTTTAAATGAAAAGCATATTAGAGGCAATGCTTTCCAAAATGTCACCTTATTACGTACTTTTACTTTTTAGACCACACAGTGTTGTTGACGAACGCATTTGAGTTTATTTGGTTTTTTGTGTGTGTGCGTGTGCACCACGGCCAATGCAGGAGCAGCAACATCACCAAATAAGAAGAAAATATATGTTTATATCTGCAGGCGACAGACGAACGCGAATGCACTTTTGCTCGCCGAATTGTGCGTCGCCAATTTCTCCGAAAGAATTTGCACCGAATGTAATTTTGATCTTGTGTTGACCCCCCTCCCCTCCACCAACGAGCAGCTTATCAAATCTAGCTATTAAATATTTACTTTGCCGTGGATGAGGAATTATTCAGAAGTGCTCACCAGGCTGGTACACACGCGCATTTCTGTCATACATAATACTAACTGAGACATTTACTGATAACATTTTAAGCAGTCTTAGTTTAACTCAATGATAAATAATCCACCAGTTTGTAAAAACACGTAAAACAAGTGAAAGTGGACCACGTATATTTCGATTATAAAATAATTCAACATATTTCGCCGTAACAAAATGTTAAGTTTATGCGAATTTACTGCAGAAATTTCCATAGAAATGTTAAATCTCCCTTTTTGCAAAGATAAATAACACATTTTACACATTAAGCAACACGCCTTATGCTCCACGTAACATTTTCATATTTTAATTTACACTAACATCGAAACAGCAGAATAAAATAAAACCTCACACAATAGAAGAACACACAAAAACAAAATTCAAGCCAATAAGCGTCAATCAAAGGCCACTTGTAAGTATTTTTTGAAAAACTGACAACAGCACACGTCAGAAATGAGGAAGTGATTTAATCACACGTTGGGAGAATGGACTTTCCTGCCCCAGAAGAAGATCAAATGTTCTATTCAAACTGCACATGCTGAGTTTGAATGGACAAGGCAACATTTAGCTGTGATCGGAGTATTTATCTCCAAATGAAACTGAAAGGCAGGCAAGCCAATATATAATATCTCTGGATGAAAAGCACCAGGTTCCATTGGAGTGCAAGAGGACAGAAGAGACATGGCACTGGAGACAGAACAGAATGATAAACCCTCACAGCAGACAGAGCAAAACACAAACCGCCCTATATATATAAACCACATGCACATACCGTATAAGGATACGCACTGCATACACAGTATGTATGTGTGTACATATATGAGGGCAATGCATGCAAGGACAAAGACAAAGGCCACACAGGAAGATGCGACAGCATTACCATGGGTCTCATTGGAGTGGCTAAACCAAGCAAACCTTCCCTTCTTCTTATCGGTCAGATCGGCCAAAGTTATCCCTTCAAAGGGATACTCAGGGTTAGTCCATGTGGGGGGAGACAGACACAGGACATCGACAACACGAGGCAACAATCAAGCTCTATCGAAGCGAATCGCTACCGGATACAAGCAACGCAAGTCGGTTTTTTGAGACCGCAGTATTTGGCATCTTGCCCACCATTTCCCTAAACAGTCGATCCACTTAGAGATTAACTAATCGCTTCGACCAGGGGTGGGGTAACCGCTTCCGTACTCGATGGGCCTCGGTTGCAAAGGGTAAAAGTGGAGCCCCGCAATTGCTTGCTTATTGCCACTGCTGGCGGAGAGGGAGATATAGTGAGCTCCATCGAGAAATATTATTGCCTACTCTTCCAAGTTGACCAAACATCTTGGAAGAGGTGGGGGTATCCACATTGTTTTTACCTCGTGACAAATAGACCTGTCAATTCTAGATTTGAAGCTTTCGTGACTGCAAGGATTCATACTCTTAGGTTTTTTCGGTAAAGTCACGTAGGTAAAAAATAAAATTACAATTAATAAAATAAAAATCACGACGTTTCGGAGGCAACACAAGCTTCCGTCTTCAGGTGGAACCATCACAGCACGATTGCTGTATCAAGTAAACTTGATACAGCAATCGTAAACTTCAAGTAAACTTGATAAAGCAATCGTGCTGTGACGGTTCCACCTGAAGACGCAAGCTTGTGTTGCCTCCGAAACGTCGTGATTTTTATTTTACTTTTATTAATTTTAATTTTATTTTTTGCCTACGTGACTTTACCGAAAAAACCTAAGAGTATGACCTGTCAATTGGCTAACTGTGGGTGTACCCATTTACACTTCTGCGTGCACAGAGGTGGGGTGGGATTGAAGAGGTCTGCACCACTGTTCCAACTGAAGGCTGAAAAAGATATTCAAAATATCTTGTGCGGGACATACTTTAAAACACACACCTCAGGCACGTTTGCCGCTGCAAGAGACCTTCCAAGTGACAGAAGTGACTGCGAGCACTACACCGAGAGTGTTAAAGTAGTCTCTTTTAGTTGCAGTGATGTTTTAAAAAATAATGTGGTGGGCCATTTCGATTTGGCAGGCTTCATGTGGCCACGGGCTTATTTAAAATGAGTCACGGACCTTATTCGGCCTCCTAGCAGTAGGTTCCCCACCCCTGGTTTCGGCTAATGGCCGACGTTGATAAATGCCAAATTCCACTGGCTTACACTGGGAACTGCTGGAAGTTTGAGCAGTTAATAAACATTTTCACAGCAGATGGCCAGTCACTTTGCCACGCAGCTGTTGCTGGGAACGTTAATAAGTGTGGCTGGCCCGCTGGAAATTCGTATGCGCTGCTTTCAGCCAGTTTTTTTGGTTTGTTTCTAAAGGTAGGGCTCAATGTGATGTCTTAGAATTTTAGGAAAATTGGTTTTGTTTGCCAAATACTCTTTCTATGGTCCTGGAAACACTGACAACCGGTGGTGACACGTAGGGTCATTCACCTAGGGTCATTCAAGGCAGCACGCAACATGAACCACAAATCAAACCGGGCCTACACGCCGCACCACACACAACGCACACCGTGACATCAACAACACAGATGAGAACGATGAAAAACCAAAAATAAAGCACAACAGACGCTGCAATATAAGATCACCAGAACTGAATGATTGGGCAATGTTTTTCCTTATTCATTTTGAAGAATCGTTAATCAAGTACAGTATATTTTATTCTTGAAATGAGGCATCAGCAGGATTTTATATTAATCAATGAAGTCAATATTTAGTGCCCATCTGCAATAATTACTGTCACAATCATCGTCATCAGCCATGACCAATTCACTGCTGTATGAAGGCCTCCCTAGGCACGTCCGCCTCCTGCAATCCTACGATGTACTAAAGACAAAGATCCCCCCCCCCCCCCCCGTGTAGCCTTTACACACTGTTGGGGCAAGTGCTGTTAGCGAGCACTTATGAAGGCCGGCACTGCACACGAGATGGTGGGTAAGCCAACTCTACGCCCGGCCGCCTTTGTCTCCCATAACAGCGACGTTTACTCATCCCACTAGGTACTCTTTTGAGGCCGAGTCGACCTAGGGGAGGCCCAGTACCGGCTCCTTCGCCGATGTCATCGCTGCGGCTCCTTGGCGGCCACTGTTATAATTGTCTCGTGGCGCCTGCTGCGAAGTTGACCGGCTGATTTAGCACAAAATGTACCAGCGGTTGGTCACTTTCACGAAGAGGCGCGGTGCCCTTTAGACAATTATAATAACAAAAATATGTCAGACCCCGCAAATTTAAATCCGTGACCAAATCTCGCCATTTCTCCACTCTCTCCTTCTGCCACGCGCTCACTCGTTAATTGGCAAACTTTGAAAGGGGGTGGTGAGTGGATGGGTGGGTGGGGGTCTGGTGTTGAAGCAGTGGACCGTGTCACCCACCCACGCCACCATCCCCACAGCCCTTCAGGTATCTGGTGCAAGCTGGCCAATAAAGGAGCGTGCCGCGCTGCGCTCCTGAGTGATTTTCCACTTAAGAGCTCCACTGGCCCGCTGCCAGTCTCGACGGGGCCGAGGGTGGTGGTGGTAGTCACGTGCCGCGGGCCGCGCGTGGCTGTTGGAGCGAGTTAAGTGGGTCGATCCACGCGCTTGGAGGCTGCGGGCCCGCGCGTGAACTGTTGCCCGTACGGGTGCGCGCGCTCGCGGTACGGAGGTGGAGATTGTCGGTATTGAGACGAAGGCGTGCGCGACCACTATGGGACCGTCCATAAATGACGTCACGCGATTTTGTAGGATTTTTTACTCACCCCCCCCCCCCGTCCATCGTCACACGGCGTCACAAAAAGTCAGACCCCCCCCGCGCCTCAAATATGACGTCACAAAGCTCTGCCCCTTCCCCCCCAAAACCATATTTCCATTTTGAAA